TCATCGAACACTGGAAAAAATATATCACACTCGAATGACATGTACTTTTTGTATCACACACTGATGGCTGAACACTCTCTAGACCTACCTCTACCTAAATGGACTAAAAACATTTTTCCTTATGGCAAATTGTTAGATGGCATCAGTCTAGAATATAAAATTTCCAACTATAATACCGAAATGAAAAGAATGAACGGCGGTATGCTACTGCGAAAATTCATTGATGATATGGTCACCTACAGCAATGGTAAACTTGATCGGAATCGTAAGATTTTCCTGTACAGTGGACATGAAACTAACGTGGTAGCTGTACTTCAAGCCTTAGGCGTTTATTATCCTCATGTTCCTGAATATACCAGTGCTGTTATAATCGAACTTCATGAAGTAAACTCTAAATATTATGTTAAGGTAAGATCACATCTTTTTAAACGTCAAAAACAAAATTTATATGTTTTATTTTTTAAAACGCGCAATTTATTCGTGCATTAAGTATTCTGATTGATTCGATATAATCAATGTAATTTTCTAGGTTATTTATTACAAAGGTATAGCTAGGCCAAATGAAAATTTATTCGAAGAAATGTATGTGACGGGCTGCAATAAGAATTGCTCTTTAGATAGGTTTCAGAATGTTTTAAAAAATGTCACTGCTATCGACAATGATATCAAAAGTTGCGACAAGCGATCTCTTCGAGGTATTATTCAAGAAATGTCCATTGCCCCGGGTATTATCAAACAAATAGTCGATGAGCTCGACATTGAAGACAGTTTGCGTAATATGTTATTGTATTAGAGAATGAATTTTGTAATTATGAAAGTAAAAAATTTTTTTAAAATCTTATATCGTTTATTCGTTTAAACCACATAGTTCTTATTTACTCCAGCGATTGTTGTATCTGGATTAATTATTCCTTCCATTATCTCTGGTTGAATATTTTTATACAAACAAAGCATATCATCATCGGATGGCAAATGTGGTTTTATGATTTCTACATAATTTTTAAAAGGACACATTTCCGTGCAGGTTTTTAATGTAATGGTTTCGATTTCTTGTGATCCGCAAGGCCAATACAAGAACTGCAAAAGTAAAAAAATTGTTAATGAATCTAGTGTCCACTTTGAATCAGCCATAATTATACTTACTCTAACGTAACTTTGATTCTGTTCCCCGCGATATTTTTCTAAAATTATTGTAGCTCCATATTTGGGCTGTTTCACATCCAATACATCATGTACTTTCAGAAAAGCATGAAGAGTTTTATCGTGAGCACTGTACAGATAGATTTTCCTTTTATTGGTTTTCCAATGCGTGTCGTTCATATTTTTCAAAAACCTTCTGACTATAGGCCCACCGTTTAATTTTTTCAAAATATCAGTGTAAGACAAAGCATTCAGATAAAACTCTTTCGCTTCGTTCAAATCAGAATATAACTCGTCCGTATACCAACTTGGCATTGGTAAATTCATTTCTTTCTAAAAAAAAAGTTATTTATCACAAATAAGCTATTTATTGTTATGATTTATCGCTCACTTTACTTACGTGTACTTTTATTGCATTGTAAGCACAAAAGATATCGCGCAGGTTGAATGATTTCCAATAAACTTCCCTCATTTTTTCAATGACTGGGCGGTGCTTTTCGAGCAAACTCAACATCTCCTTAGTGCTCAACAATTGATGCAGTGCTTGTCCAAAACTGATAAATGAAATGAATTTTAAGCGTCATAAGCAATTACAGTATATAATAACAAATTGCACATTTACGTAGGACAAATTCGAGATTTTATCAGAATATCTAGACGCCTAGGATTGGAATGTATCGGAATAGGAAGCCAATCCAATTTGTTATTCCATTTCAATTGATTTGTTGGTGGATAAAGTGCAGCCAAAACTAAAAGAAGCGATGCTTGGGTTCTTGAAGTGTCAGATGCATATGCGTACACATCTTTTTGTCTGTACAAGTCTGGCAAAAAGCTTTTGTATCTGTCTCGAAGCATTTTACCAATGTTGTACTCTTGCATCATGCCGTTCTAGGAGCCATTCATTATCAATGAATTAATCTACTCGAACCAATTTCAACCCGATTATGTTATAATTACGTTTGTTAATTGAGCAATTCCCCAAGGATCGTACAGTGAATTATTGCCATTAGATACCAATTTTGCTTCACAAGCTACAGGCGTCCGAGCACCATGACGGAATAACTAAACATAATATCTTATTAATCATATGCGGTATATGTTTTTTTTTTAATTTTTCTTACCACTTGGATCATTTCTAGTTTTAATTTTGTATTATCTTCAATTCCAAAGACGGAAACACTGTAAAATAAAATTAGCCACGAAAAATTCGTCCCTATTTGATTTCGTAAAATCATATTTGAGTTCGACGTAAACGTTATACAAGACACTAAATCAATCGAATTACTGCCACAAGCAATTGCGATCTGTTGGCGAAGCACTTGTTATTCGTTCGTTTCATAATTTTAGTTTGTCAGCAATTTAAAACTAATCTAATCGAAGATGACAGTTCTTGTAAACAAGGTTTCAATGAAATAAATGTAAATAAATTGATAACGTTAATGTCAGTGAAATAAATTTCAATTGCGAAATCGATTTTATATATCTACTGTCAATTTTTCACCAATTAAATGATAATTGTTTTATAGCATCTACCAAAATTTCCAACTTTATGCCCTCTAAACTTATCCTGAATTGTGGTAACTTGATTAAATAAGATTATACAACATCATAATAAAGTAAGATATATTAACGATTTGTGGGAAAGGAGGAATTTAGGTAAACTGTTATACCTTTGTTACGTGGACGGAGAGAATAGTGTACTATTTCTCATGAAACATAATAAACATGCTTTTATGAAAACGATGGAAATTTTCCGATACATTTTTAAAACTGAATTTTCTCTCAGCGTAAAATTGATTTGAAGTGTTATTTAGAAAATATTTTTATTTCTGTACATAGATATTGACAAGAAAAATCTACAAATTGGACACATTGCTTGAATTATTATTTTGTAAAAAAGTTGATGTCTTACGTGCGTGATGCAAAGCCCATATAATAAAAATCATCGACAACTTTAGTGATGCATTGAAATTATTAATGTTTTTCTCTGGTAATAGTCAAATTGCTATATTGAGCGACTCCCCTATTAACGCCCATTTCTTTTCAACAAAATTACGTATAAAAATAGCTAATGGTTCTTTTCATATTACATAAAATTCTTATTCTTTAACAAACACAGCATTTCATCGTCAGACAGTAACGAAGGTTTTATGATTTTTAAATATACTCCCAGTGGACACATTTCTAAGTAATTATCTAGTTTTAATGTGTGCAACTGCTTCGGCTCTCCAGTCCAATAAAGTATCTGTGAATATACCTCTTATAAAGTTGCTCAACTTCGAGTGACATATGTGGAAAGAAATAAAATGATTATAGCACATTATTACTTTGATATAATACTTATTATGGTTATCACGATATTTTCCACTATTACAGCGGATCCATAAACAGGATTGCCAAAACCCGTATGATTATGTGCCCTCGTATAAGCGTGCAGTGTTTTGTCGTGAGCACTGTATAAGTAAATTTTTCTTTCGTCTGTCTTCGTATTCGAGTTATTGATATTTTCAATAAATCTTCTGACGACAGGTCCTCCATTCAACCGTTTTAGGAAATTCGTGTAGGACAAAGCATCGGAATAGATGTCGCCAGCTTTTTTCATCCTATTCAGTGCCTCGTCTGTACACCACTGAGGCAGTGGCATGTTCAGATGTCTCTAAAAATCCAGTGAAAAGTATTTAATGAAAATCCATAAAAATAGATTTATTTGAATTTGCTTATTCTACTCGTATTTTAAGTAAATTGGTTATTCCGAAAAAAAGTCCGTAACTCATTTGAGTTTTAGAGTTCTCGTTTGTCGCGCGAACAATGGCATCGAGTTGAGATGATTTCATATATTCAGAATTGAAAACTTCCTTCAACTTTTGCAGGTACCTACCAGTAAAGTAAATCGTACAATATCAATTGTAAAATAAGTACCATTGTTGCGTGCAATTTACTTTGGACAATCCCGCGAATGTGTCAAAATATCCAAAAATCGTGGAACTGTGTGTATTGGAATGGGAATCCAGTTCAAATCGTCATTCCATTTTTGCTCACCGACGGGAGTATAAAGTGCCGCTAATACGAGTTGGAGCGAGGCGATAGTTCTGTCAGTATTTGAACTGTATGCGTACACATTCTGTGGTCTGTACATATTTGACAAAAAGTCGTTGTACCGTTCTCTGAGTATTTTTCCAAGTTCATATTCTTGAATCATACCTTTCTGGATTCAAATCATTTAGCATTAAAATAAATCAGAGTATAATTTTCGGAATTACCTTCGTTAACCGAGCAAAGCCCCATGGTTCATAAGAATTATTAAATTGTGGTAATAACGAAGCCTCATCTTCCAGTGGTGTTCGATCGCCGTGTCTAAATAACTATAATCACAAATTCTGTTGATTCTATTCAGACGTGCAATTCATTTATCTTACCACTTGGACAAGCTCCAAATTTGCGTCGATATTAGTTCCAAAAGTGCATATAGCGTTGTATAAAATAAGACACAGATGGACGAGCATTCTTGATTCGAAATCAGCTCGAACTAATATTTATCATCGGTACTGATGAGCTTATTATCACTGATACGCAAAAATTTCAATCGCTTATCATTTGTGGCAAAATTCTCATTTTTTTTATTTCAATTTAAAAAATCTATAATCTTATACTTGATGCACTTTGAAATGCAGTCTGGTTCCATAACAATGAACTGGTTAATAATTTTTTGTCGTTGCTGATTTCATCACATGGAACGATTACGAAAAGATCACGATTCTTAAAAAAAGAAACCTTTTGTCGGTATGAGAAAGAAAAAAATGTTTTCTTTAAAAAAATTAATTTAACGGTACTGTAAGAATCACCATAAGTAACAACACCATATTTTTTCATAATGCTGCAAATCAAACCAGCTTAAAATTCGTAACAGTAGTGAGTTTTCATATTTTTTTTACTAATTTCTAACCGAATAGCTTTTTTTAATTAATTTTCTTTCCATTTTTAGATATTTCGACATGGTGACCGTGCACCTGATCCACCCGAAATGTATCCTAATGACCCTTATTACAATGACCCTTTTTATCCTGTGGGTCTAGGTGGATTAACTAATGTAAGTTAAATGTTAATCGTGCATTTATTCATTTATTTTCATATCCTTCAAAAAAACCTTATTCGAGTAGACAGAGTAAACTTGACATTATAATAAATTCCATTTGTTTATTAATTCAGTATTTCTAAGATTTCTCATTTCCATTTTATCAAATACATTAATTTCTCTATTTTTACTATCATAATTGTCAACGATAAACATATTTTTCAATTTATTTATATTCAGAAAGGAAAACTTCGAGAATACGAGCTCGGTGAGGTCCTACGTAGAAGGTATTTCGATTTTTTAGGCGGCGTCTACGTTCCTGAGTCAATTTTAGCTCAAAGTACCGACTATAAAAGGACAAAAATGTGCTTGCAAATTGTCCTCTCGGCTCTTTATCCACCTGGAACTTTTCAGCAGTGGAATAACCAACTCAATTGGCAACCTATCCCCACAACATACTGGCCTTCTGAAGAAGATTGGTTACTCATACCAGAAGAATGCCCCGAGTAAGTATTGAATATTTTTATTTATTATACTTTTAAAATAGCTTTTTTTACAATATTTTGAAAGAAAGACTAAAAATTGAATCAAATTTGGCTATCAATGAAATTTTTGTTTGTACTAGACATATTTTTTTAAATAAAATTTTTTATTTTGTATAAATTTATATCATCATTATCTATTGAAAAAAAGAAATGGCGATATAGTATTAATATGAAGATTCAGCCTATTATTAGTCTAAAAACACGTGCTAAAGTTCATTTACGTCTTCATTTTGATTTTGACTGAATATGTATATTCCATGATTACGCTAAAAACGTATTAGGCACAGGAGCACTCATTTATTAAGTAATGCGATATATCAATGAAGAAGGTCTAATTTCCACTTTTACAATATCCATTGTAGAATCATTATTATATAAGCATTCGGGAAATAAATTTTCTAACAAAACTGTAGAATATACTGTCTAAACAGCAAATGTGCAATTTTATTTGGCTAAAATGCTATCATGCAAATTTTTGCAAATTTATTCTTATTCCTTTTCCAAAAATTAACGCCTGTCCTTCTAAAATAAAATATATTAATATACGATAAATTGAACATTCCTAATCTTCAGGTATATTGAAGAGCGTAAAAAGGCGGAAAATTTGCCGGAAGTCATCGAAAAAGTCGAAAAGTTTCGAGATTTCATGAGTAATTTGACTATATTAACTGGAAAGAACATCAGTGGAACATACGACTTTTATCTGCTTTATCACATTCTCACTGCCGAACAATCAATGCAACTGCGACTACCTAATTGGACTGAGGGTCTTTTTCCTCACGGAAAACTATTAGACGGCATACTTTTGGAATACGAAATTTTTAGTTACACACAAAAAATGCGACGTCTTAATGGCGGTCAGTAAATCTCTTTATTATCTCATTAAAATTAATGACAAAATGAAATATTATACATTAATTTTTGTTTTGATGATTAGGTAAATTGTTATACAGTATCTTAAATGATATACAAGCTGTGAAGGACGGTTCCATTGGCGGTCGTAAAATCAACCTTTACAGTGGCCATGAAACAAATGTAGTCGCCTTATTGCAGACTTTAGGAGTTTTCAAGTACCATGTGCCTCAATATGGCAGTGCTGTTATTGTAGAACTTCATGAAATCGACAATCAGTATTATATGAAGGTATTAAATTCTTATAGACATTATAATTATGATAAAAATATTGGATTATCTTGTATAAATTTTGTGAAATTTGAACAGATAATTTATTACCTTGGAATACCGTCCACAATAGAAGTGCTACAAATTCCAGGATGCGATGAACTTTGTCCATTAGAACAGTTTATTGATTTATTGAGTGATGTAACGCCGTCTAGTGATGAAATATTATGTGATAAATCAAATGTAGAGACATACACGTCGAAAATGACCGTTAAACCAAAAAACTCCGCACAGGGTAGTTCAACTGCATGAGTGTGGTTTAGCTTTGTTTAGCAAATGTTTATTAGCTGATAAAAATTGTTTAGCTTTTAAAATTATAGTGATGGATTACTGAATATACGTTAAAACCATTCAATAAATTTTCTTAAAACAAAATCTCATTAACGATTATTTTGTAAATCACAAAATAGTCAATGAAGATGTTAATAGGAAAGGGTGGTAACGTATTCTCTCTTTGTTGAATGTATCATTAATAGAATTAATTCAAACTTATTGAATTATGTACAATAAGTTTTATATAATGAATTTCATGTTCATATACCGATATTAACGAAGTTCTTTTCATTATTTGTAACAATTAGTTGAAACGAGTAAAATTAAGTTAGATACTAGAAATGGAAGTTGTTTTAGTTGTAAAAGTGACAAGAACTTTTACAGAAAAAGATGAATTATTAAATTTATTATAACTAATTTTATACAATGCTCATAGTACATGTTTCGCTTGTCTGAAATGATAATTTTTTTTATTAAATATAATAATTATTTAACTTTAATACTCTCAATATTGTTTAAAAAATTAAATATACAACCGAGCTGTAAGAATTAATGTGTAATCCAAGTAAAGTGTTGTGTTCAATAATACCTCAATTTTTGATAAACAAGATTATATTTAATGTAGTAGTGAATTAAGAAGCTACCACGCGAAATAAAAGTGAATATTCATAAAATTGAATTGAATTAAATTTTCAAAGAAAGTAAATTGAAAATCAAAGCGTCTATGAAATATGAGTTTTATTGAAGAATTTTATTGAAGATTTAATTCTCCAATAGGTTAATTTGTACAAAGGCACTGTCACTAAAAAATATACACTATTAAAAACCCTTTCTTTCGAAATTATATGTAAATTAGTGTAATATGTTTTTGAATAAATTACAATTTAGTATTCACCGTTTTGAAACATTAAACTTAGTACTAAATTAAATTTTGCATATTAACGAGAAATATTATTTGAACATACGTCATTTCACTTCGTCCGTTATGTTTACGTTCTATTGAATTCTGTTTAAACGCTTTATTATGAAACCTTTATTCTTAAATAAAGAAACTATTATAACAAAATACTTCGTCATCTATTCACGTGAAGTATACGATGTTTTAGTTATCCGTATATGTCATATCAATCAATTATTTGCACGTAAATACTTTAATATATTTATACCAATGAATTTATCCGTTAAAGATCTATCTGCTTTTATTGGGATGTGTTGATTATGATTTATGAGCATATTTATCGTTATGGACTGTCAAATGAATAATCGTATTCAAGTATCATGCATACTCAAGTAAAGTTAAAATTACTGGATGTGAAAAGTTGAAATGTCTAGATTTCTTTATAATTAAAAGAGTATTTATGTATATAGGACTTATAGTCCTTTGATTAATAATAATAATAGCGTGAGACGGAAGACTGGTGATTAGATAATAAAAATTGTTCTACGAAACATAGATATATATCTTGCGCTCTGTAAATTTATCGATAGAAACATTCAAATATGTTAACTTGATGTACTAAATCAGATGTATTAAAAAACTACTACTTGCGTAAGCTTACCCATAATACTCGACTCAGAATAGTAACGACGTTCGTAATATACGCATCGACGTCATGCTGATGGGATGCAATGTAAGTAATCGTCATAGCCATGTCTTAGATTGTATTACATTGTATCAGAATGTCATAAAGCAGATAAGTCAAATGTTCCACTGATGTTCTTTCTAATTAATACAGTCAAATTGCTTCTGAAATTTCGAAATTTTTCGATTTTTTTCAAAAGCCATTACTTACATTGTATTTACAAATTTGTTTCAGATATTTAGACCTAAGAGCCGCTTGAAGCCTATTATCTCTTTTCAGGGTATAGGAAGCCAAGTTATCACTCTTTCGTGCTTTCCATTCTTTCGCATGGCAGTTTTCTAAAATTCCTCCGCTCATTCAAAGACAAGTCAACTCTCTTAAGTAAATACTAATCCGTTCTATCACACACAAAGTCGCCTTCTACACTCTCTTACTCCCACACTCAGTCTTTCTTTGATATTACTGACTATCTACAGTCGGTGCCGATCTGCAAGTATTTATTGCTGAGTTTTCTTTCTTCATCGCTAGAGTCAGTGTAATTGTCTAACTCATCGTCATCTAGATCTGCGTAGCAGAGTCTCTATGGCTTCTAATGATCTGCTGATTTTGATGATGTGCTTTTCACTCCTTCAACCTTTTCAACGTTATAGCGATCGTGATCTTTGACATTCGTTATTTTGTAGGTACCTAGGAACTTGATTTTTAGCTTCAATCCTGGTTTCTGATGTGTACGTACAATTTAGGTAAGATCGCCCTTTGTGTACTTCATTGACTCCCTGTAATTCCCATTGTATTCTCGATCTGGTCAAGCGTTGATTGCCTAAGCTCGTTTTGTTCTTGCTGAAATTTTAATTTAATAGCATTTTTAACAATCTCTATCAGTTGAAGATCATCTTGCATTGACATCTTAATGCCAAACAATCGTGAATTTTGTACATAAATTTACGATGACAGGTATGGTAAGCTTCACAGCTGGAAAATGACAAAGCAAGGTTTCCTTATGTATAAACAGATGATCAAAAGTAAAGATTAATTTAGTAACATCCCGATAGTCACGATGAATACTGTTTTTTTAATGAATTTATACTGTGTACTTTGTTCAATTATGCAGATCTGATGAAGTTACTACAATTTTGAAACCTAATGAACCTAATGAAATCCCAATCATTTTGCAATCGAATCAAAATTCCTATCATTCAAACAATTTAGTCAATTTTAATTAAAAGATATGTGTGTAATTTGATTAAACCTGATTCTATAGAACACAAAATGACCAAAGCTATATTATAAATGCTTTATTCTCTGTACAATAAGTATAAATGTCTCGATTTTTATCGCATCGGTAAAAAAGAAACAATTCCTAATCTGCAAAACTAATTATTACTCGTTTAATTTACAAACGAACACTAACATTTATCGATGTATTCATAACAAATGACAACTTTATTTTTTTAAAACGATGATTATGAAAGTCACGTAGTTTGATGTGTTACCCGACAGTTAGAACATACTTTTCCTCTCTCAGTGAATAATTTCGAAAAAGAATTATGTCCATACGTCAATTGAAGTATCACACCACTTCAAGCACCATACGAGACAATTACGGCATCATAATTGTCACTCTCAAATCTTTAATCTTCGTTGTTGCTTATAATATTAGTGTTTGAGATGAAATATTGTTGAATTTGAAATATAATAATTATGAAATCAATAAAAATATCTTACGTGAGTTCCGATTTCAAGGACAATAAATAAAAGTAGACTCTTTGTTTAATGAAAAATCAATACGTTTGATTTACTTTATTTTGATGAATAACAACACATTTGGGAAACTTATTACGCCTGCACGGGACTATGTTTGAATGATCTCAGTCTTTTGTCTCATTTTTTCAACAAAGCTAATGTTCGCAGCAACACAATAAACAAATGATGAAAAAACATAATAAGCGAAACAGATGAAGTATTGTGATAAATCATTATATAATGTGTTAATAAATAATATCTTAAGAAACCCACTTTTGAAAATGTCGAACTATTTTTAATTTTTTACAATTACTTTTAGCTTGTTTTTAGTGGAAATATGACTTAATTTGAAAAATAATATTAATTAGTAAAAACCTTCAAAACATCGGCTAAGATTAACTTTAACAAATGTTAAAATTGATGACACTAACGCAACTATTTCTTTGGAGGAGAGCTGCATACATCAGATAATTCATCTTTCAATTTTTTTCCATGCTCGTCGTTTAATGAATTACCTCCGCTAGGCAAATAATTTTATTTCATTTATAAGTGTTCCATTTGTTATTATTGCTTCAAATATTTGCTAAAAAATCAATTTTATACAGAGTTATTCGTTTAAAAATAGTTTTGAATTTTCAAATTATATTAATATTTATAAACAATTTTTAATGGCGTGATGTGAAAACTGATTTATTTTAATGATGCATATTATGAACCAACCCGCAGGCAAATATCAAATGAAATGGTAAATGTTGGCTGTTTGGATCACAGAATGATCTGAGTGTAGATGCATTAGATTTGTTAAATATGCGCTGTCTTGTTGTGAATGTTGTTTTTTAACCTACACTGAAGAAAAAACAAATTTGCTAAACATGTGAATTTGATTTTATTTAATTACTTTTTCAGTAGTGTTTTTTTATTATCAATTTAAAATTTGAAAGCTAAATACATGAAAGTGTTACTTAAATTGTTCGCCAAAATTAACTTTGAATAAGATATTTAATAATATTATCCCAGGATGAAACAATTTGTGCCAAATTCTTTTGTGGCCGACTCATTTCTTCTTACTTAAAAATTGTACTATATATTCCAAATGTGACAAATGGATTTTGAAAGGTAAGAGTAGACCTTTTGGGTGATTTTCTCTGTTCACAGAAAACAATTTTTTTTTCATCTTGTTACAGAATCTCAGATATATCAAAAAATTGCTTTTTTGCCTCTATATGTTAGAATATCCAAAAAACCGCACGTGATGGAATTATTTCGATTTCGGATTTAAATTTTACGCAAAAAATGATCCGAAATTGACCAAGAATAATCAAAATCCTTTATTTTGCAGACCTGTGTTATTAGGAGTGATAAGAAAATAATATATTACGCATACTGAACTCTATGACTTATTAAATTAATAATGTTTTCCTCGGTTTAATTGCGCGTCGTACATGTAAAAGTATATAATATTGTAGTACAATGGGAACTAACTAACTAATGCTTATATATTTCACAAACTTATATAAAATTGTTCAATTTTCAAAACTGTTCGTTCCCTATAGAGGCAAACTAAGAAATTACAATTTAGACCTCCAACTTTGCAAACACTATAGCGATTTCTTAGGCCACACATGCATGTAAAGTGAAAGCTCGGAGCAACGTGTGTAAAGGGTGAGTATGAGGAATAATAATAATAATAATCGGATCAGACTATTATATGCGATTAAAGTTCTTTATTTGAGTCTCAAGTACACACTTTAAACTTTCACGCGATTAGCAGCGGCTGATGAGCAACTTGCTGGTTCGAAGCGAGAATCTTTATTGTCTGTCGACGCCTCATCCGCGCAGCATCCGGTTCACGCCCCTGTTTTCCCCTCTCCGCCTAATCTTCGAGGGGTCGTAGTCCTCATTGGGGCCCGTCGCGACGCGCGCGCTTCGGTCCCGCCTGCTTTCCTTTCGTTAGCTCCCCTTGCCCGGTTCTGCCTTCTGCATTCTCTCTCGTTCGCGCTCTCTCTCGCCAGCCTGTTAGCCTAGGGGAGCCTCTATGCTGGCCCTATCCGTCTCTATTTGACCCGACAGTACTTGGAAACTTTTGGCTTCCCGTGGAGTCAAACTGGGAATCATCTCTCGGAGCAGTATAGCTGCGTCCGGCGACGATGCGCAGACCTTGCATACACCCGCGGTCATGGCTCGAGATCGAGATACGTAGAGAAGTGCTGAAAGAAAAGGAATGCCCGAACGGGCAAGGCGCCTCTTTGCCGCTGCTCAATCTTACATATTTCGATGATCTGCATCACACATTGTTCGGTCGATTTTTAACCCTAAACAGAATTTTTATTTTTTCTAAGCGCGGTGGCCTTTGTTCACATGGTGGACGTGTTTACGAATTTCCGCGGTGTAAGCGATCAATGAAACGAGGCAACAAACGAAAGATAAGAACGAGAGTACATATATATAATAAGCATATATAAATAAGCAATACCTTATTAAATCTAGCCGGCCAGCATCAACGCGGCGCACATGCAGTACAGATGCAGTCTACCTGCCCTTATCGCCCGGCTGGCGACGGCGTGCCCGGACCCTTTGCAGCCCGCGCTCTTTTCTTCAAAGATAGAGAGAGATACAAAGCGATATTCGGCCGTCGGCTACACCGTCGTCGATAGGACGAAGGTAAGTTTGCATCTGGTATAATTAGTAGAAACGTATATCCACCGGCCCATAACCAACAGTGGTATCCCTTGTTTACTTGGCAATCTATACCAACGGTATACATTCCCTTATTTGCAAGATATAATATCTCAACAATGTCCCAGATAAGCAAATTACGAACAGCTCATCGGCTTTCTGTTTCATCGTAAATTACGTAGATTATAGGTAGTTCTAAGCTCAAGAGAAAGTTTAGCAATCGCCGGTGTTTCACCAAAAACATTGTTAGTTCCTCATGAGACACTTGACTGAACCTTCAGAAAGGATCTTCAATAGCATCATTAACATAAAGTATCTCTATTAAAGTTTGACGACCAAAGCTAAAATGGATTGTTCCGTCGTCACGGAAAGAGAGAGAGAGTGCATGTGTGTGTGTGCGACTTGTGGGACCGCCCCGAAGTGGCGGCGCCACTTACTTACGCGCGCATCCGTCTTTTCCTCCTCGCGCAAAAAGAAGGGGAGGGAACAAGTTCGCGCGCGTTACTGGGTCTGTAGGTCCCGGCCAGCACGAGAGGAAGGAAGCAAGACCAGAACGTGAGGAAGCCATCGTGCGAGACAAAGGAGATCGCACCCGTCGATCTCACGCGTCGAAAAAGTCTTAAAAATCGCAGAAAAACGTACTGCGTACCGCGACGCGAGTTTTCTTTTGCAATCAAGGTCCAAAATTCCAACCCACAAAAAAACAAAACGAGGATCGACCACGTCGAAAGCGCCTTAGGGCCATCACACGGGCCGACTACGTCGGCAGCGCCTCCGGGCCATCACCAGGGTCGACCACGTCGACAGCGCCTGCGGGCCATCATTTTTACAAGTGAGAGTGAGTGCGGTGTGCGGGAGCTCCCCGGGTTCGGGTCGCGTTCGTGCGTGTCGTGCGTGCTGCCACGAGGCAGCCGGTTTTTCCGCATACACGTGCGGGCTGCGAAAAGCCACGCGATCAACGCCTTTCCCGCTTGCGCCGTAACGCGGCCACGAGACTGCCATTTTGTGTGCGAATTCATCAAAGACTTTTATGTGTGCGTGCGAACGAGTCAAAACCGTCACGTCACTTCTTGCGGAAGCGTTTTTGTTCTTTGTTCTTTGTTTTCACATTCGATTATAATCTGCGAGTTCTTTATCATCTGATATTTTTAATTTCTAATTTTTCTCTTTGTGTTATATTTAAATAAATGGGTTTTTTATGCCGCAAGGCTTTTTCCCAAATACATGAGTATGATTATCGAAAACCTCAATCATTTCAAATAAATTTTAATAATGCTGACATGCCACCTAGGGTATGCCAGGGTTCAATTCATATCAATTCATGGATCTTGAGTTTCCAACGTGAGACTTCGGCATACATATTCGACTACACGACGCTGCCGTTCTCGAGTATAGAAGCTCGATGAAGAGACTGATTTTGTGCGACAATATGACTAATGCCTGTTCTGGCAAGTTGAGTTCACCGCGACTATTTTTATTTTTCTCGACTGCGGTTACGAGAGTAATATGTGTGCTTGACTGCAAGCTTTGAGCGTTTACTTGCCATCATGGATCTTCACGAACAAAACGATGAAAATCATTTCACACATTTCGTGAATATCAGGTACTATAGAAGATGCATTATACCAGGAAGGGTAAGGGAGGAAGTTTTAGATAAGGTGTTGTAGGAGCCCGGAGCTAGAAAATTTTGCACCATTGGTGAATTCAAGAATACCTTACGCAACGTCATTGCCAGGGATAAAGATATACGGTGCGATAAACGATCTTTAAAGGTTTATCTAGGTTCTGGTAAGAGTTAATTGCTCAATTCGATAATCAAGCCGATACTCAATAGTATCTGTAAGAAAAAAGGTTATCAAAATACGTTTCAATAAATTCTTGGCTAAGAGAACTTTTAACTTTCCAGCTTGGTATAATTTATTACATCAAATATCAATCACTGGCTGAGATTTTTTCTTAAATATTTGAAATTTTGACACACTTTACTTTGCATACTTTGGAAGAAATAAGATTTGAATACGACAGATAAAAAAATGTCACGGTGTTTGTCAAATAACTATTTAGAATATAACTCATACGTGTGATGCGTTAATTTTAAGTGACAATATCTGTGACTTATTATTAGCATTTGCAAGAGAAAATTACTTTGATTTAACTGTGGCTATTTTTAACTTTTGACTATTTAAAAATTGAATATTACGAACGGATTACGAATGTTTTTATGATTCATTACAACAATTTGCAAAAGAATTGTGATATACATCAACATTTATTCGCTTTCATATAGTCTCATTTCTAAATCGATTTCATTTATAATAAAAGAATTTAATAGTTATAATGATTGATTGTGTTGATTATATTGAATTATAAAATTCTTAAATTTTGTCTATTGCTACCGATTTCATTACTAGGCCTTATACCGTCTGATTATAAAATTATACATCAGTATGAATCTATGTAGGAAATTATTACATTTTCTTGATTGAACCCAATGGTTTTTATACTTACACATGTGAAAATACTTAATGTGATAATTTTCTAAACATTTAAAGAAATGTATAATAAAATTGGAAAAAATGTATTTAGTAATTTTATTTTTTTAATCTTTATTTGAAGGTATTTAGATATGGCGATTAAACCATTGCAAATTGTCAAGAACTCTCCCTAAACGTGCCTTATATTAACGCGCACACGCACACACGCGCACACACACATAATTTTTTTAATGCATTGAACAAATACTCAATGCAATCTGCAATGAAGGAGAGTCAAGAAACTTTGAAATTTTAATTATCTTGTTTTACTTTTTCATAAATATTGTTTTATTAGTTACATTTTCGACCATTAATACTAAATTATTTATTTTAAAGGTTGTAATAAAAGTACAAAGGAATGATCATAAAATATGTGATATATATCGTTTGTATTTGATATAAGCCCCTATGTCGAGAATTATAAGAAAAATTTTAATTATTAAATAAATTCTGTGGTAAAATGTGTGAGTTGGCTATCATTCTAACTGCATAGTTAAAGACACATTCAATGTCTTTCCATGCTCGTAAAATAGGTATACAGTGAATTTGGTAATATCTTAACTCTAAATTACTCTAATTTTTTTGGGGTGTCAACCCGAATACTGGACCTCGAGCTTAAGGTGGACTTTGAACCACCAGAGCAACAGTGTTAATCTTGGCACGTGCACTTTTGGAAAAAAGCCATTGATACCCATCAGGAATCGAACCCTATCGGAGACTCCCGCTTAGGAGACCGTCGCGCACTACATTAGAGATTGCGCATGCGCCGGTCTCTGTATCTTTCACTCTCTTTCGCTCGCGTAGTGTGTCCTGCGCGGCACTACTTTTTGAGCTCTTGTCGAGTTGACACGCGTTTTATAGTCTACATTCTTCTAACAATAAAGTCCGTAGTCCGTTAATTGTGTGAACTGGATTACATTTTTTACGCCTGCCTACAATGCCACTACGTCGGACAATAATAATCGCATTAAAAAAGTATAGATTAATAGGTATATTGTCGTAATATTTGATTATAATCATATTAACTATATTGTTTGCAAACCTAAATATTTTGTATTTCTATTTTATAAATTAGTAAAAATACTGCTCCAAATATATTATGCATATTTTTGCGCTATTATGAATTACGGAATCCAGGTATGGGAAGATGCTGGAATAGGTATTTTATCCCTACTTCGAACCTTGCAAAACAAACTTTTAAAAATGATTGCTAAAAAGAAATTTATAATTTAAAATTATCTACTCTGACTGGATCAAAATTATGCACTAGAATCTTTATGTTGTCATTATGATGAACTAAGTTTAAAATATATTAACTCTAATAATGAAAGAAGATTCAAAAATATTTATATACCTAAAATAACTAAAACGATGTATAAAAACAGTATTTACGTTATTGCTATTAAAATTTTCAATAGATTATCCAATCAACTAAAAGTTTTACGTAGAAACAAAAAATTTATCAAACGAAAACTAAAAAATAGATAATAAAGCATACATAACAACTTCTTCATGAAGTATCAACGCATTATGTATTACTATATTTATATTATAAATTATTGAAACGATAACAATTGACTTTTTGCGTACAACTCCATAGTTTATTGTTGCTTTTCAATTTTATAATCATTTGAAAAAAACTAAAATTTTACATTCTTAAAGTATTAATTTCTTAAACAAAAAAATTTTTTCTCTATTACTGCCTAAATTAAAAAAATCAAAAAGTACTCAATGTGATTAATTTATTATAATTATATAATGCATATCATATAAATTATGTAATCAAAAGAATATTCTCGAGGCATTGATACAAGTGTAGATATGTATATACAATTAATATTAGTGTAACCATGAATAAATATGATAGATAGCAATTAATTTGGCACGTGTATTCACTCCAATGATGATATCGACATCTTTCCCTAAGTTAACTCTGCCTGTATTTTCGGTAGTCAGGCCGGAAAGTACAATAAATAAAAAAAATGTTTACCGGTTTTTAAAATTGGAATTGATAATAAGCGAACTAATATGCTAGATAACGAAATATACGGATATTATTTCAGTATTTATAGTTTTAAGTTTTACTATTACGGTTACTAGACAGGAAACTCGTGCCATGTGAAAATATATTTTAAAAATTCTTAAAAAGTCATAATGGAAAATTTTATAAAACTTACAGCCTTAATTCTCGTGATAATTACTCATTCAATTAAAAATGCTATGGCTGAATTGAAATTGCTGAATGTGGTAAGCTTGTGATATTCAAAATGCAAATAAAAGTGTTATTTATAGATCGGACTAAAATAATGTCTCGTTTACAAGTTCATTAAATAATGTTTTATTTTAGATCTTCAGACATGGAGATCGAGCTCCCGACAACAATGGATTGGAACTTTACCCACGAGATCCCTATGTAAATAACTCATTTTGGCCTGAGGGATTGGGTGGTCTTACAAATGTAAGTTTAAGAGGTCGAAATGAAAAAAAAAATGACGAATATAAAATATATTCGATTGTCAATAGTCAGGCAAATTACGAGAGTACAACTTAGGCAAATACCTTCGAAAAAGCTATGGATATTTTTTGGGAGACGTTTACATTCCTGCGGAAATCAGAGCTCGCAGTACCGATATAGCTCGAACGAAAATGAGCTTGCAACTCCTTCTCGCTGCTCTTTATACTCCTGAGCGTCAGCAAAAATGGAAATTGGACTTGGATTGGCAGCCAATACCTATTGATACTGTTGCCAAATTGGACGATATTCTCATGATTCCCGAAGAATGTCCAAAGTAAGTAAAGTATAAATGACATTATTGCTGCGAATCAATGAATTTCAAAGCAATGAAACGTTCATATCGTCGATAGCTATTTGAAAGTACGCGAACAAGTGGAAACGTCATCGGAGTTCAAAGTGAAACTTCGTTCTTTCGAGAGTTTTATGCGAAATTTGTCATCGAACACTGGAAAAAATATATCACACTCGAATGACATGTACTTTTTGTATCACACACTGATGGCTGAACACTCTCTAGACCTACCTCTACCTAAATGGACTAAAAACATTTTTCCTTATGGCAAATTGTTAGATGGCATCAGTCTAGAATATAAAATTTCCAACTATAATACCGAAATGAAAAGAATGAACGGCGGTATGCTACTGCGAAAATTCATTGATGATATGGTCACCTACAGCAATGGTAAACTTGATCGGAATCGTAAGATTTTCCTGTACAGTGGACATGAAACTAACGTGGTAGCTGTACTTCAAGCCTTAGGCGTTTATTATCCTCATGTTCCTGAATATACCAGTGCTGTTATAATCGAACTTCATGAAGTAAACTCTAAATATTATGTTAAGGTAAGATCACATCTTTTTAAACGTCAAAAACAAAATTTATATGTTTTATTTTTTAAAACGCGCAATTTATTCGTGCATTAAGTATTCTGATTGATTCGATATAATCAATGTAATTTTCTAGGTTATTTATTACAAAGGTATAGCTAGGCCAAATGAAAATTTATTCGAAGAAATGTATGTGACGGGCTGCAATAAGAATTGCTCTTTAGATAGGTTTCAGAATGTTTTAAAAAATGTCACTGCTATCGACAATGATATCAAAAGTTGCGACAAGCGATCTCTTCGAGGTATTATTCAAGAAATGTCCATTGCCCCGGGTATTATCAAACAAATAGTCGATGAGCTCGACATTGAAGACAGTTTGCGTAATATGTTATTGTATTAGAGAATGAATTTTGTAATTATGAAAGTAAAAAATTTTTTTAAAATCTTATATCGTTTATTCGTTTAAACCACATAGTTCTTATTTACTCCAGCGATTGTTGTATCTGGATTAATTATTCCTTCCATTATCTCTGGTTGAATATTTTTATACAAACAAAGCATATCATCATCGGATGGCAAATGTGGTTTTATGATTTCTACATAATTTTTAAAAGGACACATTTCCGTGCAGGTTTTTAATGTAATGGTTTCGATTTCTTGTGATCCGCAAGGCCAATACAAGAACTGCAAAAGTAAAAAAATTGTTAATGAATCTAGTGTCCACTTTGAATCAGCCATAATTATACTTACTCTAACGTAACTTTGATTCTGTTCCCCGCGATATTTTTCTAAAATTATTGTAGCTCCATATTTGGGCTGTTTCACATCCAATACATCATGTACTTTCAGAAAAGCATGAAGAGTTTTATCGTGAGCACTGTACAGATAGATTTTCCTTTTATTGGTTTTCCAATGCGTGTCGTTCATATTTTTCAAAAACCTTCTGACTATAGGCCCACCGTTTAATTTTTTCAAAATATCAGTGTAAGACAAAGCATTCAGATAAAACTCTTTCGCTTCGTTCAAATCAGAATATAACTCGTCCGTATACCAACTTGGCATTGGTAAATTCATTTCTTTCTAAAAAAAAAGTTATTTATCACAAATAAGCTATTTATTGTTATGATTTATCGCTCACTTTACTTACGTGTACTTTTATTGCATTGTAAGCACAAAAGATATCGCGCAGGTTGAATGATTTCCAATAAACTTCCCTCATTTTTTCAATGACTGGGCGGTGCTTTTCGAGCAAACTCAACATCTCCTTAGTGCTCAACAATTGATGCAGTGCTTGTCCAAAACTGATAAATGAAATGAATTTTAAGCGTCATAAGCAATTACAGTATATAATAACAAATTGCACATTTACGTAGGACAAATTCGAGATTTTATCAGAATATCTAGACGCCTAGGATTGGAATGTATCGGAATAGGAAGCCAATCCAATTTGTTATTCCATTTCAATTGATTTGTTGGTGGATAAAGTGCAGCCAAAACTAAAAGAAGCGATGCTTGGGTTCTTGAAGTGTCAGATGCATATGCGTACACATCTTTTTGTCTGTACAAGTCTGGCAAAAAGCTTTTGTATCTGTCTCGAAGCATTTTACCAATGTTGTACTCTTGCATCATGCCGTTCTAGGAGCCATTCATTATCAATGAATTAATCTACTCGAACCAATTTCAACCCGATTATGTTATAATTACGTTTGTTAATTGAGCAATTCCCCAAGGATCGTACAGTGAATTATTGCCATTAGATACCAATTTTGCTTCACAAGCTACAGGCGTCCGAGCACCATGACGGAATAACTAAACATAATATCTTATTAATCATATGCGGTATATGTTTTTTTTTTAATTTTTCTTACCACTTGGATCATTTCTAGTTTTAATTTTGTATTATCTTCAATTCCAAAGACGGAAACACTGTAAAATAAAATTAGCCACGAAAAATTCGTCCCTATTTGATTTCGTAAAATCATATTTGAGTTCGACGTAAACGTTATACAAGACACTAAATCAATCGAATTACTGCCACAAGCAATTGCGATCTGTTGGCGAAGCACTTGTTATTCGTTCGTTTCATAATTTTAGTTTGTCAGCAATTTAAAACTAATCTAATCGAAGATGACAGTTCTTGTAAACAAGGTTTCAATGAAATAAATGTAAATAAATTGATAACGTTAATGTCAGTGAAATAAATTTCAATTGCGAAATCGATTTTATATATCTACTGTCAATTTTTCACCAATTAAATGATAATTGTTTTATAGCATCTACCAAAATTTCCAACTTTATGCCCTCTAAACTTATCCTGAATTGTGGTAACTTGATTAAATAAGATTATACAACATCATAATAAAGTAAGATATATTAACGATTTGTGGGAAAGGAGGAATTTAGGTAAACTGTTATACCTTTGTTACGTGGACGGAGAGAATAGTGTACTATTTCTCATGAAACATAATAAACATGCTTTTATGAAAACGATGGAAATTTTCCGATACATTTTTAAAACTGAATTTTCTCTCAGCGTAAAATTGATTTGAAGTGTTATTTAGAAAATATTTTTATTTCTGTACATAGATATTGACAAGAAAAATCTACAAATTGGACACATTGCTTGAATTATTATTTTGTAAAAAAGTTGATGTCTTACGTGCGTGATGCAAAGCCCATATAATAAAAATCATCGACAACTTTAGTGATGCATTGAAATTATTAATGTTTTTCTCTGGTAATAGTCAAATTGCTATATTGAGCGACTCCCCTATTAACGCCCATTTCTTTTCAACAAAATTACGTATAAAAATAGCTAATGGTTCTTTTCATATTACATAAAATTCTTATTCTTTAACAAACACAGCATTTCATCGTCAGACAGTAACGAAGGTTTTATGATTTTTAAATATACTCCCAGTGGACACATTTCTAAGTAATTATCTAGTTTTAATGTGTGCAACTGCTTCGGCTCTCCAGTCCAATAAAGTATCTGTGAATATACCTCTTATAAAGTTGCTCAACTTCGAGTGACATATGTGGAAAGAAATAAAATGATTATAGCACATTATTACTTTGATATAATACTTATTATGGTTATCACGATATTTTCCACTATTACAGCGGATCCATAAACAGGATTGCCAAAACCCGTATGATTATGTGCCCTCGTATAAGCGTGCAGTGTTTTGTCGTGAGCACTGTATAAGTAAATTTTTCTTTCGTCTGTCTTCGTATTCGAGTTATTGATATTTTCAATAAATCTTCTGACGACAGGTCCTCCATTCAACCGTTTTAGGAAATTCGTGTAGGACAAAGCATCGGAATAGATGTCGCCAGCTTTTTTCATCCTATTCAGTGCCTCGTCTGTACACCACTGAGGCAGTGGCATGTTCAGATGTCTCTAAAAATCCAGTGAAAAGTATTTAATGAAAATCCATAAAAATAGATTTATTTGAATTTGCTTATTCTACTCGTATTTTAAGTAAATTGGTTATTCCGAAAAAAAGTCCGTAACTCATTTGAGTTTTAGAGTTCTCGTTTGTCGCGCGAACAATGGCATCGAGTTGAGATGATTTCATATATTCAGAATTGAAAACTTCCTTCAACTTTTGCAGGTACCTACCAGTAAAGTAAATCGTACAATATCAATTGTAAAATAAGTACCATTGTTGCGTGCAATTTACTTTGGACAATCCCGCGAATGTGTCAAAATATCCAAAAATCGTGGAACTGTGTGTATTGGAATGGGAATCCAGTTCAAATCGTCATTCCATTTTTGCTCACCGACGGGAGTATAAAGTGCCGCTAATACGAGTTGGAGCGAGGCGATAGTTCTGTCAGTATTTGAACTGTATGCGTACACATTCTGTGGTCTGTACATATTTGACAAAAAGTCGTTGTACCGTTCTCTGAGTATTTTTCCAAGTTCATATTCTTGAATCATACCTTTCTGGATTCAAATCATTTAGCATTAAAATAAATCAGAGTATAATTTTCGGAATTACCTTCGTTAACCGAGCAAAGCCCCATGGTTCATAAGAATTATTAAATTGTGGTAATAACGAAGCCTCATCTTCCAGTGGTGTTCGATCGCCGTGTCTAAATAACTATAATCACAAATTCTGTTGATTCTATTCAGACGTGCAATTCATTTATCTTACCACTTGGACAAGCTCCAAATTTGCGTCGATATTAGTTCCAAAAGTGCATATAGCGTTGTATAAAATAAGACACAGATGGACGAGCATTCTTGATTCGAAATCAGCTCGAACTAATATTTATCATCGGTACTGATGAGCTTATTATCACTGATACGCAAAAATTTCAATCGCTTATCATTTGTGGCAAAATTCTCATTTTTTTTATTTCAATTTAAAAAATCTATAATCTTATACTTGATGCACTTTGAAATGCAGTCTGGTTCCATAACAATGAACTGGTTAATAATTTTTTGTCGTTGCTGATTTCATCACATGGAACGATTACGAAAAGATCACGATTCTTAAAAAAAGAAACCTTTTGTCGGTATGAGAAAGAAAAAAATGTTTTCTTTAAAAAAATTAATTTAACGGTACTGTAAGAATCACCATAAGTAACAACACCATATTTTTTCATAAAGATAAACTTTATTCTGTACATAATTAAAAAACATCGAAAAAAAGCTCTCATTTTATTAGAGTACACTTACAATCGTAAATGACTAATAATACGCAAGTAATACATTTTTTTTAAATAAATAAAAAAATTAAGAAACGGAGGTAAGTTTTAAAATTAGACATGCATTAATTTTTCAACTATGGTAGCATTATTAATAAATACATCCCGAACAATACTAAATTACCGGGTTTCATCTCAAAACTCTCTACAATGACATTTACAAAATAAAAGAAAAGTGAATCGCAAGTACTCGTTAACCGCGATGGAAAAATGAAAGAAACGAAGAATATGACGCGTTAAGTAATAACACGATTAATGAAAGAGAGAGAGGGAGAGAGAGAGAGAGAACATACGGTAATACGCTTAATTACGACTTTACTGGTCTTTCGATACGTCGAAAGTCCAACGAAACAATCACATGTGATAAAAAGAATATCCGTGTATCTGGAAAGATACGAATAGAACGCCAAGATTACAACGGCCGCCACAAGTATTTTGTTTTCTGTTTTATCTCGATCGTGATGCTCGACGTCGATTGTCGCACACAGCAACGGCTTCGTTAGTTCAGACTGTTTTGGCCCAGACGCCCAGTACGAACTGCTCGATTTCGCATTCGTTCGTGCCACGAACGATTCGGAAGTAACCGTCCTCTCCCCATTCTCGTCCCCAAGAGTTGGCCACACGCTGAAATCCAGAGGTAAAGCACGTTGAGCTTGTTTGACAAGCGTAACGCGTCTAATAGTGGAAAATACTGACCCAGAACTTGATGAGTGTACCAGTGAAGGATGAGGGTTCCTCGCCCCAACCGATTATCCTCACAGAATGGTATCCGGTGGGATACATCTCGGACAGTCGCGAGTGTCTGTAGATACCCGACTCGTAGTGGAAGAAGTCTTGGTAAACCATCATTGTGGCTGCAAATAAAACGAAATTGCGCAATCGACCGTGAAATCGTTGAAATCGTTGAAAGAGTCGTCGTAAAAGTGCGTCCAAGATGAAAGCGTACCTTGGACGGGTCCGGAGGTGAGGATCTCGTGCATAATGTCGGTCTCGTTGCCAAGTCGATAAGCCGGGCCAACCTTGTACAGCTCGTTTCTCAGCGCGTACGAGTGTCGCCTCTTGCAGTTTGCGTCCGACAATTTGCCCCTGCGCTGCACTCTACACTTCTCGCCGTGGCCTATCCACGGATAGCATTCTTCGTCGGTCAATCTGCGCAAGGGATTCAAACGGTTCGCTCAAAATTAAGAGATGAAGAGAGAAATTTAAGATTTACAAAGAAAACATTCCATTTCTCGAGAATCTAATCAAATTCGAGCATCTCTGTGTGGCTTTTCACTCGACGTTATCTTTCACTTGATGAGACACTCGAAATCGAGAATTGACTTACGAAATATACCCACCCGAACTTGCGCATAAACAGCCAAGCACGATCGAGGTAGCCGCCGTTGCAAGCGAGCTGCCCCCGATTGTTGCACGAGATCAGGTGTTGAGCACTCAGCTGTGGATTCTCGGTGCCCTTGCTCATAATGGCGAAGCGATCGGAAGCAACGTCGACGGTGGAAATCGCCCAAGAAGCACCGCACCAACCTTGATCGTGAACTGGTCTAATGTGGCGTGGCCATCTTTGTCGGGAGTCGAATTCTTGGGGAAGGTCGTCGGGATTGTACACGCGACGCACTGCGTTCATCCGCATTACCTAACATTTATAGTTGAAAAGTGATTAGAGATTGAGTAAGTATCTCTGAACCCAGAACTCTGAAAATTCGCATACGCGCTCTTTATAAAGTAGCAGATATTTTAGGCACTTGGTGAATTTTTTCAATTTTTCAAACTCGTTTTACAAACGTATATACAGCTGTTTTTCAAGTTTAAACTCGCAATGTTCAGTGAGACTACTAATATCAATGTTTTATAATAGAATTTAGTTTGAGACAGGTGTTGATAAAAGATGGCGAACAAAGAAGTGTACCTTTTATCAAGTGCATCAGTCTTTCCAGAGAAATAATAGACTAAAGAAATACGATCGGATCATCAATGTATTTCGCTACTGTTTTATCTTAAATAAACAACGGATTAAGTACCCAGATCAACATTTTATTAACGACTTCCATATTCTACTAAAAATAATGATTTACGTTGACAAATAAATATAGCAGTCGATGAGTTAGTTAGCTTATAGATACGACAGACAATCTTTCGGCCCAGATAAGCCAAATAATTTCAGCGGCATGGAAAAAGATGCACTTTTATGATTAACGCCACTTATCGCGAATTTAGCCGCACTCTTTTGAAGGCATCGACGGGACAGTAGACTCTGCATTTCGATACACGACCGCTGATTAATATCCGTCAATATTGCTTCGTTATATCGCAGTAGTACTCACGAAAAGTTCTTGCAGCTGAATCAACGAGATAAGTTTTCGTGATTCATCAAATTCCAATTGAGAGAGAGACAGAGAGAGAGAGAGAGAGCAATACGCGAGCCGCGCGACAATCTTAATGAATCGCGCAAAATGTCTCACCGAATACGTCGGGTTTTCGGTACCCAATCTCTTCTGCAAACCCTCTTTGAGAGTATGCCCATAGAATTCCGAGTAATTCCTAGCCATCCATCCTGCAGTTTCGACATAATTGATCCTATCGATGAGGTCTTGATCCATCAGACAGCGATTGTCTTCGCACATGATTTCGGAGTTGCCTTCCAAAGACGTACACTCGCTGCGAGAATTCAAACAGTTAACTCCAAATGGAAAAATCGCCGTAACCAACAACTCACCAAATGTTACAGTTTTCTTTGAACTTGTTCCCAGGATAATAAGACCTTCCCTTGTGATTGCACACTGCAAGCAACCATTAGTCTCATCATTGAATCTTCAATTGAATTTTTAAAAATCAAAACCATACGCTGAGTATTAATAGCCGTGGGAGCCTCGCCATGGCAGTGCGGCAAGTAATCCGGACAACAGTCCTCGGATCGACTTCTGTTCCTGGCGTTGCAGAACTCGTCGCAGTAGCACAGAGTGCCCATGATCGGTACGCTGCAGTCGTCTTTTCTACCCTCGCAGCATCTCATTTGGCGATAACGGGTCTCGCAGTACGGACCGGTCAAACCCGTGTAATCGGGTGTCGCTTCGAGTGCTACAATTATGCCCAACAGCACCCATATCGTCGTCGTAGTCGTCGCTCGTGTTCTTAACCTGCCGACGGCCAAAAAAACATTTTTTTTTTCAAGTAGCTCGTTACACAATCGTTTATCTATTTACAACGCTCTTGTACAATCGGATTTGAATTGAATTGCCTGTTGGCGCCGGCTATAAAGATTAGTAGCTGATCTAATATTCTGTTTTTATTAGACGAACGCAGTGTTTTTCAAGGTGGCGCCTTTGCATTCCACATAATCCAGGCCACTGCTTTTTGTGCAAAGTATACCTATGCATCGGGGATATGCATTATATGTATAGTGAAATTTTTAGCCTTGAGATTTATTGAATTGCAAAAATAACTTTATATTCCTTTCAAAAGCAATGATATATTTGCCGAGGAAGATGATAATTGCTACAAAGCTTTCCGAACGCGAAGCTCGATCCGTTCTTTTCAAATTCATATTGCCGTTCCTTTTTCACGAAAATATGGCACTTAACGCGACACGACACGAAAAAAATAATACGTCCATCTCACGACTTGGAACGATATTTTGACAAGCTTCGAAAAGTAAAAAAAAAAAAAAAAAATAGAGTATGCTCAGATTACACGAGGCACCAAGGCAAATTAAATCGTTGGACGTTCAATTGGGTGCGAAAATAATCGTTACAAACGAGGAAAAATCCATCTCAATTCCCGATTGACGACCACGCGTTGCTAACGAGCTTTCGCGATGAACGAACTGAAATTCATCGCTTAGTTCCCGGTCGCGACGTACACGCGCGCGATACTTCCGTTTGTTTTCTTATGATCATCACAGCTCGACAATGAGCTGAACCGTCGATGGGGCGATAACGCGTGTCGATTGCCTAATCGGCGACATCGTTACAGTTGTCTGCGTACATCGACGATGACCCGTAGAAAAAAAAAAAGCGAGAAGTACAGGGCGACGCTAGCGAGCTGGGCAACGTGGCCGTCGAGGCGAGAGAATCTCTTTTGGAATTCCATGACGCAAGGCTTTCTGATGATTCAATGCGGGTGCAGCGGATGAAGACACTCGCGAGACAGGTAACGCGACGCTCGCTTACGCGCTAATTTCGTCCGTTGATGAATCCTCTAAAAATAGCCTCGTGATTCTACTTTTCTTCGTTCCTTTTCCGCGACCTGCCCGCCGATTTTTTCCAAGCGTAATTAAATTTCGCTATTAATCGTTTCCGCAAACGAGTCTCTCTCCCAATGAAGCGGAGTGCCGCGAAAGACAGATGCCCCCTCGTTCGCGGAAAACGGGGACGCGCGCGTCCCGCGTCTATTTACAAAAGCACAGAGGCGCGCGCGAGCGAAGATCTTCTCGTGTGCCGCGCTGACGCGAAAGAGCCCGTTTTTGTTGCTTTGAACCGCGAGCTTCGCGGCTTTGTGTGTCTGTCCCGCGCGTATCAGCGTTTCGCGGCACCTGTTTTCGCTCTCGCTCTCTCATCGCCGCGGAGGCGACTCTTAATTGGTGCTCGCGTGTCAACGCTAAAAATATCTTTCTCCGGCGAAGCCCCGAGCGTCCGCCGAATCGATCGGAGAGGCTGCCGGCCGCGGGCTTTTAGCGTAATGGGCCGCCGCGCGCTGTTTTCGCGGGCCGCCGGCGGCAGAACACAGCGGGACCCGATGAAAAGACGAGACGGGATCGAACTGCCACGCGACGGCATCGAAACCAATTAGCTACACAGCGCGACCGCCTGTTATACTCTCCGCGCGTTCTTGACCCACTTGGGCGCGCCGCAGATATTAAGAGCAGCGTGTGGCTAAGCTATTACCGATAATCCGCGCAACGCGACCAGCCTTATTATCCTGGTCTTGCAATTTTCCGACCGCAGCGTGGCTCGCGCGAACAATATCAACGGACGCGAGCTTCGACGTTTCGACCTTGCCTCGCACTGCCATTCGGAGCAGATCGCTATTTGCGGAAGGGATGTGTAGGAAGCCAAACAATTCGGAGTAAAAGCTTTCGCGCAAATGCAACTGACACTCGCTCCGCGTCAAACCTTTTTTCCGCTCGTTATTTCAATTTTGAAACAACTCACTGCTTTTCGAGTCGCAGCTTGCCCGCGCGCTTGCGAATACTTCATAGCGGATTTCATAGCTGAGCGTGTAATTTCTCTTTCGATGTCGACTTCGCCTTGCGTGCCCGTAAAAAAGGAAAAAACAACGAGCTACATTTTATTTTCGTTCCGGATGTCGCTTTCTCGCGAGCTTGCAATATCGGACGTTCAAAATTATTTAAGTAACGATTTGCGTTTATTTGTTTATCGGTCTGCCGATACGAACGTTGGGGATTGCAACGATCTTTCACAAGCTACAAAATCTGGACGCTAAAAGTAAACGCATTTTTTTTTTCTTTGGCAACCGCTGAAATACACGGGAGACTACGAAGCGAAGAGCGAAAACAGAAACAAAGAGAGAAAGAAGAAAAGACACCTCCCACGCGATGTGTGTGTTTAACCTGATTGAATTAATTGCCAAGACAAACTTCGTGTATCTCTCGCGCGTTTCATAAACCAAACTCTACCTGCAACTTGGCGCGAAACAATCGAGAACAAACACGACGAGTGATCCGGCCGACTGAAACGAAAAAATCCCTCGCAATTAACGGCGAAAAGCCTGCAATTTCGCGGCGCAACTAATCAGATTAATCGTTAATTCTCAAGTTTACGCGTACGATAATAAAGGTCGTCGTGTTGTGGGCGTCGACGGTTGAATCAGCCTGTGCACTGGCCAACTATAAATATGCGCGACGCGCTATTGGCGTTAATCAATCGCGACGTCTTGAAATGACGCGCTGTTGCCGTCAAACAATCGCGATACTTGAAAACGAGAAACCTCCTCGCCGAAGGCAAACACGGAGTCTCTCGGCTCGGCTAATCGGATTTGTCCGGCGCCAAAACGCGTTTCGAGCGCCCGTCCGCAGCGAGATGAACACATGTTACCGATGGGAAAGTACGATACGCTAATGAATTATCATAATTGGATGCCGCTCGCGTTTAGCTTTGCTATAACCAATGCCGCTGTGTTTCGCGTTGTTTCTTTTCGTGTTCGCGAGCGTGACTCGTGGTTCGCGGTATTGGGCCTTTCAAGAGAAAAACTTGCAAGCGATTTTCGAGATACTTTCCTTGTTTCCATAGGAATTTACGACAATGCGCAAATCGCGCGTGGATTCGTTTCCAAATCTCCCGATTGTTTTCGCCGATTGAAGCAAATTGCTTCTCATAAATTCAGCTGGTTTCCCGACTTGACAAACGCACGGCACGTGCAACTGAGAATCGGAAAAACGCGGCTTTTACGATAAATCCACTGCACCGCTGGAAATTACCGTTTCAATCAAATAAATAAATACACGTTTTCTCCAGTTGATATGGATTGCGACGAGTCAAGATTAGCAGTATGATGTCTTCATTGCAATGAAAACATATTTTCCAGTGGCTTTTTTTTCATTCGCGGAAACGAGATATCGAGTAATGAATAGAGAGGATTCATAAAAGACAGTATTACGAGGGAGATGCATCTGAGCGAAAATTGCTTGTCATACCACGCCTCTTTTTTTAATGCAAGCATCGTCGACTTCGAAGGACAGCGTCTCTAATTAAAACGAATCAAGTCAACTTTCTGCAGCGCACTTCGAAATTGAAAATGTTCTCGAAAGAGAATAAAACAAATCACTCGATTCGCCTTATTAACGAAAATGCCATCGACGGATGGCTGCCACTTTTATGAAATCGCACGCGACAGCGGCTTCTTTTTGTCCCGGCGCGAGTTCTTTGCTGATCGCGTGCTGCTGCGTCGATAAATCAAGCGATAGATTCGTCAAGGGCTTTTGTAATAAGTAAGAGTGGATAAATATTAATTTTCTCATTCGGCCTTCGTCAACGACGCTGTTCATGGATACGATCGTTGTCTTAGACCGAAGTGACGACGGCGATGACGATTCGTCTATTGTTATTCGATAGTTTGTTTGGGATTGACGTTCCAGTGTTGTGACAACTTTAATCCGAGAGCTTCGCGCTTAGCTGGTATCAATCAATCGACAAATCGAATTTTGTCGATTCACATTTCAATCGCAGCTCCATTATCGAGGCAGACACTCGATTGAATCGTAACTTCGTGTTGTTGTTGGTTTTTATTTATTTTTGAACGATTACACTTGAACTTTGGCGCAAGGCAAAAGTATATTTTTATCAAAGGTGCGCGAGCTTCTGTAATAGCATCGCACTTTATATCACTGTCGGCCGTCCCTCTCTCGTTACGCTCGCCGTCGGGTGTTTTCGCGTGCGCGCCTCGGGAAAATAAAATCTCGAATATTCATGCTGACGCCGCCGACAGGATGATTTTGAAAATCCGCAATCGACAGTTATCGTCGCCGTAAATTTTTATGTGTCGTTGGTCTGCGACACTGCTCGAGAGGAACTATCAGAGGAATGAGCGACAGGACAAACAAAAATCAGCGATAAACTTGGCATACCGAATAACCAAGTGTTCCCTCTTCGAGGCAGGCTATAATCATTGTTTTGCATAAGTACGTCGCTTGCAATTATCATACACCGAAAAAATTTATAAAAAAAACGAATCAGAAAAAAGAAAGAAGGAAATTCGCAAGACGTGATTCATGTCTATTCTTGTTTTCGTCGATGCATCAACTAATGGGAGATTTTCGTTGTCGATAGCGATGTCTATTAAAAATACAATTATGACATTCTTTTTTTCCGAGCGTATGCATGCGTAATTGTTTCTTTTTTGCGTTGACGCGGTCGAAAGATCTTAACGACCGGACAAATCGAATTTTCCGCTTAATCGCGTCTGATTCATTTTTAGTTGGACAATTTTTCGAAAAATCGTTCGGTTTAGCAGGTGCAGAATGCTGCGAAGATAAGGATTTTCAATTATCCACGTCGCTCTATGCGAGAACAAAGCGCGATATATATATATATATATATATATATATATATATCTCATTTGGCGGCTTCTCTTTCCCCGTGGCCGGCGCAACATTTGGCAAAACGCGATGAAATTCTTCGACGATATTATTTGCCAAGCTAAGATGATATTCAAAGCAACCCGCCCTGCTATCAGAATACGTAATCGGATTCCAACTGATGACTCACGAATATGCGCGATAAAAACGCTCCGATAAAAGAAAAAAATAATAAAGAAACAAATACGAAAGACGCGGATTTTTCTGCGCGCGACATCTTTCAAACCCCTCGCGTGTATTAATAATAGCGACACGCGGGGTTGTACGTCGGTCTGGATTACCTCCGTAAATGGTTTTTCGTCGAAATTTATATGATGTGCCTTTCACTGTCACTTTCGTCTGCTTTCAAATTGGCTCTGCGCTCGAATGTTCTTTTTTACGGTTGAGACATCATAAAAAAAGCGAATGTTTCGCGCGCTTTATGAGCGAGAGACGCAATGATGACCCTTCTGTGCAAATTTCGTCAAGTGTGATCGTAAAAATAACACTGACGAGCATTTAAGATCGTCTAAACGTTTGGCAAAAACGAATCTTATCTAAACAATTTTTCTTTCAATTATTCTTCATAGTCATGGCACATTTAAACGATTCGGTTCTCTTCGTAATATCCGTTATAAGTTTCGAGCATCGAATCCAAACGGCATTGATTATTTCTGTTCTCCATTCTTTCATCGTGTTATCGTGTATACATGGGCGGGAAGATTTTTTTTCAACCGCATGCTTACATACATTTCGAATGATTTTCACTATAACGTGCACTCTAAAAACTCCTACAAATGAATTTCGTTTTTTCTTCCCTTTTAGACGTTACGTCGGTTCTTGATTTTTGTCATTTTGTTTCGATGATACTCGAACACGCGAATAATTTTCCCACTTATCGAGGCGAATGCCTTTGCGCTTATTTTTTGCACGTTTGTTGATTTTCTGGCCGCGCATCGGAAAAGTCGCTCGCGCGTATCGCGCGCTCTAATCTGCTCTGGAGCCTGTTAATTAATTGCACGCGCGCGCTACGCAGCGCCGAGCAAGAGGAAAAATTTAGGGCACGCAGATTGTTCGCCTCGCGCCGAATACACGTGCACGCCCGTAAAATGCACATTTGGTAGGACTCGTTAGCGTAGTCGTTGCAGGCGCGTACATGCGAGACATGCCAAACTTTAGTAGCGACAATTGTTCGATGGAAACAATAACAAGTCGCACGTTTGCGCGGACGTTTCCGAAGACGCGAGTCGAGAAATAGCCGAGCGCGGGGCGACAACGGAAGGTTTGGCAGACATCCCAGAAGCGATGATCGACAAATGCCCCGTCACTCACTTTCCTCCGTGTGCGAGGAACATTTGTCACCGAGAGCAAGAGACGCACGCCATTCTTATCGACGCGTATACCTTCCTTTCTTTTTGTTTGTTTGTACGGTATAGCGTATAACGTGCGATAAGGCTTATTTGTATTCAGGATGCATCAAATTCGCGCAGTGATGCAATCTGTCGCCACTTGCTTCTCTGGCATTCGCGTCGGTTTCAAGGACCTTTTTTCCGAAGATAAACAATGCGAGCAGAAGCGAATTGGTGTCGACGCCTGCGATCCGTTTGAATCCCTGCAGTGCAATTAGCGCTCGAGCGCAACTTGTGCTCCGCTTTTCACTGGCTCTTTATCGCGATCGCATTCCGAAAATTCCAACAACAACAAATACTTACATCTCACTCGCAAGTGCAGCTCACGCGCGCGAATGTTGTCTCCGGCGAACAAGCCCGTACTATTGTTTGTTCGCTCGGTTGATAGCACGAGAAACGAAAGAGAGCGACAATCGGTTGTCGAGCGCCGCGAGAGTAAACAAAAACGGAGTAGTGCTTGCGACTTGTCGGCTGACCGGAGGTAAACTGCCCTGCCGAGAATTCGGTTGCTCTCTTGCTACCTCTCTTTTACTCTGCCCCTCCTCCGCCTCCTTCTTCTTTTTGCCGAGAGCGGCAAAAGCCCGAGGTGAGTACGTACGCGCGTCCTCCTCCCGCGCTCGCCCGACGGCGTCATCCCTCTCTCTCTCTCTCGCTCTTGCTTATCGCTGGCCAATCGTCGCGGCTGACTTCCTTCGCGCGGAGAATGGGGGATCCCCGCACACGCGGGTCTTACCGATTTCTGCTCGATCTGTACTGAATTCGTCTCCGATCGAGAGGAAGGTCCGCGCGTCGCTGATCCAAGCGCCGACTGCACTTCAAATTACGATGTCGCGTCGACCGATACTTTGGGTCGCCGGCCGACATAAGTGGCGTTAGACGACCGCGCGAGCGATCTACGTGAAACACATTCTACGCTCGCTATGTCAGCGAACTTGCACTTTTAATGGGAATGAATATCGATGCGCGTGCCAACGGCATTGAAAGCGAAGAGCGCAAGGGAATTTTGGCGATCCGCGCGCCTGATAGACCGCGATAGGCCGATGTTTTTCTCGTTGTTCCAATTGAAAAAAATCAGCGCTTTATCAAGACGTCGATCAATTTACACGAGCGTTCGTCACTGTTTCCCGTGCGCACGCGTGCTTCCTACAGGCGAGCACGTGCAGCGGATCGCAATTTATCGATTACTACTCGATATTTCATCGATAATTATTGAAAATGCATCGAGGCTGCTCGAATGCATCGAGTGCAGCTGATTGGATTGGAAAAGTCGGAAAAAAAATGTTTAAAAAATCTACGGGCTCGTCCGGGATTTGAACCCGGGACCTCTCGCACCCTAAGCGAGAATCATACCCCTAGACCAACGAGCCACATGCTCGTGTAACGCGTTATACGCGTATAAAAACACAGCTTAACCAAAGTCTTACCGTCGATTCACTAAATGTTTTATAATCATGTAATCGCGTATAATATTGTTCGTTTATCTTTCTTACATTGATAACGACTATGAACCCGGTCTAAGTGGGAGTAAACGCTGGTTATTTTACGCGCATATGATCCCGGATTATGAATCTTGCTGATATAGTCGGTCACTCGATGTACCCATATTGTCACAATGATTTTCTAATGGTTTTCCATTTCCTTTTCAGTCGCGCGTAATTTTCCGCATTCGTTATCAGCGTCCGAACCTTAAAAAATCTGGCTGCAGCAGCAGAAGACATTCGGAATCGCTAATCAACATGAAACATAATCGGTTAAAGTCGACGCAACATAAAATCAGTTAATTGCAGCACTCGATTACCATAATCATTCAAGAGATTCTTTTTAACTACTCGAATACACCGTAACTATATCTTCGAGATATCATCCGGCTTCATAGTCTTTTATTAAGACTGACGGATTAGTCACGTTCGTGCGTATATTTCACTTCGAGCGATTGCGTAACTGCGTATTGTTCACGCTCATTATTTGCATACGAAATTTTATTTGACACTGTACTTGTACATCGTTGCCAACGATGCATTGATTGTTTGTTAATCAGAATAAAATCATTGCTGAAGTGTATTACTATTCTTGTCAAGGCTCTGTCATGGCCTGATCGAGCGATTGCAGGTAATTAATTTGCTGAAATTGCTGAGTGGCAAAGTAATGAAGAAAATGGAGCGTTAAAACGCAATAACTTATGCGTATGCGAACAGTATTATTTATAATACGTGCCAAGTCATTACGATTATTTATTTTATTATTGGTATGAATTTGCCAACAGCGCGACGTTTAACATAAGCCAAGTACAAATATCGACGACTGCAAAAGTCAAACAATCGAGACGTGGAAGTTGTCGCTACAAAACGTTCCGCTTTCTCCGAGTTATCTATGACCGTTGCCTCCACTTGCGCCAACGGCGCCGTGGCTTAGTTGGTTAAAGCGCCTGTCTAGTAAACAGGAGATCGAGGGTTCGAATCCCTCCGGGGCCTCAAGCGAGTTTTCCAACATTTTTTTTACTGCTCGACAATAGTAACGAGAAAATGAATCGTCTACGCGAATATTCTCGAAAGAGCGATCGATCGCGAGATTAAAAAAAAAAATATATATATATATATATATATATCGAAAGAGGAAATAGCTGTTTTCCGGTATGCCGATAAAAGCAAAATCTATTTCTCGCGATGCATTATTCGCGGTGCCTCGTAGCAGTTGATGCGGTAATTTGCGTTTATAGTCGGCGAAAGCTTTGTATTTATAGAATACATTCCATCTGATCAAAGCAAACTGCCACTAAATAGCCGTGCAAAATCGCCGGGAAACACGCCAGAGCTCGAATTCTTTTCGAATATCTGGAATATTCCGAATTATCGAACGTGATCGTTCAGATATGCATACTATCGCAATGGGATAAAAAGTGCGTGCGCGTGGCAAAAGGTCTCGTTAAAAGAATTCCGTTGTAATCAGAATCAAGCAATGTTTTTCAGTGTGCCTACGAAACATAGAAAGCGATAAAAGAAACACAACGGTATATCAATCTAATTAATGCCTCTAAGATATGAATTATATCAACTTCAAAGTGTCTAATTTAAAATCTTAATTGGCACTCTAATTAATACTTTTGCTATGAACGCGATGTAATAATTGCGATAAACATTATATAGTAAGGTTGCAGAAAAATGAAATGCAAAGGCATATAGGCTGACTAATACGGATCGTTGCACTACATCGTAAAGTTTGGTCGATGATTCAGTTGCACGTCATGGTAACGGTATGCTCTCCCCCGACCGTGCGTGAAATACTTGGCTATTCATATCGTCCATCGGCGCCGCGTTTTTCTGCACTTTCCAAAGCTATCGCCTATCTCGTCGTCGCGGTTTTTCTTTTTCCGCGATTTTTAGTCGGTCGTTCCCTCGGCGACTCACCACTGCACAATGGGCAATACGGAGAGCAACGTGACCAGCGGCGTGAAAAAGCAGACCGACGCTGGCTCCATTCTGCTTTACAAGCTGGTCGACCTGAAAGGTGACAAACTGATCAACCGATCAACCATCTTCGTCGCAATTTTCGTTGGTGCTGATTTGTCTGGTCTTGCCCCCGGTTGCAGGCGGCGGACTGTTCGTAGACATGATGAAACGTGCCACGCAAAGCAAGCAGTACGCCGAGCTTGACCACGCGATACGCACCAAAGTCGAGCCGTTTCTGTACAATAAAGGCAAAGGCAGGTACATACCGATATCGAGACTCGTGCTGCTGCGAAATAAGGAGCGCGGGAGAAACAAAATGGTAATGCCACGCGTCGCCTCTGCGATTCGCCTCGCGACAGCTCTCTAAGTTTGCTCTGGACGCAGTTGCCGGTACTGAAAGCAATGGAAAAGCCGGAAGACTACGACATCGAGAAGGACATGGCGAACGAGCCGGAGCCCGACGAGGCCGAAATTCTGAAAAGTGAGTGCCGTGAAAGGGCGTCGCTCCTGCCGAGCGACGCGATCAGCGCGTGCAATTTGGTCTCTGGTCCGCAGATCCGCACAAGTATAGACTGGTGTGCTGGTCGCTCAACGAAAGAGGGGCAGTAGGCGAGACGATTTTGCATCTGTGCCTGCTGAACGCGACGTCCATTCACGCGGACCTGGCGAAGCGGCTGCTGCGCTTCTACCCGAACCTCATCAATGACATCTACCTCGACGACGAGTACTACGGTATTTGCAGGGCCACCGCGCGACCACCGCGCCAAATTGCAAACTGCGCTTCTTTCGCTCAGGAGAGAGCGTGCTGCACATCGCCATCGTCAACGAGGACCCGTCGATGGTCAAGTTTCTGCTGGACAGCGGGGCGGACGTGAACGAGAGGTGCTTCGGCAACTTCATGTGCCCGGAAGATCAGAAGGCTTCGCGCAACGACAGCCAGGAGCACGAGTGGGTCTGCGTCAATCCGGAAACCAACTACGACGGGTAATCTTTTCCCTTTCTTTCTTTCTTTTCGCTCGGGAGCATCGCCGTGGGAGCAGGCCTTTGGGTTCGCTCCGTTTCGCGGAAATCAGAGAGAAAGAGAGCGGCAGCGATCGCGATGCAGGTCAGCCGCGATAACGCGCAACTGCGGCAATTGCCTCGCGGTCGCACCGACCGACGCCCGAGCCTCGTAATTGACCCTTTTTCCAACGCTCAGTTACGTGTACTGGGGCGAGTATCCATTGAGCTTCGCAGCGTGCTTGGGCCAGGAGGAATGTTACCGTTTGATACTGGCCAAAGGCGCCGATCCCGATAATCAGGATACCAACGGCAATACCACGCTTCACATGCTCGTCATTTATCAGAAACTCGTGAGTCTGCCCGCACTGATCAATCGTACCAAACGCCTTTTCTCTTTTCCCCTGAACAAACGGCTTTTTTGCACTCGCGACCTCGTTCTTTCGATAAACGCACAAATCTCCTCGTTTTTATTTTTCTATTTTTTTTTTTTTTTTTACAAAGAACACGTTGCCACTTGATATATGCGTTATTAAATGAATTAAAGAGGGGAAAATCCGCTCGAAGGAAACCTTCGACATGGTGTTCGAAGTAGGTTCATCTCTGTCGGTGAGGAACGTGCTGAACCTGACACCGCTGACCTTGGCTGCCAAATTGGCTCGCATCGAGATGTTCTTTCACATACTGAACATCGAAAGAGAGATCTACTGGCAGATCGGTAGCATCACGTGCGCCGCTTATCCACTCTCGCAGATCGACACTATCGACGTGGATACTGGAAAAATTAGCAATAACTCGGCTTTGAACCTGGTCGTTTTTGGGGTGAGTGCGTGTTTTTTTTTTACACTGCACATCTTATCCTGATAAATTGTCGTTCCTGATAATAGGACAAAGACGAGCATTTGGAACTGATGGATGGCGTGCTAATCGATCTATTGAATGCCAAATGGAACACTTTCGTGAAATCTAGGTATGTTCGAATTTTCCTTTCTCATCGGATGCTTAATTTTCACGTTGGAGTTGCAGGTTCTATCGGCAGTTCTACTTATTCTGCTGCCACTTCTTGTTCTCGTTGATAAGCTTTACTCTGCGGCCTGGTCCGAAGACTGAACAAGTTGCAGCACCAGCACAAAATGATTCCAGTAGCGAGGTTTATTCTGGTTCCACGGTGGTCGAACCACTGCAAGTCACCTTGTCGTCCTTGCTCGCGAATAATCTAGCGGAACAATTAGCGTCGAATGTCTTACTCAACGATTCTTTGGAAATAATAAGTCTGCAAGTAGCTTCGAACATCAGCTCGACTCTGAAAGATTTGTGGAGCAATTACAACTCGTACAATTGGAGTTTCAACGACACGTACGAGAGTAACGCTACGGATCTGGTGATTTTGGGCAACGCGAAGAAAGAAACCGAAGGATGGTGAGCAAAAAGCACGCAAAATGCACGTTTACGATTATTGCTTGTCAGCGATAGTGAATTGCCTGAAGGCTGGACGACCTCATGGACGAATGCCGGCTAATGCAGATGGACGATTCCTGGTCTAAGATTCGACTCGCTGCCGAGATATTGATGGAGCTCGGAGCTATTCTCTACATCATCGCCGCGACGAGGGAGGCTCGATTTTTGGGCCTCAACATGTTCATCGAGAATCTTGTAAGTTTAGTTTACAACGGACGATTCTGTAGACGAGGAAGCGCTGAGATCACTTTCATTGATAAATACATAGCGAAAGTCACTGTACGATATAAATTCACGCTACTTTTTATCAGGACTTTTTTCAAAGTGCTAACCCGACTTCCTGAAGTGCGGAGGGAATTTCAGCAATCTTTTTTGACAGACATTTTAATCACGCACCAAACATTTTAATGACGCTTCGTTAATTACTTTCCATCGAGTTTGGAACACTTCATTACTTCATCAAACATCTTTTGTCGAGAATGAAATAATAGTACTTTGTTTTTCTCAATATAACTTCGCGTTGCTTGCTTTTCGCGTGCTTTCGAAATTTTTCTTGCAATCCACTCGTCAAATAAAAGGCGTCTTATTTTCACGAAAGTGTACCACGCAGAGATACAAGCTCTGACACAGTTTACACTGACTAACCAAAAATTGTTATCGCTATTAAAACACGACGTAAGTCTTATCTACGCCCTTCCGATTAGTCGCTAATCCAGACGCACTTATTCGCAAGAATAAACATAGCACATTTCAGATGACAGCACCGTCACGCGTGATGTTCCTATTCTCTTGCTGCCTTCTGCTCAGCTTCCCATTCCTACGCATGTCATGCGCCGACGACATCGAGGACATCCTCGCCATCGTAGTGATGCTCACCACGGCGCCGTACTTCCTATTCTTCTGCCGCGGCTTCAAAACCGTCGGACCGTTCGTCGTTATGATTTACCGTATGATCATGGGCGACTTGCTTCGTTTCGTCTCCATTTATCTCGTCTTCGTGATGGGCTTCTCGCAAGGCAGGTGACGTTTTCTTTTTTTTCCCCGTGCCTTTCGCTCGCCGACTCGTTTGCATCACACAGAAGATCGGCACAATAGGCCCGCGCAAGACGACACTGACACGAATTCGCGATTCGCGCGGCCGAGGTCGCGAGCTTTAAAAAAACAAAAAAATATATAGCCGGCGCAGAGTCCGCCTTTTGCGCGGAAAGCCGACGTGATTCGCTTCGAGAGCAGCCGCACGCGCGGGCAGCGCGCCACCGACACTTTTCACGAGCGGGAATTCCAAGTATGCATCCGCGATCGTTGATTCGCGCTGGTGGCGCGGAACGCGAGCTCGTCGTTCGCGGCGATGCGTTCGGTCGACTTCGACGAGGCGGGATCTTGGCGTTTTGCTTTCGCGAGTCGAGGCCAAGGCCAAGAAGAATACGCGTCTTCGTTTTGGCGAGCGCCGAATTCAGATCGCTACGTGTTGCTTTTTCTTTTGTCCCCTTGAACGCGGAAAAAATTCTCGCAGAGAGAGCAAGGTGATAAATCGCGTTTGCCGAACGAGCTGAACTCACGAACGAGAAAAGCGGCGAGAAGCGATTTTCGCTGAAGAAAGCCGCGTAATTTTAGAGACTTATGGCGCTAAGAATAGAGGCATAGGTGCCATTATTTATATGACGTGTGCTCTCGTTTGCCTCTCTCTCTCTCTCTCTCTCTCTTGCGTCATAAATCCATTGAATATGCCGCGGCTGCGCGCGCGCATTTCGCAAGCAATCGCAGTTCCGAAGGCTCCTCGGGAACTTCCTGTCGGACACGATACGATACCCTTGCGCGTCGAGCGATGCGCCGATGGGCCGCGCGAACCGAAAATAAAAGGTCATAACGACGGCGCCGAGCGTTAGCGCAAGCGTAACAAGAGAATCGTCGTGCGCGCGATTAGCCCAGATTTCTTTTCGGCGAGCCGGCTGTTTTCTGTCCTCGCAGCGTACTACATAATATTCTTGTCGTACGAGGACCATAAATCGAACCCAATGCCGTCGGCGATGGAGAGCATCATGGCGATGTTTCTGATGAGCATGACGAATTTCGGCGATTACTACGACGCCTTCGAGAATACCGAGCACGAGATCGAGGCCAAGGTGAGTGCGTCTCTGGTAGCTAGTCGCGCGGGACGATCGGGGCTGATTGTCGCGCCTGCCGTTGACAGTCGCTGTTCGTCGTGTACATGGCGATCGTGGCGATTCTGCTGGTGAACATGCTCATCGCCATGATGGGCAACACCTATCAGAAGATCGCCGAGACGAGGAACGAGTGGCAGAGACAGGTTTGCGCCCCGTCTCTTTTCACGCGAGCTCCGTTGCTGGATTGCCGCGCTAGATAATCACGCGTTTGCTTCGCGCCAGTGGGCCAGGATAGTGCTGGTGGTCGAGCGCGGTGTTGCTCCGGCGGAGAGACTGAAGAAACTGAACGACTACTCGCAGCCAATGTCCGATGGTCGGAAGGCGCTGGTTCTGCGACTGCATCAGTCGGTGAGAGGCGGCGGTCTTCGCTTGCGCGTCGAGCGCCTCGTCACGTCTCCCCGCTGTTCGCAGGAGGAGGACAAGGAAGAGATGAAGGAGATTCTGGAAATGAAGAGGATACACCAGAAGATGGTGAAGAGGCGCAAAGACAAGCTGGAGAGAGAGGCGGCCGAGAAGGCGGCGCGTCTGCAAGCGCTCAAGCACAGAGCTGCCACTGCGGAATAATCTCCAATTCCTTTTCTTTTTATGCCGAATAAATCTTTATTCACGATAGTCCTGTTACTCGGTCGTCCTGATTAATAAGCAATAATTAATAATTAATAAGCAATGCTCTCGCTTATTGTCGCGCGCTTGCGGGAAAAACATAAGCTGGATTCTAGAGGATAACCTCCCTCTCGATCTTTCCGTCAGATTATGCGAACTTTGAAGACTGTTACTCATCTGGAAAGATATATAACCGTTGCAATTCCACCATCGGTCATCGATAATATTTTATTCGTTTCTTCCAATCAATTAACTGAACTGCGCGATGACAACAGATAGCCACTTTCTTAGCCGAAAGCTGAAAGCATCAGCGGGATTGTTTTCTTGTACGTATAGTGAATTTTCAGCGTGAAAATGAGCATTGATAAGAATCCAATATAGTTTGCAAGATTTCAATTCGTTTAAAATCGAGCTTCGGTCGCGTGTAAAGCCAATCCTGCCTTCGGCACGCGCTCTTATTGAATATCGTAAGGCTTTCCAAAAGCAGACAACTTGACGTGAAGGTTTCAATGTGTTGCGTGAAAAGACCTTCGGCTCGATGTTGATCGCGACTGCTTATCATCAGAATAAGCGAGCGGATGTTTCGTGCATTATTAACACGGGAAACGTCGGCCGCAAAACCACTCTCGGCGCACATCTTCGGCGTTCCTTTCGCGTGTTCGTCTTGTATAGAGCTAAGCAGGAAGAGCCGCGCGCTTGCCGAAGACAACGATCGAAAAAGCTCTCACGCGCCGTAGTCATAGTGACAACGACACTGAGCGCGCCGCGCGGCGCAGTAGCGCTCGAGGGCAAAATAAACACGCGCCGATCCGTGAAAAGCTGGAGAATGAGCAGCCTGAAAATGCCGATAAACTTGGAAGCGCTGGAGAGCGAGTTGGACGAGGCGCTAAGAGCGGACGAGCTGTACAAGCTGCGGAACGACGCCAAGTTTCGCGCGATCGAGCAGCGCGTCCCAACTTACGACCACTTTTCCGACATGGTAAGCTCTCGCGAAAACTATAATAACTAGCGTCGCTCTGTCACGACTCTCGTCTGTCTTGGAAGGTGAAAGCGGCGCACTTGAAGCCGCTGGAGCGCTCGGAAATGCAGAAGCGGGCCGAGGTGTCGTGGAACCATTGCTACCGGTGCAAAGGGGACGAGCTGTCACCGAAGTGCCATGGGCCATCGGGCGCCGTCGACGAGAGAGCAAGCGACGAAACGCCGGAACCGAAGGGCAGCGCCGAATTTACGAAGGCATGGTCGAGGCTGAACGGCTCCCGCGACAGATTCGAGTTCTTGCTGCGATTCGGGTAATTCGACGCCGGGGCCGGGGACCTCGATCCAAGCCGCGACTCCTGCTGGTCTTTCTGTGCAGGGATCGCTTGAAGGACAAATTTTTCCAGGCAGAAGTGCCGGCTGGCTTCCTTGAGCAGTTCTTCCGCGTCGGTTACGAAGTCTGCTCGAGGGACACTGCGCCCACGATCGTCTGCCTTCTGCAAACGTTCGCTGAGTGCGCCAGATTCTCGCTCAGCCTGACGATGATCGCCAACAAGGAGCACTCGCAGCTGCTGTTCGAGAGACTGCTGGCTTTGGCAAGCGACGACGTGAACGCAAGAGCCGTGAAAGCTCTGGCCCAGACTTACAGCCTTATTCTCAAAGCTTGAAAATGTATACGCGAAGAAAGTCGTTGAAATAAAGCGATTAGTGATTCAGAAATGCATCAATGACACTGTTATCGGCGAAAGACACACCGACAGCAAAAACTTGGCAATCCACGCCACGCAGCGACGATAACGACAGTTAAATGTAGTGTAATTCGCGGAGAGGGAGCGCAAGAAAGCTCATCGCGGCGTCGTCGTTAAGGCGTCGTGCGAACATAGTCGGCGACGCATGCACACACGTGTGCGTGCTAGTGCGTTGCTTACACACCAAATCGATATCTCTCGTTTTCTCTCTCTCTCTCTCTCTCTTTCTCACTCACTCACTCACTCATTCACTCACTCACTCACTCACTCACTCACTCACTCACTCTCTCACTCCCACTCGGTAAAAAACAAAAAAATTGCACAACACGTAAGACACGTCTTATCATCGAAGCGCCGCACGATGAGTGAGATTTCTCGATAATTTAAAGTGGGTGTCTTACCAAGTAAATTCGTGCGTTTCTACTCTCGATGGGAAAAGCCCGAGGAGACGGTGTTGTCGAAGAAGAAGCTGCCGACGAAGATGCGGACCGCGGCTATGAGGTTAGAGGAAATGCCGCGTCTCGGTTCGTCCGATGCTGAGCGTGACTTTGAAATGGACGAGGAGACGGATTATTTGTTGCAACCGCCCGACGATAGCATTCATCGCATGATGCAGGCAAATTGCAAGAATAACCGACAACGAAGATTCTCCAAGTGCTCCGGCTACTTCTTCAAACACATTCTGTGCGGGTAAGCTTGAGGTTCATTGTTCATACCGTGGACACTGCTTCAGGCATATTGTTGTTTTCTCTGAAGAGTGTGCAAGATTTGCTGTCTTAAAAATAAAGTAATGACAGATACAATTTGGAATTTGTGGAATTTGATTTGGAGGTTAGGAATTGCTCGATGCTGTGATAAGATCTGACCGCGCATATCGTGGAAATTCGACTTTATTTTTAAAGAATGCTTTCTTTGACTTATTTACTGTAGAGCGCATGTTCGTTGGACGTGAGGCATAATGTAGATAATAAACACGATCTTAATGTTATTAGAAATATATCAAAAGTACTATTTAACAAGAAAAATACATAATCATCAATTTGAAAATCATACCGTTAATTCCTTAAATTATATAACAAAAGAAAAAAATACAACTTAGGAAAAGAAGCAAAATGAAAATTGAATGCAAATTGTTGTTGATGATGAAAAGTTTACGATCATACTGATTTACTGGTCGAGCGAATCATATGTATGTGCCATGCGTCTGCGCATCTCTCTCTCTCTCTCTCTCTCTCTCTCTCTCTCTCTCTCTCTCTCTCTCTTTCTCTCTCTCTCTCTCTCACTCACTCTCGAGAAGTCCCAATGGCCGTTCAATATGACGTCAGTCTCTGTGGATAGCGACAGATTAGTTCATTGTAGCTTTGTTAATTTGGCACCAAAGTGAAAATTAATTTTTAAAAATATATATCAGTGTATAGGTCTTCTAATGCTCTTTAATGTTATCATCGTAATTTTCTCTCCTCGCTGTTAACGAGAACTTAAATTAAATTGTAAGCACTGGTAGCTATATAAGATTTTTCTCCCCTAAGTCAAAAGTAAAAAAAATCACTTATGCTAATTGAATGCTCTTAATTTTCTCTTTCGATTGGTATCATCATTTTGTCATTATCTATAGAAACATTGTCAAAATTAATTTTCTAATATTTTCCATAATAACGTTTATAGATACGGAATACAGATGCATAAGCGAGTCCGTATGCTCTAACGAGTTGTTTTTAGGTTGGCGGGGCTGCTAGCACTCTTTCTGCACAGTCGTGTTCCGAGTGCAAGGATGGAAAGAAATTATAATGACACATTTTTCAGTAAGAGTTTGCACTAACATTTTATTGTAGTAATCTGAAAAATGTGCCATTACAATTTCTTTCAGTCCTTTTGACTTTCACATAACTGAATCGAACGACTACTGACAGCGCCGCCAACCTAGAAAAACTACAGTTGGCGCATGCGTACACAATTATACATCTTCTGTATATAGATACAGAATTTATACCCGTATTATTATTATGGATAATATTAGAAAATTAATTTTGATAATATTTTTATAGATAATGACATAGTGATGATACCAATCGAAAGAGAAAATTAGGAGCATTCAATTGACATAGATAATTTTTGGTTTAGGAGAGAAAAAAACTTACAACGCTACCAGTGCTAGCAATTTAAATTAATTTGTCATTAACGGCGAGGAAAGAAAAATTTTTATTAAGATAATATTAAAGAGCATTGGAAAATCTATACGTTGATATGATTTTTTTTATTAATTTTTACTTTTGATGCCAAGTCAACGGAGCTGTTCACTGTGTGATGTATTATGTATATCTTTCATACAACGCAAAAGTGCCCGTAAAATCAAGCTGCGCGTTTGTCAATAAATCTTCGTGTGCGTTTGTTCTGCTGCTGTGTGCGTTTAATCTTTAACAATTAACGAAAAAAAAACAAAGTGCATAAAGTTAGCTTTTTAAGCGGTGGTGGCTGTCGTGGGCAGCCTAGCCATGGAAAGACAAACGACAACAATAGTAAGGCTATCTAAGGAGGATATCCCACTGATAAGCAAGCCCCGCAAAAGTGGCTTGTGGACGAGGTGACGTATTAATAGGCGGCTCGCAATCGATCACTCATACACAACTCTACTCAGTGAATTCTACATACTTGGTCTCTTTCTTAAACGGCACACGTCTTATACCTAGTGTGTGCGTACGCGTGCGTGTTTGTGACTCACTCTCCTTCGCAGACTGTCTCTGTGCCTGCGCCTTGGCGACATATAACGTAATATGTAAAGCGCGTAAAAAATGGAAAGGCTCCGACTGTTCAAAGCGGCCCTTGGCCAACTAACCAGGACATTGTAATTTACATTTTTTCCCCATTTCATTTTTATAAAATGCTCTTTTTCTCTGTTTCTTTATTAGTCAGTGTGGGAATCACAGCTCATTGCTCTCTTTATATTCTGCCTATTCTTGATCACTTGCTCTCTGTGTGCATGTTGTTTCACAGGTCTACATAGTGTTATGTTCTGTGCCAATAGGGAGAATACCTAGTAGAATTTGGATATTTCCATTTCATGTAGATTAATAAACCATTCGCTGTATCAAAGTAGTTTCATAATAACCAAATAGAACTTTGAAGGTTTCTTATTGATTTTTTTATACCTTGTATCCACAGTCTGCATGTTCATTTGTTGAAATTTTGATACAGACACCATTTTATGAGTAATATAAAATCTAATTGCAGCTTAATCTTTTAATCCTACTTATTACTCGTCACTGTCATTTACATAACTTCCACCATTGATGCTTATCAATTTTATATGATTTATACTACATCAAGTGCCTTATTGAACCATAAGTTTCTAATATCTATATGCATATAGTTTGTTCATTTTAACGTTATAGCTTTTTATTAGATAAGTATTATTAAGGTATTTGTTACATGAACATTTATTGCAGATGCTGTACATGGATATGGCGAAGATGTTGCAAAGAGAAGGAGCTCAGAGCAAGGACCATTCAAATCGGTCTATCCATGCACGAAAAGTTCCCTACAAATGTTATTCGAAACCAAAAATACAGTATAATTACTTTTCTACCAATGGTTTGTATTACCCAATAATCCAGATAGTTAAAGAACATCCATGTTAGAGTCAAATAACTACATAAGTCAAATTTTAGGTTCTATTTCAACAATTCAAATTCTTTCTCAATCTGTATTTTCTACTGATGGCCATGTCACAGTTCATACCAGACATTAGGATTGGATATTTGTACACATATTGGGGACCATTGTGTTTTGTTTTGGCAGTGACATTTTGTAGAGAAGCTGTGGATGATTTTAGAAGATATAAACGAGACAAAGAAGTTAATAATCAGAAATATTATAGACTAGTCAAAGGTATAAATATACCAGAGCTGGTACCAAGTTCTAAATTGCGTGTTGGAGATTTGGTAAGTAATTTTTCTTTTAAATGTACCTATTGAACAAGGTAAAATTATTATAACTGATGTTTATTTAATTTGCTTAGGTGATTGTAGAAAAAGGACAAAGAGTGCCTGCTGATCTTGTTCTCCTAAGAACAACCGAGAAATCCGGCGCCTGTTTTGTGCGAACTGATCAGCTAGATGGTGAAACCGATTGGAAGTTACGTTTGGCTGTACCAACGACGCAAAAATTAGATTCAGATTCTCAACTATTTGACATCAAAGCTAGTCTCTATGTAGAGAAGCCTCAAAAAGACATTCACAGTTTTATTGGTACCTTCACAAGGGTAACTATTAAAAATTTTATTTGTTATGCGATTTATCTGAAAGCAGATAAATGCAAATTTTATTATATTTCTAGTACGACGGATACACTAGTGAAGAAAGTCTTGGAGTTGACAATACACTATGGGCAAACACGGCCGTAGCATCTGGTTCGGCACTGGGTGTGGTAGTTTATACCGGCCAAGAAACAAGGTCTTTGATGAATCACTCAGCACCAAGATCTAAAGTCGGCTTACTCGATAAAGAAATTAATCAATTGACAAAGGTACACACTTTCAATTATATTCAATTGAATCTAAAGTTAATGACTTTTCACGACGAATATTTAACTTTCAGGTACTCTTCTGTGCAATGATTGGTTTGGCACTAGTGCTGATGTGTCTGAAAGGCTTCAGTGGGCCATGGTACCGCTACATGTTTTGTTTCGTGTTGCTGTTTTCATATATTATTCCTATCAGTCTTCGTGTGAATCTTGACATGGGCAAAACTTTCTATGCATGGTGCATTCAAAAAGATCAGAATATAGCCGGTACAGTTGTAAGAACTACGACTATCCCTGAGGAATTAGGTAGAATATCGTATCTGTTGAGTGACAAAACTGGAACGTTGACACAGAATATCATGGTATTCAAAAAGCTTCATCTGGGTACAATATCCTATGGACAAGATTCTTTCGATGAAGTTTCGTCCGTGTTGAAAACATTTTACACAGCCGATACCGATGCTTCGCCAGCGAGGTCAGCGACTGGTACGCATACTGGAAAAGTAAGGAGGTCAGAAAATACCAGAGTGTACGAAGCGGTTCATGCTATCGCTCTGTGTCACAATGTCACGCCTGTCTATGATGATGTTACGAATAAGGATGTCAATAATAAACTAGACACAGATAGCGTGGAAACGGTTGAAACTAGCTCAGTTCAAAGGTAGATTTTTGATTTAATAAGATTTATTGAAAAAAATAATGTTAGTCGATTGTTTTTGTTTATTTTTAAGCCAAGGAGAAGGAAGTATAAATCCCGATCAAATCACCTACCAAGCCTCAAGTCCTGACGAAGTCGCCTTAGTTAAGTGGACCGAAGAAGTCGGTTTGGCCTTGGTTAAAAGGGATTTGAATACAATGCAACTTCGAGCTCCAAACGGCAAACACTTGGACTATAAGATCTTGCAAATCTTTCCATTTACCTCCGAGACTAAACGCATGGGTGTTATCGTTAAAGATGAAACTACAAACGAAATAACTTTCTACCTGAAAGGTGCAGATGTCGTGATGGCTGGTATTGTTCAGTACAACGACTGGTTGGAAGAAGAATGCGGAAACATGGCAAGAGAAGGTTTTCGTACTCTGGTCGTTGCTAAAAAGCACCTAAGCGAAGAACAATATTTAGACTTCGAGGCGAAATATAACGCTGCAAGGATGTGTGTCACCGATCGTAATTCCAGAGTTACTGCTGTTATTGAAAGCCTTGAAAGAGAAATGGAGTTATTGTGCGTTACTGGGGTTGAAGATAAGTTGCAAGATAAAGTTAGATCAACTTTGGAATCTTTAAGGAATGCAGGCATCAAGGTAAAAAATAAATTCCGAACTTATATAATTATTATATTTTTTGATAGACGCTGATTGTGGGATTGTTTAAATTTATTTAGATATGGATGCTGACGGGAGACAAATTAGAAACGGCGACTTGCATAGCCAAATCCTCACGTCTAGTATCCCGTACGCAAGGCCTGCACGTCTTTAAGTCAGTAGTAACACGAACAGATGCCCACTTAGAACTCAATATTTTCCGTAAGAAGCAAGACTGTGCTTTAGTTATCAGTGGTGATTCTTTAGAAGTTTGCCTACAGTACTATGAAGATGAGTTTCTCGAACTTGCGTGTGGATCCCCAGCAGTAATTTGTTGTCGTTGCTCACCTACGCAAAAGGCTGAAGTGGTTAGTCTGATACAGAGGCATACTGGCAAGAGAACTGCTGCTGTCGGAGATGGTGGTAACGACGTGTCAATGATCCAATCTGCTGATGCTGGAATTGGTATCGAAGGTCTTGAGGGTAGACAAGCTTCTTTGGCTGCTGACTTTTCAATTACGCAGTTTAGTCATCTCGCCAATTTGCTGCTTGTGCATGGAAGGAGGAGTTACAAAAGATCCGCTGCTCTCAGTCAATTTGTTATTCATCGTGGATTAATTATTTCAACGATGCAAGCAGTCTTTTCTACAGTGTTCTACTTTTCATCCGTACCGCTCTATCAAGGTTTCTTGATGGTCGGGTGAGTGTCTACATTTAATTTGTTTTATTTTCTGATCCTACACACGCGCGCGCGCGCACGCTCATATTATACTACAATTTTATTGCTTTTTTGTAGATATGGTACATTATATACAATGTTTCCCGTTTTTTCGCTTGTTTTGGATAAAGATGTGTCCGGAAAAATCGCTCTTACTTTTCCCGAGCTTTACAAAGACTTGAGTAAAGGGCGTTCCTTATCGTACAAAACGTTTTTCATGTGGGTTCTTATCAGCATTTATCAAGGTAAAAGTTAATGCATATTATAAAGTAGAATAAAAAATTCATGGAACATGCTTAACGAACTACTTTTTTTTTTGCAGGTGGTGTTATCATGTATGGAGCATTGATAATGTTTGAAGATGAATTCATTCACATTGTTGCCATTAGTTTTTCTGCTTTAGTACTAACAGAACTAATAATGGTCGCTCTAACGATTAGAACATGGCATCATCTTATGGTCATTGCTGAAGTTTTCTCGTTGGCCTTGTACATGTTATCATTAGTTGTTTTAAAAGATTATTTCGGTAAGTAAATTATTTTATTTTTGTGACATTTAGTAGTATTTATATCTTAAATAAATTATCGTTTTTGGTTCTATTTGTAGATGCGGATTTCATAAAAACTCCGGACTTTTTATGGAAAGTAGTAGTTATAACTTTGATATCTTGCATGCCACTCTATATACTGAAGCTTTTGAGGAAAAAGTTTTCGCCGCCAAGTTACACAAAATTATCGTAGAATTGGTCACAACTCGAGAAAATTCAATAATCTGTTTGCCTTAAATTTGAAAATGAAAAAGTTTATAAATTGTGAAAAAACAAACAATGCACATAAAACTTTGACATCTGTTTAAAAAAAGAAAAAATTTGATCATGCTCATAAAGTGGCATTGACAACAGATCTTGTATTTGTTTGTGATAAAAGAAAGTTAAACTGTTCAGTATTTTATGTAATTATTGAAAATTTATTTTTTGATAATTTGCCACTTTCGAACAGCTTCCATCTTCTGCGCCGTATATATTTTACTTTTTTGTATCAGATTTAAACAAATATTAATGTTTAATCATTATTTATATTACTTACGAGTATAAGGAAAATGAAGAGAAGTGAATATCAGCGTGTACAAATGTCAGAGAAAACAGACTGTGATGGCGTAAAAGTGATGTTTTTGTGGTTTATGTAAAAAACATTGACATGATTCTTTTAATGAGCATATTTTGTATTTAATAATCACTCATCTACCGATAAAATATCTCTTTCCAAGTTATAGTAATTATATCAGTAACTGTATAAGAATGAAAAAAAATACACTCAAATGTTTCTCGTAAATTGACTTACACTCGTCGCTCGAATAATACGAAGTTTTATTAGCTAAGTAACATTCAGCTAATGTTGCGATTTTTGAGAAGAATTTGCATTAACACCACTACCAAAGACATTTCAACACCTATTAAACAGCACACGTGCATTTTAAAAAGGGGACAATTTATAATTATAACTGTATAAATTATCGTGATGATTCCCTAATACACTAACAATATAGTTTTTATAAAAGAAACGATTCTTTTGTAAACTTAAATGGAAGCTATATAAAATAGATATTGTAATCATGAATGAAAACGTGATGGATTATATAACTCTCAATAGACCTGTTTTGTTTAATGTATCATATATTTGTATTTAATTTACGAAAAAAATAAAAAACAATATATTCGTTAAAATTTATGTTTATTATTAAAATAATATTTATATATTTACATAATAACTATGTACAAACCTAATAAACAATTCTAATTAGCGAATAATAACATTCAACTGCTTTTTAGCCATCTCTTCAATTTTCTTGTGAATTTCATTCACTTCATTCTGTGTTAAAGGTCGTTCCATATGTCTATAAACAATGCTATAACAATGCGAGACTTTTTTTGTTTTTGGATGGATGAATTCATCTACCATCTGAATTTGCTCGACGGTATCGCCAGCAATATCTCTGACGAGATCATAAAAATCGTTAGAGCAATATGACGATTCTTGTGGCAACCAGAAACTTATGTCATTGCTACAGGGTGGATGTATACTGATGGCCTGTGATAAAAATATGATTATTTATGTCTACTTCACATTACTTCAGCCATAAATAAATGAAAAAGAAAGCTTACTTTGTAAGTAATAGGTTTGTTCACATCATTTGTAATAAACTGATTCAAAAATCCACTATCAGTGCTCCAAAATAACCTAATGTCTGGAATTGAGTACAAACACATTGCAAGCCTCTCGATACCAAGACCAAAAGCCCATCCAATTCTATCTGGTGTTCCAGATTTATGTAGGATTTCTTGCCTGATTATCCCACATCCAAGCACCTCTAACCATTTTCCATTATAAAAGACCTCTAGTTCCCAAGACGGATGGGTAAAAGGAAAATACTGTTCAACCCATTGACATTTGATATCTGTAAAAAAATATTTATAATGATTGGAGAACGTTTATGGAAAGCTTTCATGCCAAATTTTTATTTTACCTTTCCCAAATAGATCTTTGGCTAATCCTACTAATGCAGTTTTCAAATCATGCTCCATTACTTTCACAGCTTCCAAAGTATGACATCCTTGTTTATCAGTATTTTCAACACCTCTATGCTCAAAAATATTTAAGTTATTATTGGAACCCTTCACATTCTGGAATACTTCATTTACGGTACACAAATGTACACCATCGACTTGATGAAATACTGGATAATGAGTTGAATCAATTTCATCTCTTCGATAAACATCACCAATGATAAGAAATTTATCTAGACCCATTGTAATCAATTCAGATTGATGAGCTGTGGTGTGCGCTCTTAGCATTGTATCTTGATTTACATAGTAACAATCACTTTTTTTTCGACTGGGATGATCTATTGGAACAAGCAACGAATCATAATTTTGAGCAACTGACACAACTGGACTCAAGTTGTCATAAACACTAAACAATGGGCTCCCTGTATGACTAGTATAAGCTTTGTAGAAATAATTTACAATACGTTGTCTCACATGCGACAGTGGGTGATTTTTCGTAACATGGAGATTTTGTCCAAGTTTTGAAATAATCTTTGGAGTTATATTTGTCCACTCATCAGTTGGGTACTTATTACCTAGCAGTTCTATTGTTCCTTCACATTTATTAATATCTGGAGCTGTTGTCAAATATCTATAAATAATTCTTGTCTTCTTGATAGGAGACAAAACTTTCAACCTGTAAAGATTACTTAATTAACTTATTCAAGTAAGCATTTTATTATCAAACATCAAATATCATTCTTTATAAAGCATACTAACCATCGAATTCTCATTTTTGTAGTTAAATATATCCGTATTAAATAAAAGCACAAGAAATAGAGTATTTTAATTAATATATACACAGTCAAACATTGCTGATTTTAAGCATTTATTTGCTAGCTTTCAATGCACGAGAATTCCGATTAGTTTTAATAAATACACGAGAACAGTATGAGATTTGAGATGATGGTCGAGAAAGAAAGTGCTCGCAGTAATTATGTGATGCACGTATGTGCATATACTTATATGTTTAATTCACCAATGTATGCAACGTCTGGTAACGTGCGCACATATATATACACATAAGTAAAAAACATGGCGTGTAGCCGCAAAGCAATTTTGGAGCTTTATCGAGATTTGATAAAAGAAAGCAAAAAATGGTCTAGCTATAATTATAGGTATGCACTACAATAATTACTATATTATATATATTACATTTTCAATATAATGTTACCTATTTTTGTCGTTCAATTTGCTGCGGTTCAAATTGGTTAGAATATATTTAACCTAAAAGAAGTGTTATTAATATAATTATTATAGATTTAAATAGACGAAACGTTTTAGTAAATTATTCTCATTTAAATATATATCAAAATTCGATTTAATCATCATATTTGTTTCCAGAGAATACGCGTTGCGGAAGGTTCGACACGATTTTCAACAGTATAAAAGTCTAAATGATGTATCGCAAATACAAGAATGTTATAGGAAAGGATTGGAATCGTTGGAAATGTTGAAGAGACAAGTGATCATCGGAAATTTATATAAAACGGACAAATTAGTTATTGAAATCAAGCAGAAATAGTCAATGAAATGGCTTAATTCTTTCTTGCACAATACAATAAGACTGTAAATATAAATAATAAAAATATATTAACAAAGGCGCAAATAACAGCTACAATAGGTATAATATTAAATACTGTTGTATGTGTATTACTTAATGCTATTCATAATTTTGTAATAATCCTTATTTTTTAGGAGTTTTATTTATCATAGTATGATGCAAGCTTTTATTTAAATAAAAACGTTAGATTTATCTTACAAATTGCCTTAATTTTTTAATGTAGAACAATAAAGTAGAGTGGTTTTTAATAGAAAATCAATATAGTATTCTTAAAAAATTGAGATACAAATTTAAAAAATATTTACAACTGTGCTATAAAATTGACATTACGGTGTAGATTTTGATCAGGGTATAAATAATATACAGCATTTGTTATGTTCAATAAGTGAAGATGGTATAAATTGTGTAGAAATGAGAAAAAGTTTTTTAACAATCGTTGATAATTTTCAAATCTCTCATCGTAAAACGAATTCTCGGCACTTGAGTACATAGTCTATGTCAAATAAAAAATAACACAATTTTTGAATGCGTACAATAATTGGCCACAAAGCCTTGACATTGCATAATGAATTCGCGCCAAAATCATTGATGGCAGCAGCGTCGCATTCAATTATAACGACATCAACGGAACTGCAAGAGTTGTCGCGCGAAATTGCACTTACGAGCCTACAAAGGTAGGGATAGAGAGCGTTTTTCATATTCGACAATCGTGCATATAGTGCTCCAAATTTACACCTAGGTCACACGACGCACGTGAATCACTCTTTAAAAGAAAAATAATTTTTGGACAGCTCATTTTCCCCTTGAACAAGTGGAATTTTCGATTACAGAACAAAACTCATTTTAAGGTTACGTCCTTCGGCGCTTTCCATGCAGAGGTGACTTGGTCGAAAACTGAAAACACGGAAGAGAGAGAGACAGATTCATTAATCAGTAAAGATGAGTGACGAAAACAAAGATTTCACTCAACAACAAACTGAAACCGTTGAGGTATGCATCTGTTGGGTGGAATTATTTTTGTAATTTTGATAACCTTTAACCTTGTACTTTATAGCCTTCGCTTAACGATCTCGAAAAGCTGGAGGAGGCAAAACTTAAAGCCAAATTCCCAGGTGTTTCTGGCAGACCTATCGGTGGTCACTCGGCGTTTTTACAGAAGAGACTAGCCAAAGGAGTGAGTAACATTGCCTGTTTATTGTTTATTTGTATCTCGCTTTTTCCTATCCAATAATATAAGAAGTTAAGCACTGCTAATTTATTTGCTAATGTATAAGCGTTCGTCCCAAGTCTATTTCAATGTCAAATCTTTTTCTAATTGTTTAATATGTAAGTACTCACTTTATATTATATTTTAATTTTTGTAAACACTAAAAATCTTTGGCATTTATGTTTACATGGATTCACTAATTTAAATAATTGAATGAGAAGATTTTGAAAGTATTTTTTATTTAAAATAAAATATAATTATTATACTACTGTAAATACCTTCTGAAGCACTAGTAGTACAATATCTGCTATTAAAAATTTAATAAACATAGAAATTTACTAAGAATCAAATAATTTTTCCAGCAAAAATTCTTTGATTCTGGGGATTATCAGATGGCTAAACAAAAATCAGCAGCCAAACCCAAGCCAGCTGGAGTGTTGCCAACAGGCGATGCTATACCAACCCCAGAAACTGTACCACAACGCAAGACATCTATCATTCAACAAAAATTCAACACTTCAACGAGTATCTCATAAAACCTTTTATTTATTTTGTCATGTTGGTAGGGTGTATTCAAGTTTAACTAAAACAAAAAGAAAACGTCCAAATCATGAAGTCTGGGTGTCTGGATGTAAGAGTCATGCAAGAAGTTTTGCACTTTGTTAACTCTCAATGAATTTCCGTTTTCTGTAGATTTGTAGTCTAAATCACATTTTTTGTTTACACTATTAACTATTTCTGCGAATGGTTATATAAAGTTTCCCTAGCTTTAACGATACAATAGTTGAACTTTGAAATAGAAATATTTTTATGTTTCATTCATTGTTTACTAAAATCTACCAAACATAATTGTTTATAAGCATTGCTAGAATTTTGAGGAAGCATTTAAAGCTGAAATATTTGCTATAATATAAAAAAAAATTTTACTACTTTATAGAATTCTTTAATTAGACAGTGAACAAAAAATACTAACAAAATAGTTATACAGACCTCTGTTTATATCATTGTAACCTTATAAGAGTAATCAAATCGAAGTGTAATTTACAAGATATAGAGTTATATTAAGATGCAGCCACTGAGCAGAAAACGTTACAACGTTTTAACTCTAATCTAATTGTACTAAAAAGAAGTTTATTAGCATCTGCATTTTGGAATTTGCTGTGATGAGTTGGATGAATCTATTTTCATATTAAGGTTCAGAATGTCCTAATAGATCCAATACCATATTTCAAGTAACTGTAAGATCTATCAGTCTTTTGGTTATTGTAAACTACATTATCATTAGAAATGTTTTTTATTTATTACCTATAATTTTTGAATTGTAAAAAATAAAAACAAATTTAAATAATAAACACGTTTTAATTAAATAATAACAAATGTATTTTAAAATCAATGTAGAATTTTAATTCCAAACAAATCATATTGTATTGCATAATATATTGTTATTTACACTGCCCGTCAATCACTTTTGCCATGTTTACCTCAAAATTAGGCAAACTCGTGTATTTGTATCTCGGTCGGAAATCATCGTATCACAAAAAACAGCAGGGCATTTTAAAGGTAATTGCAAAAGCTTCCATTTAAGACGTGCAGAGACTTAAAAATGAAAATATGTGTTTTTTACAGTAAAAAAACTGATTAAAGAAATTTCAATTTTTTTAACCTCGACTTAAATCAATGCCAATTTAGAACCAGGCGGTGGAGGGCAAATCGACCGGAGGTGTTCGGAGGGTAATGTCTTTCCTTTTAAAATTAGCCCCCGCGGGGTTCTATCCGATGTTTTTTGACCGAGTTACGGCGTTTTTTGTAAAAAAATAATCTTTTTTTTCAATCCTCAATTACTTCGACTTGCGTACGTTTTGGAAAAAATGCCAAGGAGAAAAAAAGTTTCATTTTGTGCCCAAGAATACGAAAATAAAATCAAAATAAAGAAATAGAGAAAAAAAATTTTTTCGGTTTTTTAGCGCATTAAAAAAATAAAAGAATTTAACTTTTTTTTTACGCATTTTTTTAAAATGTCTAGGGACGTAGTAAATCACAAAAAAACTAAAACTAAGCGTAAAAGAAAAGTTAAATTCCTTTATTTTTTTAATGCGCTAAAAAACCGAAAAAAAAACTTTTCTCTATTTCTTTATTTTGACTTTATTTTCGTATTGTTGGGCACAAAATGAAACTTTTTTCTCCTTGGCATTTTTTTCCAAGACGTACGTAAGTCGAAGTAATTGAGGATTGAAAAAAAAGGTCTCTGCACGTCTTAAATGGAAGCTTTTGCAATTACCTTTAAAATGCCGTGCGGTTTTTTGTGATACGATGATTTCCGACCGAGATACAAAACATTCAAGTTTGCCTAATTTTGAGGTAAGCATGGCAAAAGTGATTGACGAGCAGTGTACATTGAATATACTAATATTTTGATTACAATTACTGTCTTGTTTTAAATATCAGCTTTAATTTATTGTATATCATATAATGAAAAATAATTGACGCCTAATATAATAATATAACAAAATCTTTCCCTTCCAAAATAAACCATTTTTTTCTATATACCACTAATAGTTATAAAAATTCGATTGACACTGTGCGTGCTTTATTCATCGCAAATAAAAGGCCAAAATTATTAACGTGAATCCCCTTAGGTAAAATTGAATTCAGTATCAGGTACATGGGCATCACCACAACAGAATAACTTTTAAGAAAACTATTATTCTTTGTACATATCTTCGATAAGGTCGGCATACTTGTTTACGATCACGTTTCGCTTCAATTTCAAGGTTGGACCTAGCTCTCCGGTTGGCAAGGAAAAGTCATGTGGTAAGACCTTAAACTTCTGCACACGTTGAGCGTTACTTATTGCCTTGGTGTTGGCTCGATTTATTGCATCCTGAATTCCTCTATGTATCTACAATAATAGTTAAATTTTCAAGTGCAAGTCTTCTTTTATGATTCAATTGATTTCAAGACCATTCGACTTCCACTTACGATTGGATCTTCGTTATCAACAACCTCTTTGATAGTTTTGACTTGGCTACCCAGAGACTTGGCCCAGTCTACTGATTCTTTAGTTAAGGTCTCCAATGGCTCTCCAGTTTCCACGTTCACTTCGGTCTGTAAAGAGCTTCAATTAACGTTAAGTAAAGAAGCAAAATGTTGAAATAAATTTAACGCACCTTCAATGTAACGAGCATCGTCAAATACTTTCTTCGATCTCCAATGAGCATAGCATTACTGATGGCATGACACTCCTTCTTGAGTTGCTGCTCGATACGAACCGGAGGAATATTTTCGCCACCGGCAGTGATAACGAGCTCCTTGATTCTGCCGGTGATGTATAAAAATCCATCGGCGTCCATCTTCCCGAGATCTCCACTGTGCAGGCAATGATTCTCGTCTTTGGCTTCTTTCGTCTTCTCGGGATCGTTGAGGTACCCCATGAACACGTGTCTGCCACTCATGCAAATTTCACCCTCGCCTTCGCTGTCCATGTTATCCAAATGAGTGCCGAATCCCGGTAGAGTTCTACCAACGCTGGCAAGTTTGAAACTATCGTGGGTGGCGATCGAGTGGGCAGCCGCGCACTCTGACATGCCGTAAGTATCGATTATCATAATGTCCAGACTGATGAAGTACTGCTTGATCTCGGCACTCAAAGGCGCCGCTCCAGTGCTGAAAATCTTGCATCTGTCCAACCCCAAAGTTGCCTTGACTTTGTTGAAGACCAGATGCTTGGCGAGAGTGTAGCCCCAGGATTTGTAGTCGAGCCCGTTCATGCGATTCGTGTGGTACTGCAGACCCTGCGTCTTGGCCCAAGTGGCGATCCAGATTTTGATCGGTCCGTGGGTTCGGGCGGCGGCCCGCATCTTCTCGTAGATCTTCTCCCACACGCGCGGCACAGCGAAAAACACGGTTGGTCGCGCGGCCACCAAGGTCTCGAGGAGGCTACCCTTCAGCGCGTGCTTGTCGGCCATGTAGACCGTACTAGCCATCGAGATGCTGACGAATATGTCCAGTATCTGTGAAAGGTTAAAGGGAAGCTCGTTGAAGTCGTTCGTCGACCAGCCGTTGACGTTGCCTCTCTCGCGCCTACCTGAGCAGCAACGTGCGACAGTGGAAGAAAGCTAACGCCGATTTCTTGCGCTTCTTTCACAAGGCCGACGGCTTTCAAGATCGCCCGAGCGTCGCTCAGGAGATTGTCGTGACTCAGCATGACGGCTTTTGGATTTCCCGTGGTTCCTGACTAGAGTGTTCGTTCGTTAAGTTGCTTCTATTGGTTCTCCGGCTGAAAATGCGGGAAAATTGGCAAATTCTATCCAGAATGATGACTTACGGTGTAGACGAGAGTGCAGCATTCGTTGGCGCCGATAGTCTTCAAGACGCTCTGCAACTGATGGTCCGGCTGTCCATGGCCTATCTCCATCAGCTGGCTCCACTGCAAACACGATGCTTTTTCAACGCTTCTCATTCGCGACAATTGATTTCGGTGGTAAACACAAGTTACGCTCAAGACGTCTTTCCTATTTGGAGCGCCCTCGTACTGAACGATCGCCTTCAAGTGCGGCAAGTTTTTCCTGATCTCCAAGATCTTTTCCAGCTGTTTGGCGTCCTCAACGACGATTATGTTTGCCCTGCTGCTTTCCGCACAATATTGACAAGCTTCCGGCGAATTGGTCGTGTATATTCCAGCCGCGAATCCTCTGCGAATAACGATTGTTTTTTCAGCATTCTTATCGTTATTTCGTTGTTGTTCGATTCTCGATCGCGTGCGTTTTCGTGCTTTTTCGTGCGTTTTCGTGCGTTCAAATAAAAGCGCCAACTCAGCCTTTGCTAGCCAAGCTAAACGCCAAGCTTTGCGAGCACGTGCGTATTACGTCCGGAGCGTGCAATTAGCGACGCTATGATATTATCGGGATTCTCGTGGCAGCTCGCTCAATGAAAAACGGCGAATTGCAAGCTTCGCGTGACTAAAATCGTCACTTCGTTTACAGCGATCTCGAAGCGAAACAAAAGAAGCTCTTCGGATGTCGCGAGGTCAACTTGGACCTTGGTTTTGCTAAACTGTTGATCGACTCGCTAGAACAAACGTGAAAATCACTCCAGACTCGCTATTTACCCAGCGTAGATAGCCGCAAGATCGGAGATGAACCATTCCGGCGAATTGAATCCAAGAATACAGACGCTGTGATGTCTCTCGAGGCCCAAATGCAAGAAAGCTTTGGCAACGGTCCTCACCTGAGCTTCGTACTCTCTGAAAGAAATACAAGAGTTCGCATCGCAAGTCACAATCGTCGCGACGTTCCGTCGGTGAAATATTCACTTGTACGTGATGGTAGTGCGCTGGCCATCGACTCCAGGTCTGGAAACAAGTGCCGGCCGATTGGGGTATTTGCTGGCCGTGCGAGCGAGAAAGCCAGGAATCGACAGGGGCTCGTAATCGTCGTCTTCGTAGACACCTACTTTTATTCGCGTTCTGCCGCTTGGCTCCCATGTCGTATCGACCTCTGACGAAAGGATCTGATCGGGACCTTACGCGAGCAAATCAATAAAGCAATCAATCATTTATCATTTCCTTCAGGGGAGCTGCCAATGATAAATGGTGAAAATTGAAAGATTTCAGTAGTGGATCGTCACATTTTTTCTATCGTGAAGTACTCGGAATAAACTTTATTTTGTTTTGTTTCTCGCGAGCTTGCAAATCTGAAATATACTCCCTAACAAGTTACCGTTAACATAATTTATCGAAGAAATTTGACGCCGTGTGTCAAGATCACTCTTGAGGTTTTGTACATCGGGATTCGCATGCACTTTGAGGTGAATGGAGCAGCTTTTCACTAATATAATTTTTCCACGTCTAAAAGGCAGCTTTTTCGAATCGCGTTGACAAAAGTTTTGTAAAATAAGCGAAAAACTTAGCTCAGGATGATGCGCGGCCCAAATGTTTTCCGATAAATAAAGTGGCCGTGAACAGTAACTTTGCAGAGTGTATATTTGAGATTTTTGAGCTTCCGACCAAGACAATTAAAGCTTTTTCCGAGTAGATTGAGAACAAGAAAGTTTTATGACGATATCTTTGACAGAACAGTTTTGACAAGCCCGCAAAGAAAACTGTGAGTTTTCACCGATTAACATCGATTCGAATATTAATGATCGCTAACAAAAGAAACGCGGGGCGCACAGAACTCACCTTCGAGGCCCGTCGCGCTGGCTACTGCGTACCGAACCGAATTGGCCTAGAACAAAAGAAAGCACGCATTTCGGGGCTAACTAGCAAAAGAAACATTGCAATTCAATGAACTTACCGTGCCGTCGCGACCAAGCCCGTTAGCTTTGGATGCCATGTGGACGCGCAAAGACCGTATACGCTCGTTGGGGCCTTCGTGCTTATTCCGACGGCGTGCGCGACCCGGCGAAGTGTGTGCGTGCGCGCGCGCGCATACGAAATCAGCGAGCGCTATCGAATCTCGGACGCTACTGTCCTCGTCATCCGCATAATGCTCCTTCGTTACGAGAATCGCACGTATATAGCGCACGCGACATCACCGGAGTGCGCGCGGGGATATCCGAATGGTATCGTAGCAGGTAAATCTTGAGCCGCAAGTCCGTTCGGTTTTCATATCGCTATACGAATAATTGCAATGCAGTCGTGTTTCATGGCGAAGGCGGCCAACATTTCGGTATACTTATCACTCGGCACAGCTTGTATAGTTTCATGCAATACCGACAGTTTACTGCGTTGCATTGTTCATAACTTTGCACGCAATGTGTCTGAATACGCATATTTATACGTCATTTAAAAGTCGTGTCAAATATGAAAATGGTTGACGCTGCTGGCACAATATAAAACTTGTGCTTGATGTAACTAATAACAGCGAAAACAAAGCTTATATAAAATTAATGCAAATCGTGTAGCCGATTCCAACTTGGAAATACACTTGTCGTGCGAGAATCCAAGTCACCTTTTTTATTTCTTTTTTTTCTTACGACAGCAGCGTGCGCTCTTTGCGAGCGAAAGAATGCATCAATTCCTGCTGGCGTGTGTGGTAACGTAACATACACTCACATGCTTAGATCACTAGGTTAACGAATTTTTAAGGGGGGGGGGGGGGGGTTGATATTCATCAACTTTGCCTAACTATCGAACCGATATTAGATTGTTATTGTTGGAAATACGTTGCTGCTACCGTTTTTACAACTTTTAGTGCACGTACACCGCGGTTGCCTTGATCACTCGTCGGGGACGTCATCTTCGTACGTTTTCTAGACATCTGGATTATTTGCCGTACCTCGTCCTCGCGTTTATCCTTGAGCATTGCGTAAGGCACGCTCAAGCGTACAGTACTCGAATACTTATCAATTACAAATGACCCTTTCGTATTTTTGGATTCGAATAATAATAAGCAAATGGCTACCTGTGCAGCGATTCCTCGAACATTGAAATCGACGGAAAACCGCGGTGCCGTATTGAGCAACTGAAAATTTCCGAGATGGGTATTAAAGAAGATGAATCGACGGATGAAATCTCGTTATTCACTCCACCGCGCTATTAATGAAACGTGTACACATATCGGAATGTAATGGGATGTCGGGCAGCTGGACGGGATCGACGAAAAAAGTGGCATGACTTGGCATTTACGTAAATATAAAAACGTTACGTATCCGCCACGCATGTTTTAATTCGACTTAAGTTCAAATGAAGCTTCCAAACCTGTTTTCCGCTTCAAATCAGCTTGCTGAAGAATCTGCGGGTTTTTAGTCTGTCATGAAGGATTATAAAAGTCGACTGAAATCTCAAAATAAGACCCGTGTAACTTGTTGCTATAAATATAGCGATGGAAACGTGGTCGATCGCCTGCGATCTTATAATACTTACACATCAATCATAATTTTTTGTTCTCGATCATTCTTAGTTATTACAAAATTATCAGTCGAAGGAAAACGCCATTTTTCCTCTTCATTATTCAAGATACATTTTGTTTTATTCATTCGAAATAACATATTACTATAGACGTTAATGAAATGTCCATCGAAATACAGAATAAATATTATGTGCGCGTAACATAAGTTTCTTGTGGAGATAGAAAGCGATTGATGAAATTTCGTTGGATTCAAATGAAAGACGAAGAAGAAACAACCTGATCGTGTTGATGACTACCGAATCAGGTTTATCAATGTATTTTTTCGGAGCAACTCATTCGAATTCCTTTTATCTACGTGTACGTTAGCATCACTACAAGCCAAGAAAAATAATCGTCGACACTAGTCGAGCTTGAAGATCCGAGCTCAGACCGGCGCTCGTTTCTCTTGTTTCGTTCGACGCGCAAGTTCGTGCCGAGGCCCGCTTCGGCCGCAAAAGTTACGGAGTCTCCCTGCAGAGGTCACGTCGCCGCGCCGAGTACGAAAAATGTGTCTTGTTACGAGCCAATTAAAGCGCTGTCTAAATGCAACGAGGAACAGAGCGATCCCGGCAATCTCCAACGGTGCCTCACAGCCAATGACAGCTGACTAAAATTTCAATCGTCATTTGAAGCCGGCGCTATTCTTCAACGGACTATTTTTTTTTTCGTCAATTCCACGCCTGCCGTAGATCGTCTCCACGAGCCTGCAAACAATTTTGGCAATAGCAATATGCAATGTGGCTCGTCGCTAACAGCCTCTGCAGCAGCGCAATGTAATAACAAATTTGTGCCAAGCTCTCGGCGTGAATTCTTCGTTGCGCAAGTAACGCGGATATCGTTTAGCCGTTACAGTCGACAACAGACCGTTCAATGTTGACGAACTTGAAGAGACCTTGATCGAAAGTTGTTATTTACTGGATTCGAAGCTAGAGCTGAATCGACGCGAGGCAATTTGTCTTGGAGTAAGTTTTCTTTGTGTCTCCTGCAAAGCGAGATAAGAAACCACTAGTCATCTGAAACAACGTGCGTTTACTAGTGTTTACCACGCAAAACGCAAAACACGGTCACCTGCAACTTCGATCACAGTCGCGACTCCATCGAGTAGAAATTCCACTCGACTCAAATGGGTGCACGTGGAAAAATTAGAATTTCTGCACCAACGCAAATCTTTAATATTTTCACGTTGCAGTTAACGCAATAATAGAGGCTCGTATGTCAGGCGAACCTTTGCAGCTGCATTGCGAATTCTGGTTCGACAAAGGCCAATTCAGCCGGAAAATTCAACTTATTCAATGTAGAAGGAATAACTTTTTACGAGAAAACCAATTTGAAATTAATCGTTGGCACTAAATATTGTACACGAAGTGTTTCTACGCGGAGAATCAAACCTCCTTATACCTCTTTAATAATAAGGAAGACAAACTTGTAGAGTGAACGAGTTTTTGAGTTACATACAGAAAAAGACTAGTAAAGTGGAGCAGTTGGTTTATGCGTAATCTAGTTGACTCACACTTCTGTACACAAAACGGAGATCTATAATAGCGTTCGTTATTCTAAAGTAGCTTAGAAAGCAATTTCTTTTTGTCGTTCGTCGAACTGTATTCAGCCAATTGAGTCTTACAGAATGATATATCTTGGTAGACCCATTAGAAATGTACTTTTTTTATTATAATTAAAAATTGTATTCACACTTTTAATATGTTCTAGTACAAAATCAATTAGAATTCGTGAAAAATAATATATATATATATATATATATAAGATTTTTGACGCAATACAAATTTATAAGACGGCGCGATTCAAGTTCGCACTTACACAACGTCTTTCCGTGACGTAAGTATAGTTCATAACGGCAGCTTTAGATTAAAAACTGACCGTGAGGTTTTCAACTTGACTAAGTGACGGGAAGACGAGTCGTAAAAGCGCAAGTAAGGATTTGAGGGCAGTGCTAGAAAATGATGAAAGATACGCGTACCGCAAGGGAGACTCGACGGCACGATGTCTATTGTCGTTATATACTACTGTCTATGTACAGCGAAGCTTACAAGAGAATCATTGCTTTCCTCTGTACATGGCCTCGATGATGGCGTGATATTTCTTGGCGACAACGTCTCGTTTCAATTTTAACGTTGGCCCCAACTCTCCGGTCGCCACGGAAAAGTCACGGGGTAGAATGCAGAACTTTTGCACGCGTTGGGCGTGGCTCAATGCTTGCTCGTTCACTCGACTGATTGTTTTATTAATACCCTCATCGATCTGTCGAGAAAAATGTGACCCTTCGATATTCCCTCTCCTCGCTCGTGTTTTCATATTTACTTACGTGTGGATCTTGTGTTTCGATGATTTGAGTGACAGTTGTCGCGTGACTACCGAAACAGGCTGCCCATCTGATTGCTTCTTCCGAAAGATTATCCAAGGGCTCTCCACTAGCCAGGTCGACCTTAGTCTGCCAAAAAATAAAGTCTCGTCCTAATCGCGAATCGAAATGGCTAGAAATAACGTAAAATAACCTTGAACGTGAGCAGAACTGTTAAGTACTTTCTGCCATCTCCGATAAGCATGGCATTGCTGATGGCCGGGCACGCTTGTTTGATGAGCTGCTCTATGCGAACCGGAGGAATGTTTTCGCCACCGGCAGTGATAACGATCTCCTTGATTCTGCCGGTGATGTATAAAAATCCTTTGGAGTCCATCCTCCCGATATCACCACTGTGCAGCCAGTTATCCTTGTCCTTAGCTTCCATCGTCATCTGGGGATCGTTGAGGTAGCCCATAAAGATGTGTCTGCCGCTCATGCAAATTTCACCCTCGTCCTCGTTGTTCACGTTATACAATTTGGTGGAGAAAGTAGGAAGAGTCAGCCCGACACTGGCCAGTTTGAAATTTTTGTTTGTCGTGGTCGTATGAGCACCGGAGCACTCGGTCAAGCCGTAGGCGTCGATTATGACGATGTCCAAGCTCAGAAAATACTTTTTAATGTCCGTGCTGAGAGGCGCAGCTGCCGTGGCGATGATCCTACATCTATCCAACCCCAAGCTCCTTTTGATTTTGTCAAAGACCATCCTCTTAGCGAGCTGGTAACCCCACGTTTGGTTATCGACGCCTTCCATACGATCCATGTGGTATTTCAAACCCTGAACTTTGGCCCGGTTCAAAATCAAAGCTTCTACAAAGTTATTTCTGTGGGCGTTCGACTTCATCCTTTCGCTTAGCTTTTCCCAGACACGTGGCACTCCGAGGAAAAACGTTGGTCGAGTTTCGACCAACGTCGTAAAGATACCACCCTTTATAGCATCTCTGTCCGCTACGTATACTGTGCCAGCTGTCATCATCGGCAGGTAGATGTCCACGACCTTCGCGATAAACGGTTGTAAAACTTTGACGTCACCATGAGCGACTGTTGTCTAATCATACCTGAGCAGCGACGTGCGACAGCGGTAAAAAGCTAACGAAGACTTCTTTGGCCATGTCCGTCACTTTCATTGCATTCATGATCGCGTGAGCGTCGGCTAGCAGATTGTCATGGCTTAACATCACAGCTTTTGGATTTCCAACCGTTCCTGACTAACAAATTCAAAAGTGCCCTTGGTTATTCTTCGGACGATCTTTCGTTCGGTTGTCTAAAAATAACTTTCGACTCACGGTGTACACAAGAGTGCAGCACTCATTGATTCCGATAGTCTTCATGACGGCTCTCAAGTGAGTGTCAGCCTGCTGTTTACCTAAATTTAACAAATCGCTCCACTGTAAAGAAGAAAGCAAAATGACGCAGCAAGTTGAAAAATTTTACGTTCGAGAAGTTGGCTGAATTTGACGTTCGATAACTCACACTGAGAACACCATTGATTTTAGGAACCCCGTCGTACTGTATGATGGTCTTCAATTTCGGAAGATACTTTTTGATCTGTAGTATCTTAAGAACTTGGTTGTTATCTTCTACGACGGCGATGGTGGCTCTACTATTTTCCGCGCAATATTGACACGCCTCCGCCGAATTGGTCGCGTAGATTCCTGTGGCGAATCCTCTGTGAAAACAAAATAATTCGTACTGCCGATGACCTTTCAACGGTCATAATGTAACAAGTCTGATAAATCGTTGTGAAAAAACAACTTTGCGTGAACGTGATGAATCTGACGTGATGTTTATGCTACGTTGAAAGCGTCTACATGATTATTGGTGATGTGAGTCCATTAGTCCATGGAGAACAATGATCCCGACGAAAGCTACAAAATCGTTATTTATTGGAAGAGGGAAACGCGCGGTAAAAATCAATCCAATCGATTATTTCCTAGAACGAGAACGAAACGGCGATTGACCGCGTTGACAGTCAAAGATTAGCCGGTGCGCGTAAGACCAAACGCGGCAAATCACGGCGGAAGGTAAATATTTTGGCGACGCGCAGCTTACCCAGCGTAGATCGCGGCGATGTCGGCGATGATCCATTCCGGCGAATTGAAGCCGAGAATACAAACAGAGTGATGCTTCTGCAGACCCAGAGACAGAAATGCTTTCGCCACAATTCTCACTTGATTCTCGTACTCCCTGAACGCAGATGAAATCCAGTTTAACGCGCATTCGGCCGTCGCATCGATTCGAGTCGGTTTCATACTCACTTGTACGTAAGTGTCGTGCGTTCGCCTTTGGCATTGGGCCTGGAAATGAGCGCCGGCTGATCCGGATATTCTTTGGCGATGCGAGTGAGAAGTCCAGGAATGGAAACGGGTTCGTAAGTGTCTTCAACCGCGCGATCTATGACGACGCTGACGTGCGGCTCCCACGTGCTATACGATTTAGCATAGAGAATCTGATCGGGGCCTGCGACAAGTGACAGACAGTGGAATATCAGTGCACGCCACCGCTGGCGATTCAATAGCACAGCGCGACCATTCTGAAATTGAAGGCTGTTGTTGATAGGCCGGTTGTCAGGACGCGAAAAGGCCCTCGACGAGAAACAGTTGGTCTAGGAATACCAGTCCCTTTCGTCGTTCATCGCTTTCATCGTCAAGCGCACCGGCTCTTACCGAACAGCGCAGTTACCTGACCAGTGCGAGGCCGAGGCGGCCACCCTAAAACAGCGCGTGGAGCCTGCGAACAACTCACCGTCCAGTTCACTCAAGTTGGAGAGGTGCTGCCCGGGAAACTCGGCGCTCGTGTCCTAAAAGTTCCAACCAATTGTCACGCTTACGATGCCAATATTGCAAAGTTGCGCGGCGATCGACAACAACAACCAATTTACCTTGCTCGTGGACGCCATGCCTGGTTGTGGACTCGAGGCGCAGCAGCCAAATCTCGAGCGCGACTGTCGATCGGCTTGTTTGCGCGCGCTCTTTCGAGAGCAAGCCAATGAATGTATGCGTATGTGCGTGTGCTCGAGTATAATTTCTCGGGCTTGGCCTCGGGCTAATTGACGACAAAAGGGATTTTCGGTGGTGGGGAGAGAAAGCCAGGCCGCTCCAATGTCGCCTCTCATCAAAAGACATATTCTCGTGTGATTTTTCCTTTGCTCAATCGCATAATAGGCTCCCACTTCACGGCTCTGCTGATATCGGTATGAATATTTACTTGCACCTCGTACAAATAACGGTCTCTGATTTTTTTCAGAGCTAAACCAAGTCAGCTCCACGGCTAAATTCTTGTTTTGTATTTTTACAAATTCATTCGCGTAATATCGTAATAAGAAAGATCACTATGGAGTGAGTGGTAGGTAATAGGATCTTGAATTTTTCGTCAAAAAGTTAAGTATGGCAATGTTCAATTGAGTTAAAAGCAATTTTTCACCGACAATAATTAATAAACTATTTTTACGGTACTTGGGGTCACTATATTAAGTCGTATCTGTAAAAAGTCTTTCATACACTCATAATCTGTCCCCTAACAATGTGTCGTTTCAACGGAACGAACGTCCGGCTAAAAGAGAATATTCGCTGCCATACCCCATGCATATATTTCATGTTTCACGTGCAATAATGCGTGTAAGAAAAATCGTTTTCTCCGTATAATTTACCTATTGTAGTTCAGGGTTATCGTCATATATTTATATAATAAATACAGTACAATGATTACAAAGGATGAAAGTCAGTTGTACAATAGCCTCAGCTTGTGATGACGATTTCAGACCAATCGAATAAACAGAAATTAAACGTATAATAATAATAAATGTAGGCTCGTCAAAACACGCTCGCTCAGCGTTACCTCCCCCACAGACACCTCTCGATAGATACAACCTCGTGCGAGTAGGTTATACGCTCTATACGAACTGTTATTTCTATAAGCCTTAAATGTTCTAGCACAAAAACAAGTATGTATACGTAGATCCGATCGTTTGAATTATGACTACAAAGCGCCCACTTCGGATTTGATAGTGAAGTAGCCAACCGTTTTATTATTGATAGCGACGGAAACGAGCTGCTTCCGTCGCTACGTTTGAAAAAGCTCGTTTGAAAAATGAAAGGATGGGACGTTTGGATATAACTTGAAACAATTAATAATTGATAAATAAATCGAAAACTAAATAAATTTGAAGAAAATAAGTTGAAAGTTGAATAAACGCCTGTTCGAGAAGAGCTTAAATTACGAGTTCCTGTGTGAATTGCCAAAAAGTACGGAAATGGTACAAGTTTAAAAACGAATGTCACTCGTTTGACATCTAGCGAGTAGTGACTGCGAACAAGTCATGACCGAGGCCTTTACGGGCTATGCTGATTAAAACCCATCTACGTATTATAGTTGTATTCACAAATACACTCCACGTGTATTTGTTGCTGAACGAGATGTTGACAGTATTTATAAGGTAGTTATCGAGTGTAGTCTAGAATTACCTACATTTATTAAACCAGAAAAATGAACATTTGAAAAGATTAGAATGAATATCGTAAATAATTATAATTATCTTAATTTGCACGAATTATTTTAAAGGATAGCTTGATATAAATAACTCACGCTCACAATATTCGTCACGAATGATTCGGGATATAAAGACAACTATTACTATCACTCTTTATACATGTCGTCGATGAGATCGGCATACTTGTGTAAAACTTCGTTTCGTTTGAGCTTCAATGTCGGGCCAAGTTCGCCAGTTGGTATGGAAAAATCGTGAGGTAGAATTCGAAATTTCTGCACTCGCTGAGCATTGCTTATTGCCTTCTCGTTCGCTCGGTCTATCGCTTCGCTGATTTCTCGTTCGATCTGTTGGGCGCAAATTATTAATGACGAGCTACAATGTCGAAAACCAGTGGAATGTTTGAACGAACGAGCTTGCGGAAAATGTATTTGAATGAAATTAGTGACTAATAGAATTATTCGAATGTTTAGTTACCACATGATCCCGCGTAGTAAGGACTTCCGTGACCGTTGTCGAAGAGCTTCCCAAAGCTTGTGCCCAGTTAAGTGTCTTCTCGGAAAAGGCATCTAAAGGCGCTCCAGTCTCGACATCCATTTGCGTCTAAAATAATGAAAAGAAAAGAAAAGAAAAGAAAAGAAAAGTTAGGAACCCGTAAATAGCCGTAAATTGGACTGTATACCTTGAGCGCGATCAGTATCGTGAGATACTTTCTGGTATCCCCGACGAGCATGGCATTGCTGATAGCCGGGCACTGTTCTTTGACGAGATCCTCGATGCGAACGGGAGGAATGTTTTCACCGCCGGCAGTGATAACGAGCTCCTTGATTCTGCCGGTGATATATAAAAATCCATCGGCGTCCATCTTCCCGAGATCTCCGCTGTGCAGCCAGCTATTTTGGTCTTTCGTCTCGTTCGTCTTCTCGGGATTGTTCAGGTAGCCCATGAACACGTGTCTCCCGTTCATGCAAATTTCACCCTCGCCACGGTCGTCCATATTGTCCAATTTGGTCGCGAAACCGGGCAAAGTACGGCCGATGCTACCTAATCGAAATTCTCGACTGGTCGTTATCGTGTGGGGGCCAGCGCACTCGCTCATGCCGTAACAATCCATGATGACTATGTCGAAGCTCATGAAGTACTGCTTGACGTCGCTGCTCAGCGGTGCCGCTCCGCTGATGTGCGAGTGGCATCTGTCCAGTCCTAGGCTCGCCTTCAGTTTGCCGAAGACCAACCACTTGGCAAGCCTGTAGGTTGTCGACTTGGGTTCGATGCCTTTCATGCGATTCGTATTGGTTTTGGAGCCTTGAGCCCGAGCCCAACCGATTATCCAACTCCTGACGAGGCCGTCGTTTTGTAACGCGGCTTGCATTTTCTCGTGAATTTTCTCCCAGACGCGGGGCACGGCGAAGAAGATCGTCGGGCGCACGGCGAGCAGAGTGTCCAGCAGGCTTCCTTTCAGAGCGTTCTTGTCCGCGATGTGCACCGTCGCGGCTACGGCTATGCTCAAAAACACGTCGGCGCACTACCGAACAATATCGGATCTTCAATTGATAGAGCCATTAAAACGACGAGGCCGCCCGAAACGTTGCCAGACATGCCATACCTGCGCAGCGCTGTGAGACAATGGTAAAAAACTTATAATGACTTCTTGCGCCTCCCTCAAGCCTAGCATCATCTTAGTTGCGTCTGCGTCGCTCAGAAGATTGTCGTGGCTCAACATCACGGCTTTCGGGTTTCCCGTAGTTCCCGACTAGACAGACCATCGGTAATTTCGCCGTCATTCGTCCTTATCTTTTATTATCGCAAACCAACTCACCGTATACACGAGGGTACAGCATTCGTTGACACCGATCGTTTTCAAGACTTTGTTCAGCTGATTATCCGATTGCTTGCGGCCTATTTCCAACAGCTCGTTCCACTGCGCGTTCCTCAAACGGCAATCACTTGTGATATTTCGCAAATTACATTGACAATTGGAGTACTCACGCTTAGAACGTTCTTGGCTTTCGGGATGCCCTCGTATTGAACAATAGCTTTTAACTTTGGAAGATTTCCTTTGATTTTCAGAATCTTTTTTAGTTGGCTATTGTTCTCCACGACGATAATGTTGGCTCTGCTAGTTTGAGCGCAGTATTGGCAAGCTTCTGCCGAATTGGTAGTGTAGATTCCCGCGGCAAAGCCACTGAAAAAGATCGAACGCGCGTTAGTTATTTGGATAATTATTCGAAAGGAGGACTTTCTTTCGATTGGCTCACCCCGCGTAGATGGCCGCAAGATCCGCGATGAACCACTGCGGCGCGTTGAACCCGAGTATGCAAACGCTGTGATGTCGCTCGAGACCCAAATGCAGAAACGCCTTCGCCACAGATCTGACTTGACTTTCGTATACCCTCGAATGTTGAACGAGCAGGCAATCAGAATTCGATAGATTTGCCGCGCTTGAGAAAGTACTTACCTGTAAGTGATGATTGCACGGTTACCGTCGGCATCGGGTTGAGAAACGAGCGCCGGCCTGTACGGGTAGTCGCGAGCCGCGCGAGCGAGCAGCCCCGGCACCGAAATTGGCTCGTGGTCGTCCGACTGGTCGTCGAATTTGACGCGAACTGTGCCGTCCGGCTCCCAGGTAGCGTCAACGTCCGACGAGAGAATCTGTTCGGGACCTGAAAAGCCAACGCTTGGCGCGTCATTTCTTTTCGCATCGCGAAAACTACACTTGGATCGATGAAGCAATAGAGCCGACGCGATCGCTCGCTTGCGTTCGCTCGGCTATAGAGCTTTGTCTTTCTTTACAAAGTATTTTCAAGTGCCAGCAACTCGCCACGTTTCTTTGTAATGTGCAGCATAAGGCCGACCAGGCTGCCTCGTACCGCTTAAATCTGCTCGGGAAATCATCGACAAGATGGAAGTTGCCTTGAAATGCCATGCAAATTTATAATTGGAAAACGAAATGCTATTGCGACCGACCGGCTAGATGTGCGGTTAGTTTGTACGTCAACGAGCAAACTACTCGACTTAACGACATAATGTTTAGATTAACCCGAATGTGCACTCCCGCGGCAACGCAATCAATTTTGAGTACCTACTAATTATCGTATAGTCCGTTTACCTTGACAATCTGTCTACATAGATGGTTAATAATTCAGTATGTGAATTAGCTATTGAGGATGTTGACTTTTATTATTATTTTGATAATTCGTAGCCCGTTCAAAATCTTATTAATGAAATAATTGAATCAGTGTACACGTTGTCAACGTGTATCGGTCAACGGTAAGTAGTAGATCAGTTATACGTACTGGATTGCTTCGCGGAATTACAAGAAGAAAGAACGTACCATCCAAGCCTGTTTCACTTGGCACACCGTATCGAGGAAAAGGACGAGAGTTCGCCGCCTGAAAGCGCAGACGTTTTCAGTGGTAGGTCGATCAATCCTTATTCCTTTGCGAGCTCACCTTCACGTCGACTTTACCAAATCCATTAGTTATCGTGTACACTGCTACTGGCTTAACGGATGCCATTGCTTGCGAAAACGACAATAACGAAGCGACGAGAATGCTTTGCGAGCTGCGCGTCGTTACAAGGAACGCAGCTTTTCGTAGCTACGTTCGTCGAAAGCACGCATCCCTTCTCGCAGTGCCGCCACGAAAAAAGCTGGAAGAACCGAAGCCGAGCGAAAGCTACCGATTCCGCAATCAATGTTGCACTACTTGCGGGGAGATTATACCCCCGGACTCGCGAGCTCGCCCGCGCGGCACGGATTCGTGCGCTAGCTTCGAGCTCGCGCCTGCGCTCTTGTTGCGGACTCGGCATGCAATAGGGGTATTTTAAACGCAACGTTCCTTCGTAGAACAGTAGAGCACTGACAGATTTGCGGTTTACGCGTGCAATGCAATAAACATCAATGCAAATACATCACAGACTGTCGTTTATTCATTAAGCTCTATGGATGAAAAGTTTTATTTTTTGCTTTATCTCGCGATTGCCAGAGAACGTCTAAACGGGACTCATTCTATAGCCGCGCAATTAATCAATGTCCCGTTCGAACGAACACACATCGAATTGGAAAGCTTTCTCAAGAACTTGTTCATCGAGCAACTCTGAGATGTAGGTATGTTATTTTTATAGATCATTTATATCGATTTAATCTTATTTTTGAACTACTGCCAATCACCCTGCGATACCTTTTTCTCTCTCCGGAATCAATAAAATTATTCTAGAACAGTCTAGATAAAATCCTCGACCCACGACATTTTATGCCTCATCAAATTGGTTTCATCGTCAAACAAAGAAGCTTTTCGTACTCAACAGTTTACATTATTTCAATAACTTATGAAATGTTCGATTGGTCACATGAAAGTGGAATGCAAATCAAAAGAATGTTATAAGAATGATTTTATTTCAAGAACGAATTGGATCACTTTTTATACACCATGATTACTTGCTGATAACGTATCCGCTGCAAGGTACAGCCGGATGCAGGAATTGACATCAGTAACGTTTATTTGACAAGGTAAGACACGCTCTCGCAGAGAAACGGGAGGGAGAGACGTTAATGTCTACTGTCTGCGAAAAAAACACTGACGCTCGTGGTCCTTTAGACGCCAGGGCGGCATCCGCGAACCGCAGCCGAAAGCGCGGTATCGACAGTCGACCACGTGGTACGGCGGGTCTTCCTGGAGATGAAAGCCATGTTCGCGATGCTGGCCGAGCTCCCCGACCGAGCAGCTCGGGCCGCGGCGATCCTTGTAGATGCAAATGTCCTCGTGGGCCCGGAGGCGCCAGTGAGGCGCTCGCACGTTGCAGCCGACCGACTGGAAGCGGCAGGCGACGCGTTCCTCGTCCTGCTCGGCGCTCGACGGCGGTGGCTCTCGGCTCCCGTAGATGCACGCGTCCTCGTGCCGGGACAGGTGGTGGCGGGCCAGGCGCACGTTGCAGCCGGCGGACTCGAACCTGCAGTGGGCGTGGTCGGCCTCGGGCGACGGCTCTCGGTCCTTGTAGATGCAGATGCCCTCGTGACTGGGCAGGCGCCAGCGGGACAGCCGCACGTTGCAGCCGCGATCCTCGTACCGGCAGGCGCGTTCGTCCGGCTGGTCGCGTACGCCGACCTGCGCGAGCTGCGCCTCGTTGTCGTAATTGTACTGGCACCTGAACAGAGGGGGGCTGCTGGCTTGAGCGGTCGGCCGGACTTACCGCGAGCGGCGTACTTGCCGCTGCTCGACGGGCTTACCGAGGAACGTGGACGTTCCTGAGCGCCTCCACGAACTTGGCGCTGCAGCCCAAGTGCGCGTAAGGGCAGTCGAGCAGTTGGGGCTCTTCCGTGGGCATCGGCCGCGGCTGCCAGTGCTGCAAGTCGTCCAGGTTCGGGGCGCTGGGCGGCGGCCGATGCATCGCCGCGGCGTGCTCGTAGGTCCGCGGGCTCGGCGCCGCTATCTCGCGCAGCGGTCGCAGACATTGCGGGCAGTTGAAGTAGTACGGCCGGCAGCGCTGGCATATCACGTGATCGGTATCGCACGAGAACCTGCAATTTTTCCATTTCGCCAATCGTCACCGAGCGATTCGTATTCTATTCTCAGAGCTCGCGTTAGTTGGATTCCATCGTTGTAAGCCGAAAAGCTCGAGACCTCGTCGTTTTTCAGGAGGGAAAGGAACTAAGAACAAACTCAAACTTGCGCCAACCGAAAAATGCCGTTTCCTACTTTTTCAGGGTCAAGCATTTTCATCTTCACTGGCGCTCGCGTACCTTACTGAAAACAACCAACTTGACGATCGATCATATTTATTATTACATCATCGTGAACTTAGCGATTGGATAAAAGATAAGCACTGCGCGAAAAAAGAATCGACTGACGAAGACAATGCCGATGAGTCAGTTCTAAAATTAAAGCTGTCTTCGTAGATAAGTGATGTGGGTATGGAAGTAGCCACGTAAGTTTGTTGCTCCCGTTCTCGTCGGTATTCCAAATTACCCTATGTATTATTTTGAGGATAACGTATTTAAAATGGAAAATATCATCGTTTTACAAAGCGAAACGATTGACTGGTCTACCTAGCATCTTTCACACGCGACAAATAATAGCACGAGTTTTGTTTGAGTTTGCTTAAGTTTGAAAATGGATAAAATTTCGATATACCTCGGCGAGTATGCCATCTCCGTTAGACATATGGGACAAATGCCCTCGCTCTTAAATTTTTCTTGCAAATTTGGATAGAGCCGTGACATCTTGACTCGTTCGGCAGGGTACAATGCACAGATTCAAACGTGTAACTGAACGTTAGAGTTTAGAGTTGTGCAGCTCGTTACCGGACTCGCTCGCAAATATGCGCACACCTATGTACAGCATTCAGCAATGAAACCGACAATTTATCGCAGAATGACTAACAAAAATTTCACGTTAGGTGTTGACTCGTTCGCGCTTTACAATCAACTGACTGTCCTTGGTAGCAGCTATTCTATCTCTCATATCAGCCTACTGATAAAAAAAAGCGCGACGAAGACTCGTCAGGTAAGCGGTAATCATTGTTCATGTACAGAATGAAGGTAGAGGCAAATATTGTCAAATTTTACCGCGGCGATTTTGGTGTTTCGTATAATATTTGCACTCCTGAGATATCACGAAAGGAGAATGCGAGAGTGCCATTTTAGGCCATTCTGATCGAAAAGTCAATCGGAGTACGCTCGCGCTGCATCCAAGAGATAACGTTTTAACATCAGTTTATTGCTCAACGGAAAATCGCGCTTAGCATAAATATACATATGCCTTTGGTAGCAAAATTTTCAACTAACATCAATGCAAGCTGTGTTAAGGTATTTCTATTGCCTAGTGCTCATCTTCGGGTAGCCGCGCGATTAAAAAAATATTTTTTGTCTTCTACGCGCTCGTTATAAAAAAGTTATTGATAAACGGAAGCGAAAAAATTTGGAAGTACTCTTCATATATCTAGTTTCTCATAGTCGTTGACCGAATTCGATATCTACTTTTGTTTGCCTACAAAAAATAATAACCTGAAAAATGCCAAAATTCGTAACTTTGATTGACAAAAATCTGTTGTGAATTTTTGAAAATCAAAAATTTGTTTATGCTACATTATTTGATAAAGTTTCGAGAGTACGTCTATCAGTATATAGGTCTTAATACTCATTTTAAAAAAATGTTAGAAACTATATAGAGAATCTGCGTGGTGTTGCGGCGACAATTTTTGGCACTTTTTAGCAACATCTTTAATAATAGCGTAACAAAATCCACGGCAACCTATAATTTTGAACATGGCAACTGGCTTAAAATTTAATTAGTTTCATTCTGTTTAAGATTGGTAATGTTCTTGAATTTCTTCCGAAGTTATTTCTGAAAATACATTGAAAACTACATTGGCTATTTCTAACTGAATTTTAATATGAAAAGAAACTGAAGAAAATTACAAAACTTTGACACAACGAAGCTCATAAAACTTTAAAGCGATTTACATGTTCAAATTTATAAGTCGCCGTAGTTTTTTTTAGATTATTAACCCTTAACTTGCACACCTCATTTTGGCCACGTAACTGCTCGGTGGGGTAAATCTACCCCAGCCCGAAAAACATCGAATAAATCAGAGAATTTTAGATATTTTGCTATGAAAATTTTTTCTACTATATTTCAAACCTTTTACTACAAAAAAATAAATTCAGGTTAACAATTTTTAATGTTACACACACTGAAAAAAATTGTTAAAAAAAAAAAATAAATTTTATTTATTGTTAAAAATTGCCTGGGGTAAATTTATCCCACATAGTAGTTAAGGGTTAACGAAAATGTTGCTAAAAAGTCACCGCGATGCCACGCAGATGCACTAAATAGTTTCTAGAATGTTTTTTTAACGAGTATTAAAGTCTATAAACTGATACACGTACTCTCAAGATCTTATCAAATGATATGGCATAAACACATTTTTGATTTTCGAAAATTCACAACAGATTTTTGTCCAACAAAGTTAAGAATTTTGGCAATTTTCAGGTTATAATTTTTTGTAGACAAATAAAAGTAGATATCGAATGCGGTCAAAGACTATGAGGAATTAGGTAATATGAGGAGTACTTCCAAATTTTTTCGCTTTCATTTATCATAACTTATAACTTTTTTATAACGAGCGAATAGAAGACAAAATGTATTTTTTTATCGCGCGGCTTTCCGAAGATGAGCACTTGGAAATAGAACCACCTTCAATTACATTACGAATGCATCTGTAGGGCTACGATATATTTTTAAATAGAAATAAGTGTTAAATAGAATTTTTTAAACAAACTTCGATAAGTACATAGTGTTGAAAATTTCTTAAAAAAAAAATTAATTTTACTCGCAAGGCACGTCAGATAATTTTTCTTCTCCTACTGTATCAAAAAAAAAAATTATCGATTGACCATGATAAAGTACTCACCTGACTGCTTTGACATCATTCATAGTGGTCCAAACGATAATTCTGAATTATATTCAAAAAAGTTTCAGACGAAAATTTAGGGTAGAAAAGGAAAAATGGACTGAAGAACAATGTAACGTAAAATATGTTTTCCGATTGATCAAGATGAAAAGGAAATTATAAGAAATGAACAACGCAGAATGTTTAGTTTGAATTATCGAAATACATATTAGTAGAAGCATTTTTCAAGACTTTATTAGATGCATGTGATTGTGTGCCTTTGGTCCTTAGGTCGGGTGGGCTCTAGGCAAGTCTATTGAATGCAGCACAGTGTACATTATTACATTGTAATTTATAAATTTTCGGATACATAATCCATTTTTAATTAATATAATATTTCGTATATTAATAGAATATCTTTAACGCTAGGAGATTTCTACAGGATAGCTTTTACATTATATAATTCATAATCTTCTGTTTCGTGTGTTTTCTTATAATATTTGATGTCGTTTACATTAAAAGCTAACGCCTCGTTACAATACAAAGTTGAAAGTGTTTCCTTAAACATTAGAGGTCATCAAAATTTCCTTAAATATATTCCAACGTCAAATATATTCTGATTTCTTTTTGTTGAATTTTATTTATTTATTTATTTTTAGTTTTATTTCATCGTCGTTCATCAGCATTTAAGAGAATAAAAATTTCAATAACGATTACAAAAACAGTCATCTTCGTCACATCTCCTCAGCAATATTCATATCTATAAATAATAAAAATCTCCACCATGATAAAACTGCGTATAATTCATTACAATCGCATAATCGTACATTTATATATATAATTCATAGCTACAAATAATTATAAATATACACAATGAAAATGATTGTTAAGAAATAGAGTTCATTAAATAAAATTCAAATGTACAATAATTAATAATTACTTCGTCGTATCGGTCGTCTTAAAAACGCGATGCCTTGCCATTGCCTCAAACCAGCAAACTTCGCAAGAGGTAAAACTCTCGTAAAAAAGAGAGGGAGAGAGAGATGGAGATCAAAAAAACAATGTATTTATTATTGTATCTCCTTGCTTTGTTTTGTAATATTTTCGTTTTTGTTCGCCTGTTATTATGCGTCGCGCGCGTTTGGGCTTTGCGGAATGGCAAGTCAGCATACACAGGGAAAGCATATACGGATATTACAATACAATGATATCGCGTCCACCGAAAGCCTACGGAAATTTGATTTCGCCTCTACATCTCTGTGGACGGGACGACTAGCGCGCGCTTTAGAGAGCTGTTGCTGCTGCTGCTGCTGCTGCTGCTGCATTTTGCGAAAGCTGCGGAAATCTATGAATCCTTGCGCTCTTCCGAGATGAATTCCTCGACCATTTTCAGCGTAGATTCGTCGCCCAATGGGGCTGACGTCGTCACTGTGGTTCGCGTGATTCTCGTTATCCTGTTTCAAAACAATTACTTATGTATACGTGCTTTTTTATGTGATACAAAAAACCTGCCCTCAAATCGATAAAAACGCGAAATCACTTCGAATTTCAATATCGTTTTCAAATTACCTTTCGTGTGTCTCGGGATTAATCTCAGTCGTAGTCGTCTCCATAAAGGTTGGTTCGCTTTGTTGCAAAAAGTCATTTTCTGTGTAAAAAGAACGATAAACTTGAGATCAGTAAGCCGTTAATTTATCATATCGGATATTATTGCTTTCCATTTCAATGCTGACCTTCATACAAGTTCGACTGATTCATTAATTCTTTACGATGCAACCTTTTTTACATCATGCCCATACAAGGGTTTTCATAATACTAGACACATATGACAATAAATAAAATAATGATAAAATAAAACATTTGGTAATACACCGTACTTTACGAAATCAGCCAAATTATAAATGCAGCCAACGTAAGTGTTTTCACTTTTGCACGTAAAACTTGGTATTTTACAAGAGAATCATAACAAAATATACACTTTTTATAAATTTATACTTTATATAATATGAAAATATATACTAAATATGTACTTTATGATAATATTGAAAGAAAAAATGTTGATTCAAGCATTTTCAAGTACAGTCTTTCCTTCGATAACACGAAAAGTTTCTTGTGATTATAATCATTATTTAAAGTATGCTAAAGTCGGCAATCATCTTTGAGATTTTAAGTTTAATTTTGGCTAAACAGAATTAACAAAATATGTTTTTTTGTCAATTCGAATTGGTTTAATTAAACTCAATTTTTGCAGAGTAATAGTCGATTTCTTATTCGGAGGCTTATCAATAAACATTATTTTAAAGTATATCACATGACTATAATGACGATGAATATGTATGATGATGAAGTAAGTATATTTAAAAGTAAGCCAAATTTTTGCCTTCCTTATTTATAACAGAAAAGCTTATTTTGTTCGAAGGATCGCTTGTAGCTTTCATGTTTTGAGCGTCTGTAATAGGCAATTCTCTCTTCTACAATAATTCACAAAAAAAACGAACAAAATATAAATATTAAGTGTGCTACACGCAGCGAGCTTGTGATTTGAGCTTACAACAGTTTTAAAATATCAAAGCTTGTAAAAGCTTGTAAGTATGAAAGAAGCATTTTGTTGCGCAATGTCAGACAACGTACCTAATATGTATGCAAAATAGTTTCTTTTTCTTTAGCTTGCCTTGAAAAATTAATTTATTCATCAGAAATAAAAAGTGTAACTACGTTTGATATTGCTTAAAGTCGATACCAGTGGTAGGTGAACATTTCTTGAAAAAAAGAAACTCTGTCGTATGAAATATTTCGAAGCGAAACATTTGTCTAGATGAATGACAAAATAGCTTCGTCGCCTTATCAATCCTGACGTTATACCTTCAGTCGGTTGGCCCCTCATACACTTTAGCTTTATCTTGAGAGATTTGTTATGATTGTCGTAACGACTATAGATGACATTTCAATATCGAAGGGTCTACGAAGTTTTTGTAGAGTCAGTACGTGCGTTATAAGTTGAGTTCTACGTAAAGGTTCAAACTGCTTCTTTAATCTACTTGACATGCACATCGTGCGACGTTCATAGATATGAATACTTTGTCATGCACTACGTATGATATTTACAAATTTCTACGACTAGTTGGCATCAGAAAAATAAAGCTTATACCTGTGGTTCGTATCGATCTCTTACCTTTCCGAGCGATGGTGTGGTTTACTCATCATAGGAAAATAATGTAATATACTATTTTCTGACACGTACCTAGTATCCCTTAGGGATTGACTAGAAAATATGCTGGCGACGTTGCCAATCGTTTGGGGCTCCAGTGCGAAAATAACGGCAAGCAGGGCGATTAGAATTGTGAGGATAGCGATCATCCGACAAGAACAGCTGCCGGATGGCTTACTCTTCTCCATTGGCAATCTCGTGGACTCGGCAACGATGTGACCATTAGGACTCTCATTCACGTCTCCTACATCAGGAGCTCAATCATCATCCGGTTACCCCTTATCACTTTCGCGCAGGAATTTCGGATTGATATAAGTGATGATTTTGCTAGTTAAACGCGCTTTTGGAGTGGAGTTTTACTATATTTATTCTTTACTACTTCAATTTATTACTTTATTACTTCTTTAATAAACTTCGATTTATGAAATTTCGATATTTATTGGTTTACTAAAAATACTTAAAGTTTTTTTTTCATAAAACTCTGTAATGACGATAATGTTAGCAAATTTTTAATTCTAATTTAAAAAAAGGGCATAGTCGGATGAAAAAATCAAATATGCCTGAAAAGCGTGAAAAAATTTAAGAGTATCATTACGTTCAAAGAAAATTATACCTCATCGCCGATTTTCAAGCTATTAGATCCATACGTAGGCGCACTATTTCAAATTTTCTTATTTTCTTAACATTTTTATCCAATTCGAAAGAGTTTCTAAGCTTATTTGAAAACAGTTTTTTTTTAATGTCACGTAAATTATAAAATATAGAAAAGAGAACCCTTCACTTGAAAAAACTACGTTATTTTTTTAATAAAAATACATTTAAATATGTTTGTTTGGATATAGATCTGCTATAACTTACAATGCATACGGGAAAAAAAAATATTTCCAATCGTATTTAAAATTTTGAACTCTGCAAATTGGTAAAGAGGTACTTTTTTCACGCAAATATAACAGTAACGTCTCCTGAGGCAGATTTGACTATCTTATTCAGTTAGACCCTATATCGATTCTTGCTTTTGTTGTTCTTGTTTATGAAAATTAACGTAAGAGCTAATTTAGCACGACTCTACTCCAGATAGAGGTTATGACGCTCGAAAGAAGAGAAATATTGCATCAATCCGAAAGACACGTGAGGCGCAAAATAAAAAGATCGCGATACAGATGATGAATGTCAGCCGCACCAGAAAAAGCCCCCGCATCCACCTGGTAGTCTGAAGGTCATTCCTTTTGTTTGATAATGCTTTTAAAAAATGTATAGCCACGAATTATTGCAAGAGAAGGCCTGGGGTCATGATGATATTACGAAATTGGTATTTGTGACAGAGAAAGGTTGATCAGCACCCATCCCGCACGCACCTGTATGATTATATAACCAAAACGCTTTGTGAAGAGAAAAAACCATACCATCACACGCTGTCGTTTGTTCTTTTTGACTCGTCGATAGTCATAAAGTCTGACCACAAGCTTTGTTTTTCTGTTGAGCAAAGAAGCAACATCATTCATGCGTGTCGTAAACGAAAGTGCTACAAGACTTTATGGGTACTACGATCAAGTATAGCTGTGACAGAAACCACATGCAAAGCTTTCAGCTGCAGGCGAAAGAAAAAGAAAAGCGAAAAGCGCCACTCATACACACGCACAAACGGATAAAACACCGATTGAAAAGAGAAAGAGAAAGAGAGAGAGAGAGAGGGAGAGAGCGGGGTATGTACAAGTGAAAGGCTTACTCAGAGGGCTTAGATATGTGAGACTGAGACATCTACCTTGGTCGTCCTCCATTGGGGATAACTCGGCTCCCTCGTGGAGCGCGACATCAGAACCACTTGAACTACCCAATGTCCGCCTTTTCCCACCTCGTCTTCTCTGGGGACTTCCTTCGCTTTCCGTATCGCTGATCGTTCTCGTCGACCCATTGTTGTTGTTGTTGCTCACCGTCCTCGGCTCGTCACCCGGCGAGGCCTCCCACAGTTCTGCGGGTGCGCTCGCTTCGCTCATCGTTCGCCAGGAATCAGTCAAACGTCGCTCGGATTTCTCGGTGACGTTCATCTCCTTGGCTAACTCATCCTCGGGCGACTCGTGAAATGTAGTCATCATCATCCTCGTCAATTCGTAATCTGCTACGGTAGTCGCATGTCTCTCTACAGTCTCATGCCCTGAGCCATTTATTCAACGTTGCACGAGAAGGGAACAAGGGAGAAATAGAGCGTCAATAAGCCACACAATAATAACGTCACACACTTGCCTCTCTCTATTGCTTTGGCGTCCCTCTACGTTTCTTTTTTTCTATTTGCTTTTAAGGGAGTTTCTATTGGTAAGGGTCGTTATCAAAGCGACGGATTATTCATTTCAGTAAAGGTGCGCTTTTGCTATTGATTTTTTAGTTTTATCGATGTTTTTTAATTGGTTAGTCGCAATGTTTAATAACACGTATGCAGGAATAAAATTTACGTTCAATCGTTAAGTATTTCAATTTATACGCTCCAGTGTATGTCTATTTTTGAAATAATTAAAAATGGATCTGACAATACTTGTTGAAGCGGATAAACTTTCACACTGGAATTTTTGCAGTGAATGTCTAAAACATTGGTCGATTTTTTACTAAAAGAGGTACATCACAAATAAAAGATGATTGTATGGAATATGTGTACACAAAATGATCAAACGGAGAGTTGCAACATTCAAGTCTAGAATGAGACTAGATGAGTCTGCAGAGATTTTTTTTTTCGTTTTCTCTACAGAAATGAGATGTTAGTCAACAAGATGGTATGATAAAAAGTCATAATTAGAAAAATACGGGCCAAGTACCTTTCCAATAAAATACATGCAATACAAGTTAGTGTATAAAGGAAAGCGTCAGCATGTGCTAACTAGAGAAGATAAAGCTAAATATAACCGAGGGCACCAAAGGAACATATTTGTAATATGATGTAATAAACATACTGATCCTTCGACCTAAATCAGTGTGGTGTTTTTCATTATGATAGATGACGTCAATAGTGGCTGTATCGTGTGGGTAAATTACCTGATTGCTTCTGCGTAAGGGCATTGTCAGCTAGCAGCTGCGCTCGTTTGGCCGCTTCCTCGGTAATATCTGAAATACAGAAACAAACGAAACATAAGTCTGACATGTGCATCGATTAGGGTCACATTAAAAGCAGTGATTGTAACAGAGATTAGGATGAATGATGTTTTTTTCCAGCATAGTATGCCTCGTATCATGCGTCACTAGACACTGGCTTCCTGTTAATTTCAATGAAATTTATTACTTACTTTGAATTATTCGAAAAAAATAGTGACTATTGTAAGCTCGGCTAAATTATAAATAACTAATGAGGGAGGAAACAAACGATAAGTTAAACGGGTGAATGAACAAATCAAAATTGTGAACAAAGGTGTCTTTAATTGCGATTATATATTTTATCCAATTCTCGTAGAGTTGTGCTAAACAGCGAACAAACCTGGAACCATGCATCAAACAGAGGTAAAAGCTATTAAAAAATCAGAAAAAATCATAAAAAACAACAAAAGAACACAGAAAAATAACATTTAAAAAATCATGGTAATGTATACGTCGTATGATTTTTTTACGAAAAGACACGTTGACGGTAAGATGGAATATTTGGATATCACATTGATTAACCTATCTTTAATCTTGGACATTTGTTGTATAACTGATGAACTCGTTAATCCTAATTTCACTGTATCGATTTTATCTTTTCTTCGCGATGATCAAGATTAAAGAAGTTATTAGGCATTGTTAAAAAATGAGATCACAGAGAAAGAAAAATAATGAATAGCTGTTTGATCGATCGATATAATGGTAATATTGTATTCGAAATTCTATTACTACACACGAAACGTTTAGCACATTGGCAAACGTCGCGCACACCTTTGCCGAAGCATAGGGCGCCGGCGGCAAAGACGGGCAATGCAGTAATAGCTTTTGGAATCACATATGATAATATGTGAAACTAAGGATACAAAAGAAGCATTAAATTAATTAATTATGTTACACACAGCTGGTATATAATATATATGTGATATATGTACGTATATAACACAATTATTGACGAGATACCTTTACTGCTTACGTCAGTGAACTCGGCGGGGCTGGGTGGTGGGGTCGCCGCCGTCGTCACAGACTTTTTTATGACTGTGGTGACGGTTTGATGTGCGTGAGGTTCGACATGTGTCAAGCTACTAGAAACATCGGCCGCGACTATTCGCACCTCTTCGCGCGTAATCGTTATTTCCTCTTGCGTCTGAACCTCCGATCTTTCGATCTGTTGGTATGTCTTTATGATTTTTGGAATGCGTGATTCAACCTTATCAACTACTACCTCTGGTGTACTGTACACTATATTTGTCGTTTCGGGATTGAGGTCTGGTCCTAAGGCTACTTCGTCGCGTACTTGCTCGCTACTGCTTGTCGCTGTAGTTACGTCGTAACTACCTGAAGGTCTAGATTCTTTAGATTCTCGTTTTGTTTCGTCCCAGAATTTACCAGTCGCTTCTTTAATACCCTCAGCGGCGTGATCAACTTCTTTCGCGATCTTGTGGGTTGCACCCTTTGTTTTGCGCACGATACTTGACAGAACATCACCTTTTTTAGATTTCTTCTTCTTCTCCTTTTTCATTTTATTTTCAGAATCTCGCTCTAGAGAATTCCGCAATGAACTGGACTCCGAGCTAGATTCGGAATTTTGTCTGACTGGCACTGGATCCATCGTCATAGCTGCCACATTCCGTGAATCTTCGAGCAAAAACTGTGTTGCAGTTATTGGATCGCGTAAAATTAATTCATTTACATTAATACTATCAGTCTTTTTGGTCTGGGATTGATCTCTATAATCAATTGGTTCTTCGATGCAACTTCTCTGTTGATCATATGAAATACTTTCAACGTCAAAATCGATCAACGTTTCGGGAGTTTCTTCGTCTTTCATCGCTTTGTCTATCTTCTTGACTTTCTTCTCACTCTCGAGAGTTATTTCTTTTACCTCTTCAACAGTATCTTTTTCTAATTCATATGTGGGATGCTTAGAACCTTTGAAAATACCCGAAAAAAATCCGCTACTTTTAGATTTTTTAGCTCCTGATTTCGCATCTGTAGCTGCATGGTTCGGCAGTTTATTGATCTTATCAAATTCGCATTTCACGGCATCATCGGTCTTCTTTAAATCAGATTTAACCTTATCGGAGAGGTGTTGTAGTTTTTTATCTGAATCGTTCTCTATTATTGTAAGGCGATCTGTTGTATCTTTGAGAGTTTGTTCACCCTCGGTAACTTGAGTATCTATCTTCACAGTACTCTTTTCAATGTCTGACAGAGTTCTATCCGTTACATCATGAGCAGCCTTTTCTACCGCTTTTTCCATTTTAATCACTTCTTTAATCATTTTATCGCCTAATTTTTTATCTTCATCAGTAAGAGGATCTCGGATATCTTTCGATGTTTTAAAACTACTACTTTTATCCTTAATTTTTTTATCTGCAAACTTATCAATAGTGCTATCATCTATGGCTGTGCAAATCTTGTCAGCTTTATCTCTCAGGGGATCTCCAGTTTCATCTAAATTAGATTTCACTTTGGCGAACAATTCATTATCTTTTTCTTGAACAGTAGTCTTTGCCCTTTCTTGTTCTTGAATGGCTTCGTTACGTGTTTCTTGAACAAATTCCTTCACTTCATCTTCCACTTCATCAAATACATGCTTCACACCTCGAACCATACTAGATATAAAACTACCTGATTTTTTTTTTTGTTTCTGATCTGTAGATTTTTCTGCCTCAGTCGTATATAAGTCCCGCAACTCTTTTTCAACTTCTTGATCTGTCTCTTCGGTTGATGGTCCTTCTTCTGGAACAGTACGTTCTATTTTAGGGGGACAAATACATATGTGTATCCGACTATCTGATTCTTCCGGAATATTATAATAGAATCTACTTTCTATTGTGGAATCGTCAGGTACGTTATGTATCTCGTCTTTTAAGTCATTGGTATCGCCTGCTTTCTTTAAAATACTTGACAAGTAGCCACTAGCCTCTTTTTTTCCATCCTTTACTGCTGATTCTGTCGTATAGGTTGCATTGATGATTGTTTTGTTAACATTTTTTGTTTCATGGTCTAGATTATCTTTAACATCCTGAATAAGACACTTTGGAGTTTTTTCGGCTTCATTTATTTTGTTTTCGATATCTTTTTCCATGTACGTAATATCTTTCTCAGTGTCAGATATTTGTGCATTTATTGTTGCATCCTTTTTCTCCGATGTATCACTGACAGCTGTCTTGATTTTTTTCTCTTCTTTAAATGTTTGTCTCTCTAAATCTTCAGGCAATTCTTTAACATCATTCTTAATCTGATCAACATCGTTTGGACCACCTTTGAAAATTCCAGATAAAAAGCCACTTGCTTTATTAACTTTATCCTTCTTGGTTGGACTTTTAGCATCCGAAGCATACTTAGTAGCTTTGTTTTTTGCATCCTTAGTCTCTTTCCCTTGATTAATTCCTACGACTATGCTTTCACCTTCTGAATCGCTGCTATCTTTCGAACTTTTGAATATACCTTGGAAAAAACTGCTACTTTTTACTTTTGGCTTCTTTGCCGATTTATCAAGATTAAAAGTTTGATTATTAGTCATGCCTTTTTGTAGCCGTGGGCCAATTGATGACGGATCATATGACTCACTATTCTTTTTCATATCATCAAGTAAAAGTGCTGTTAATTTTATGTCATTATCTAAAGGAGTTTCATTCATTTCAGAATTCGCAACTCCACTAGCTTTTTGTAGGACATTATCAGTTGTTTTTATTAATTTATCACTTTTATTACTCATGTGACTATCAGATGCTTCTGAATACTCTTTTCCTTTATCAGACAATTCATGCAAGTTACCGCGTAATATCAGTTTAGTTGAATCAAATTGCTGCTCAGCAGGTTTTAATTTTTCATTTATTACTTGTTCCACATCGCGTATTTTGATGTCTATCTTTTCAACGCTTTCTCCTATAGCTTGATCGACGAATTTATCACCTCCGTCTATAGACTGATCTTTAATTTCCTTACCAACATCACTAATCTTTGCGTCCAGCTTGCTTGCGGAATCCTGAACCCGCTTGGCCGATGTTTGTGCCTCCTTTCTTAACCTTTGCTCCTCATTAATGGATTCGAGTTTGGTCTCGTCAACGAATTCACGTACTTCCTCAACTAGGCTATCTGCCGTAGATTTCGCGTTAGAAATCAACCCTGAGAAAAAGCCCTTCTTTTTCGATCCCGGTTTTACATCCTGAGCAGCATTGTCCAATTTATGTTCTAGTTTTTTACCTTCTTCTTTGCCCACGCTCTCGGCACGCGCCATCCCTGTTTTAATTTTTTCTGATTCTTCCCGTAGTTTATCATCCAATTTTTTGGATGCTTCTTCCAAATTATCTTCGACAGACTTCTGAGCATCCGAAAGTTTAGGACTGATTTTTCCCGCCAGTTCCTTAGTGTCCTGGACTACTTTGCTACTCGTATCATGGGCAAGTTCCTCACCTTCGTGAACTTTCTTTTCGATACGATGTTCTACATTATACACGTCATCTATGACGTCGTCTTTGACTTGCTTGCCTCCTTTGAATATTGATGAAAGAAATCCGCCTTTGCCTTTTTTTGATGCAGATTTTGCATCTTCGTGTGCTGTTTTGGTGTCGCACTCAATTTTTCCCAGATCCGTACCTATGCTTTGCGCGCCAGCAAGCACTCTATCGGTTGCTTGACGTTCTGCATCAACGAATTCCTGCGAGAGGTCTCTTGTCTGAGTGTCACCGACTTCTTCAGATTGATTGAGCATTCTATCGATATCAGATGACAATTCATGTAAACCTTGCGTAACTTCCTTGGACACCTTGGCACCGTCATCCTTAACTTTTTGTTCCATATCTAAGATATTCTCTTTGGTTTGATGTGCTTTGGTATTCACTAAGCTGCCCACATCTTCTAGATCAGCTTTTGCAGATTCAAACGTTTCTTCAATTATTTCGGCAGTTATTTGGTGTACTTCATCTAGTTTTTTACCTCCGTCTATGGCCTGATCTTTAATTTTCTTACCAGTCTCGCTAATCTTTGCGTCCAGGTTGGCTCCGGAATCCTGAACGCGCTTGGCGGCAGCTTTCGCTTCCTTTTTTAGCCTTTGTTCTTCATTGAGTGATTCAAGTTTGGTCTCGTCAACGAATTCACGCACTTCCTCAACCAAGCCATCTGCCGTAGATTTCGCGTTCGAAATTAACCCAGAGAAAAAGCCCTTCTTTTTCGATCCGGACTTTACATCCTTAGCAGAACTATCTAATTTATGTTCTAGTTTTTTACCTTCCTCTTTGCCTACACTCTCAGCACGCGTCAACCCTGTTTTAATTTTTTCTGATTCTTCTCGTAGTTTATCATCAAGTTTTTTGGATGCTTCTTCCAAATTATCTTCGACAGACTTCTGAGGATCCGAAAGTTTAGCACCGATTTTTCCCGCCAGTTCCTTAGTATCTTGGACCACTTTACTACTCGCATCATGGGCAAGTTCCTCACCTTCGTGAACTTTCTTTTCAATACGATCTTCTACATTTTTCAGGTCATCAACGACATCGTCTTTGACTTGTTTGCCTCCTTTAAACATTGATGAAAGGAATCCGCCTTTGCTTTTTTTTGATGCAGATTTTGGTTCTTCATGTGCGATTTTGTTCTCGCTCTCGATTTTTACCAGATCCGAACCTATGCTTTGTGCGCCATCAAGCACTCTCTCGGTAGCTTGCCGCTCTGCATCTACGAATTCCTGCGAGAGGTCTCTTGCCTGAGTATCACCGACTTCTTTAGATTGACTGAGCATTCTGTCGATATCCGTAGACAATTCATGTACACCTTGCGTAACTTCCTTGGACACCTTGGCACCGTCATCCTTAACTTTTTGTTCCATATCTAAGATATTCTCTTTGGTTTGATGTGCTTTGGTCTTCACTAAGCTGCCCACATCTTCTAGATCAGCTTTTGCAGATTCAAACGTTTCTTCAATTGTTTCGGCAGTTATTTGGTGTACTTCATCTAGTTTTTTACCTCCGTCTATGGCCTGATCTTTAATTTTCTTACCAGTCTCGCTAATCTTTGCGTCCAGGTTGGCTCCGGAATCCTGAACGCGCTTGGCGGCAGCTTTTGCTTCCTTTTTTAGCCTTTGTTCTTCATTGAGTGATTCAAGTTTGGTCTCGTCAACGAATTCACGCACTTCCTCAACCAAGCCATCTGCCGTAGATTTTGCGTTCGAAATTAACCCAGAGAAAAAGCCCTTCTTTTTCGATCCGGACTTTACATCCCTAGCAGAACTATCTAATTTATGTTCTAGTTTTTTACCTTCATCTTTGCCTACACTCTCAGCACGCGTCAACCCTGTTTTAATTTTTTCTGATTCTTCTCGTAGTTTATCATCAAGTTTTTTGGATGCTTCTTCCAAATTATCTTCGACAGACTTCTGAGCATCCGAAAGTTTAGCACCGATTTTTCCCGCCAGTTCCTTAGTATCTTGGACCACTTTACTACTCGCATCATGGGCAAGTTCCTCACCTTCGTGAACTTTCTTTTCAATACGATCTTCTACATTTTTCAGGTCATCAACGACATCGTCTTTGACTTGTTTGCCTCCTTTAAACATTGATGAAAGGAATCCGCCTTTGCTTTTTTTTGATGCAGATTTTGGTTCTTCATGTGCGATTTTGTTCTCGCTCTCGATTTTTACCAGATCCGAACCTATGCTTTGTGCGCCATCAAGCACTCTGTCGGTAGCTTGCCGCTCTGCATCTACGAATTCCTGCGAGAGGTCTCTTGCCTGAGTATCACCGACTTCTTTAGATTGACTGAGCATTCTGTCGATATCCGTAGACAATTCATGTACACCTTGCGTAACTTCCTTGGACACCTTGGCACCGTCATCCTTAACTTTTTGTTCCATATCTAAGATATTCTCTTTGGTTTGATGTGCTTTGGTCTTCACTAAGCTGCCCACATCTTCTAGATCAGCTTTTGCAGATTCAAACGTTTCTTCAATTGTTTCGGCAGTTATTTGGTGTACTTCATCTAGTTTTTTACCTCCGTCTATGGCCTGATCTTTAATTTTCTTACCAGTCTCGCTAATCTTTGCGTCCAGGTTGGCTCCGGAATCCTGAACGCGCTTGGCGGCAGCTTTTGCTTCCTTTTTTAGCCTTTGTTCTTCATTGAGTGATTCAAGTTTGGTCTCGTCAACGAATTCACGCACTTCCTCAACCAAGCCATCTGCCGTAGATTTTGCGTTCGAAATTAACCCAGAGAAAAAGCCCTTCTTTTTCGATCCGGACTTTACATCCCTAGCAGAACTATCTAATTTATGTTCTAGTTTTTTACCTTCATCTTTGCCTACACTCTCAGCACGCGTCAACCCTGTTTTAATTTTTTCTGATTCTTCTCGTAGTTTATCATCAAGTTTTTTGGATGCTTCTTCCAAATTATCTTCGACAGACTTCTGAGCATCCGAAAGTTTAGGACTGATTTTTCCCGCCAGTTCCTTAGTGTCCTGGACTACTTTGCTACTCGTATCATGGGCAAGTTCCTCACCTTCGTGAACTTTCTTTTCGATACGATGTTCTACATTATACACGTCATCTATGACGTCGTCTTTGACTTGCTTGCCTCCTTTGAATATTGATGAAAGAAATCCGCCTTTGCTTTTTTTTGATGCAGATTTTGGTTCTTCATGTGCGATTTTGTTCTCGCTCTCGATTTTTACCAGATCCGAACCTATGCTTTGTGCGCCATCAAGCACTCTGTCGGTAGCTTGCCGCTCTGCATCTACGAATTCCTGCGAGAGGTCTCTTGCCTGAGTATCACCGACTTCTTTAGATTGACTGAGCATTCTGTCGATATCCGTAGACAATTCATGTATACCTTGCGTAACTTCCTTGGAAACCTTGGCACCGTCATCCTTAACTTTTTGTTCCATATCTAAGATATTCTCTTTGGTTTGATGTGCTTTGGTCTTCACTAAGCTGCCCACATCTTCTAGATCAGCTTTTGCAGATTCAAACGTTTCTTCAATTGTTTCGGCAGTTATTTGGTGTACTTCATCTAGTTTTTTACCTCCGTCTATGGCCTGATCTTTAATTTTCTTACCAGTCTCGCTAATCTTTGCGTCCAGGTTGGCTCCGGAATCCTGAACGCGCTTGGCGGCAGCTTTTGCTTCCTTTTTTAGCCTTTGTTCTTCATTGAGTGATTCAAGTTTGGTCTCGTCAACGAATTCACGCACTTCCTCAACCAAGCCATCTGCCGTAGATTTTGCGTTCGAAATTAACCCAGAGAAAAAGCCCTTCTTTTTCGATCCGGACTTTACATCCCTAGCAGAACTATCTAATTTATGTTCTAGTTTTTTACCTTCATCTTTGCCTACACTCTCAGCACGCGTCAACCCTGTTTTAATTTTTTCTGATTCTTCTCGTAGTTTATCATCAAGTTTTTTGGATGCTTCTTCCAAATTATCTTCGACAGACTTCTGAGCATCCGAAAGTTTAGCACCGATTTTTCCCGCCAGTTCCTTAGTGTCCTGGACCACTTTACTACTCGCATCATGGGCAAGTTCCTCACCTTCGTGAACTTTCTTTTCAATACGATCTTCTACATTTTTCAGGTCATCAACGACATCGTCTTTGACTTGTTTACCTCCTTTAAACATTGATGAAAGGAATCCGCCTTTGCTTTTTTTTGATGCAGATTTTGGTTCTTCATGTGCGATTTTGTTCTCGCTCTCGATTTTTACCAGATCCGAACCTATGCTTTGCGCGCCATCAAGCACTCTGTCGGTAGCTGGCCGCTCTGCATCTACGAATTCTTGCGAGAGGTCTCTTGCCTGAGTGTCACCGACTTCTTTAGATTGACTGAGCATTCTGTCGACATCAGATGACAATTCATTTAAACCTTGCGAAATTTGTTCAGCAACCGTGGCACTGTCATCCTTTACTTTTTGCTCCATATCTAAGATATTCTGTTTGGTTTTATGTGCTTTGGTCTTGATTGAGCTGCCTACATTGCTTAGATCAGCCTTTACAGATTCAGACGTTTGATGAATTTTTTCGGCAGTTATTTGGTGTACTTCATCTAGTTTTTCACTTCTGTCTATGGCCTGATCTTTAATTTTCTTACCAGCCTCGCTAATCTTTGAGTCCAGTTTGCCCGCGGAATCCTGAACCCGCTTGGCTGATGCTTGTGCCTCCTTTTTCAGTCTCTGTTCCTCATTGAGTGATTCAAGTTTGGTCTCGTCAACGAATTCACGCACTTCCTCAACCAAGCCATCTGCCGTAGATTTTGCGTTCGAAATTAACCCAGAGAAAAAGCCCTTTTTTTTCGATCCGGACTTTACATCCTTAGCAGAACTATCTAATTTATGTTCTAGCTTTTTACCTTCATCTTTGCCTACACTCTCAGCACGCGCCAACCCTGTTTTAATTTTTTCTGATTCTTCTCGTAGTTCATCATCAAGTTTTTTGGATGCTTCTTCCAAATTATCTTCGACAGACTTCTGAGCATCCGAAAGTTTAGCACCGATTTTTCCCGCCAGTTCCTTAGTGTCCTCGACTACTTTGCTACTCGCATCATGGGCAAGTTCTTCACCTTCGTGAACGTTCTTTTCGATACGAGCTTCTACTTTTTTCACGTCATCGATGACGTCGTCTTTGACTTGCTTGCCTCCTTTGAATATTGATGAAAGGAATCCGCCTTTGCCTTTTTTGGATGCAGATTTGGCATCTGCATGACCGTTATTGGTGTCGCTCTCAATTTTCACCAGATCCGTGCCTATGCTTTGTGCGCCATCAAGCACTCTGTCGGTAGCTTGCCGCTCTGCATTTACGAATTCCTGCGAGAGGTCTCTTGCCTGAGTATCACCGACTTCTTTAGATTGACTGAGCATTCTGTCGATATCCGTAGACAATTCATGTAAACCTTGCGAAACTTCCTTGGTCACCTTGGCACCGTCATCCTTAACTTTTTGTTCCATATCTAAGATATTCTGTTTAGTTTTATGTGCTTTGGTCTTCACTAAGCTGCCCACATCTTCTAGATCAGCTTTTGCAGATTCAAACGTTTCTTCAATTGTTTCGGCAGTTATTTGGTGTACTTCATCTAGTTTTTTACCTCCGTCTATGGCCTGATCTTTAATTTTCTTACCAGTCTCGCTAATCTTTGCGTTCAATTGGCCAACAGAATCCTGAACCGGCTTGATTGATGTTTGTGCTTCCTTTTTGAGCCTCTTTTCCTCATTGAGTGATTCAAGTTTGGTTTCGTCAACAAATTCACGTACTTCCCCGACCAGACCATCTGCCGTAGATTTTGCGTTAGAAATTAACCCTGAGAAAAAGCCCTTCTTTTTCGATCCCGACTTCACATCCTGAGCAACACTATCCAATTTCTGTTCTAATTTTTCAACCTCCTCTTTGCCTACACTCTCAGCACGCGCTAACCGTGTTTCAATTTTCTCTGATTCTTCTTGGCGCTTATCATCCAGTTTTTTCGATGCATCTTTCAGGTTTTCTTCGACAGATTTCTGAGCTTCCGAAACTTCAGTTCTAATTGTCCCCATCAGTTCCTTAGAATCCGCAATGACTTTGCCACTCACGTCATGGGCAAGTTCCTCACCTTCGTGGACGTTCTTTTCGATACGAGCTTCTACTTTTTTCACGTCATCGATGACGTCGTCTTTGACTTGCTTGCCTCCTTTGAATATTGATGAAAGGAATCCGCCTTTGCCTTTTTTGGATGCAGATTTGGCATCTGCATGACCGTTATTGGTGTCGCTCTCAATTTTCACCAGATCCGTGCCTATGCTTTGTGCGCCATCAAGCACTCTGTCGGTAGCTTGCCGCTCTGCATTTACGAATTCCTGCGAGAGGTCTCTTGCCTGAGTATCACCGACTTCTTTAGATTGACTGAGCATTCTGTCGATATCCGTAGACAATTCATGTAAACCTTGCGTAACTTCCTTGGACATCTTGGCACCGTCATCCTTAACTTTTTGTTCCATATCTAAGATATTCTGTTTAGTTTTATGTGCTTTGGTCTTCACTAAGCTGCCCACATCTTCTAGATCAGCTTTTGCAGATTCAAACGTTTCTTCAATTGTTTCGGCAGTTATTTGGTGTACTTCATCTAGTTTTTTACCTCCGTCTATGGCCTGATCTTTAATTTTCTTACCAGTCTCGCTAATCTTTGCGTCCAGGTTGGCTCCGAAATCATGAACGCGCTTGGCGGAAGCTTTTGCTTCCTTTTTTAGTCTTTGTTCTTCATTGAGTGATTCAAGTTTGGTCTCGTCAACGAATTCACGCACTTCCTCAACCAAGCCATCTGCCGTAGATTTTGCGTTCGAAATTATCCCAGAGAAAAAGCCCTTCTTTTTCGATCCGGACTTTACATCCTTAGCAGAACTATCTAATTTATGTTCTAGTTTTTTACCTTCCTCTTTGCCTACACTCTCAGCACGCGGCAACCCTGTTTTAATTTTTTCTGATTCTTCTCGTAGTTCATCATCAAGTTTTTTGGATGCTTCTTCCAAATTATCTTCGACAGACTTCTGAGCATCCGAAAGTTTAGCACCGATTTTTCCCGCCAGTTCCTTAGTGTCCTGGACCACTTTACTACTCGCATCATGGGCAAGTTCCTCACCTTCGTGAACTTTCTTTTCAATACGATCTTCTACATTTTTCAGGTCATCAACGACATCGTCTTTGACTTGTTTACCTCCTTTAAACATTGATGAAAGGAATCCGCCTTTGCTTTTTTTTGATGCAGATTTTGGTTCTTCATGTGCGATTTTGTTCTCGCTCTCGATTTTTACCAGATCCGAACCTATGCTTTGCGCGCCATCAAGCACTCTGTCGGTAGCTTGCCGCTCTGCATCTACGAATTCTTGCGAGAGGTCTCTTGCCTGAGTGTCACCGACTTCTTTAGATTGACTGAGCATTCTGTCGACATCAGATGACAATTCATTTAAACCTTGCGAAATTTGTTCAGCAACCGTGGCACTGTCATCCTTTACTTTTTGCTCCATATCTAAGATATTCTGTTTGGTTTTATGTGCTTTGGTCTTGATTGAGCTGCCTACATTGCTTAGATCAGCCTTTACAGATTCAGACGTTTGATGAATTTTTTCGGCAGTTATTTGGTGTACTTCATCTAGTTTTTCACTTCTGTCTATGGCCTGATCTTCAATTTTCTTACCAGCCTCGCTAATCTTTGAGTCCAGTTTGCCCGCGGAATCCTGAACCCGCTTGGCTGATGCTTGTGCCTCCTTTTTCAGTCTCTGTTCCTCATTGAGTGATTCAAGTTTCGTCTCGTCAACGAATTCACGTACTTCCTCAACCAGGCCATCTGCCGTAGATTTTGCATTCGATATTAACCCTGAAAAGAAGCCTTTCTTTTTTGATCCGGACTTCGCATCTTGAGCAGCACTGTCTAATTTATGGTCTAGATTTTTACCGTCGTCTTTTCCCACGCTCTCGGCACGCGCCAATCCTGTTTTAATTTTGTCAGATTCTTCTCTTATTTTATTATCGAGTTTTTTCTGCGTGTCGTCGAGTTTTTTTGATGCTTCTTTCAAATTATCTTGGACAGACTTCTGAGCATCCGAAATTCCAGCACCAATTGTTGCCGCCAATTCCTTAGTGTCCTCGATGACTTTTCCACTGGTTGCTTGGGCAACTTGCTCACTTTCGAGGACTTGTTTTTCAATACGATCTTCTACATTTTTCACTTCATCCGTGATGTCGTCTTTGGCTTGCTTGCCTCCCTTGAAAATTGCTGTAAGGAATCCGCCAGTTTTCTCTTTACCTTTTTTAGTAGCTGTTTTAATGCCTTTTGTATCAGGGGAAAGAGATCTAGTCTTTTCAATGGTTTTTTCATCTTCAGGTACATCGTTGTTTTCATGTTGATTAATAATGATACTCGTTTTATATAAATAATCTGATTTGTATGGACATGCGTCTATTATTCCTGATGCATTTCGACTGTCTTCCAAAAATTTGGATGTTGCTTCTTTTATATCTATATCTGATACGCTAGTTAATGTAGATAGATTTTCGGACGGAGCTATTGTTTTGTGTGACGGTTTGCTTTTCTCTTCACTCTTGTCTACGGACGATTCTCTGGAGTCAGATTTTTCGGTGGAAGAACTTGATTTATTACTTTTTAATTTGGGACTTTTGAACTTTTTGAAAAAACTTCCTGATTTTTCAGAATGGGCAGTTTTCGATTTTTGTTGTTCTGTAACTTTTTTCAGTTCCTTCGGTTCACTTACTTCAACTTTTTTTGAATCGTCATCTGAATCTGCGTCAATCAGAGTTATTTTTTGCAATGCAGGGTCATTTGTGTTATCTGTTTTCATTTGAATGTCTTGCAAAAATGTAGCTGTAGATTTTTTAACATCTTCGTCACCACTGTCAAATGATACATCATTGGATGTTTGCTTTTCCTTTGATTTACTTCGTTTGCTTTTGGTTTTCGGGTTCATGAAAATTGCGAATAACCCGTGGCTCTTTTCTTTATTTGTATCGTCACCACAACTATCTATCAACTTTGGAGACTTTTCTTTTGCTTCACGCGAGATAGCAGGATCATTTTCATGCATCAAATCTGCCATTTGTCGTGCATCATCTAAAAGCTTAACAGTTGCTAATCTGGTATCCTCGTCACCACTATCAAACGATACCTCTTTTGAATCTTTCGATTTGTCTTTTTTTAATCTCGGTGTTTTAAAGATTCCAGAAAATATACGACTAGACTTGTCTTTCAATTTTTTACTTTCATTTTCTGGCTCATCTTGGGTCTCTTGATCTGAATTTTGTACATTATGTTTATTATCATACCCAAGTGATGCTTCCAAATTATCTTTGACACTATCAGTTAACGGTTCAGGACTATCGGTCTTTTTCTTTACAGTTTCAATTTCTACGGAGTTAGTTGTTTTAGCTACACTAATTTTGTCCATAGACTTTTCTTGCGGGTCTCTCTTTTCTTTACTTTTACTCGATTTGTTGGTTACAATATTTTCATGTTGCATCGGTTTCAGTATTGATTTGTCATTAGGATGACTACTAGAATGAATACCTAAAACTTTAGGGTCAGGTCCTGCAAAATCTGGAATGTCATAATCTACCTTATTATTATTAAGCGTTTGTCTACCGTCATTCCTGTTAGTTGTGATAATAGTTTTGGTCGTGATCGTTGTAATTGTCCTATCACCATTTGTCCCTACAATGCATTGTTGCTGTATAATCGGAGGTTCGCTTGCCTCACTCGTACCATCTACTAAAGAATGTTTCTGTTGCTTTACTACATATCCCACCTCATCATTTTTTCGCACATCGTCATCAGAAACCACCGACCACCCTTCCTTCGCTAACTTGCCCATCTCTTTCTCGGCGTCTTGCTTTATACCTGTTAATTAAGTATTGCATATTTTAGGTAACTAAAAAATAGTTTTCATAGAAAAATATCGTTATGATCATATTGTTTATTCTGTTTTGATCATTAGTTAAAGCTGCTTGGCTTTTTCTTGCTCATTGATAAAATGATAACGGCTGTTAGACTTCCATATGGCTTGTGCGAAGTGAACGTGCTGTGGAGCAGCCACCATCGTATTAAACTTTAATTGATAAAATTTTCTTTTTCGCGGATTGCCAATCATCGTCTATTTAATTTTTGAAACTTCAATTGGAACGTTAATCTTTGTTGAAACCAATTTTGAAGCTTCTTTCAAAAGAAATCAAAAGGAGCTGTGAGATATTCTTTTATGTGAATTCACCAAAAGAATACGACATTGTCACAGAAAGTTAACTTATTCAACACTCGTAAGTTATGCAAACAACAAAGAAAACAATAAGTATCTCAGATTAATAATTAATAAAACAAAAAAAATTAATTCCAATTAGTATGAGAACTTTTTTTAGTAATATTAATGTTGTATGCTCCATTTTTGTAATAGTAAAGTAAGTATCAATTCAAACTTTACTATTATTAGTATATATTGCTTAAAATCGACAGCGGCTCCGTGCGCCCACACGATAGGCTGTACATGCAACGCTAAATATAATTTTGCAGAGCGCAATCGCTGAAAAGTAATTGTTGTAGAAAAGACAGAACAAAGAATAGAGCTCGATCAGCAGGTCAGTATAAAACGAAAATAATGTCTACGAAAATCAAATTATCAAATTGTTAACAAGGCTTCATAGTTTTTAATAAGCAAGCCGTAGAATTTTTTTGGTAATATCAGCACCGGCCTCGGGAAACCTGTTTTTAAATGGGAATTGTTTTATTATAACAGTAGATATAAAAATTAATTATTAGTTTTATTAAATAAAAAGTCTGGTTTGGCAAAAGAAAATAATAAAATGTGATTTATGCATTAAACAAGCGCAAATACAATTAATGTGAGTATACCATCGAAAAGTAAAAAAGTGTATCGTTTATTTACAGATTTCACGTAATTCCATGGTTTGTGTAAATTTACTTTTCGATGTCGTTAGAATAGTCTTTTTTTTAATTTGCATCAACTGAAGCACAGCCCCTCAACCCATCATTACTTCTTAATAACATGTTTGACTAATGAGACTTACCGGAAACGATTTTGTTAGCATCCTCCAAGATTTGCTGTCGTTTCTTATTATCATCGTCATTTTCATCGCGAGACTTTTTCACCATTGTCTCGGGACTATGATATTTGTGCTCGAGAAAATCGGCCATCATATCACCGAGCTCTTTTTCGTCGCTCGCATATTTATCTTTGATGGGAGTCGAGGTGCCATTCGTTATAGTTATGTGCTGTTTGGCTGTTAAGTGCAAAATAGAAAGAAAAACATGAGCAACATACAGTGAATGAGACGACAGAAAGGAAATAAGAGTTGTCGTTCCGCGCTAAAAATTGCTGCCTTGCTTTGCACAAAGTCAGCGAAAATAATTCAAAAATGCCTAAATGGCGGAGGAAAAAGAAAAGAGCGCTCGATTAAAAAACTAGAACAGAAAGAGTAGATAAGGAACAAAAAGAGACTGACCACAGTCGAGATTTCAAAAAAATTAATTGATCGACGTGTAAGCATTATGTCACGAGCTACGGATGAGTCATATCAAAAGTGATCTAAGCTTTCAAAGAAAAGTAGGAGAAAAAATGTGTAGTGCTCGTATAGTAATATGGTAGCGTTTGATAACACATTCACGACATCATTTATTGCGCAGGACAGTAGCAATGCTGTGAATCACGTATAAAAATACTGTAATAAACCGGAAGAGCCATAACAGCCGAATAGTTTTGTCAAAATCAAAAATATATACATTCAAAAAAGATTCATTACTCAGTTCCCAGAAGTGTCACTAACGATATTGATAGATAGAGATATAAAATAAAAAAGTATAATTTTCAAATTTTACCAATAACTACTTACGTGTTTTTTGACCTCCGGTCATGCTAATATCTTCTATAGATTCAGAGTCCTGCATCAAAAGAAATTAAGTCTGTTTAACCCAACGATAGAACGATCATGGCGATACATTATGCATATGACCCTTTAATAGCCATAAATCAACTATATTAAAATTAAGTTTAATTGGCAAACTACTTCGATTATCAGCGATATAAATGTCAGCTCGCATTCAATTAGCATACGTTCGGTATGCAATTATCGCGACGTTCTGCGCAGCTCCACTAAAAAGAAACGCTCGTGATATAATGGCTACTAAAGGATCAAGAAAAATATCTGTCAATTGGAGAAGCACATTCCATTCGAGATCGCAGATATCTCGTCGACGATATCAATTGCACGCGATAAACGAAGCGTCCACTCGAGCCAAAAGTTGTTTGCTAGGCAAGAAGGAAGGAAAAAAATTCCGCGCGCGCGAACACAGCAGCGGACCCACCTTCATTCTGTCGGGCTCGTCGTAGTCGGGATCCATTTTGGGATCCATCGTTGCATCTCGGCGAAGAGACGTGTCGCGCGATGGACCCAATTCGTCCTTCAACGAGTCGAAGCCTGGCTGATCGAGCCTCACCCGAGCGACGGCTTTTTCAACGTCGTCGGTGACGAGCTCCACGTTGAATATGCACTTCTTCACTATATCCTCGCGGCCGATCTTATTCAGTGCCTTTTCGAGTGTGTTGCCTGAAGTATAAAAAAATCATATTTTTCTTACATTCCTTTCCTCACTCGCACGCAAGACGGAAAAATAACAATAGCACGCTAATTGTCGCAATCAGCGATACGAGCATTGTGCAACGATGTTATTCGAGCGTATATTGAACCTTCTCGTCGCGACTGCTGCTGCTGCTGCTCCCGAGCGACTCTGTCTTGCAATGCCGGCGTACGCTTAAACAGCAGCATCAATTCGCTTCGGTACTGCTGCGGTTGGCGCTCATACTCCTGGTAAAGGGATATGAACATTGTGGGGGAGAAGTTACTTAATTGACGACGCGAGCGAGATGCGAAATTCTTTCGCTAAAAAGGCACGACGCAGTGCGCGCAAGTCGCCTGCGAGGACTGAGGCGGCGATTGTTGTTGATTGCAGTCGGCCGGTCGGTCGGTCGCTGCGGCGGAATGGAACGCGAAGCGAGATAGTACACAAAAGAGGTGGGGATCCTCGTGAACGCGACCGAGAGAGAGAGAGAGAGAGAGAGAGAGGGAGAGAGAGAGAGAGAGAGAGAGAGAGGGGCATCCATGGGTTCTATGTCAAGCATAATAATGAGTGATGACATCAACGAACTACGTTTCTGCACAGATTCCACGAGGCTGACTCAATGGCTTTTATACGCGTGTTTACCTCACCTTCGCGCGAACCAGTCGCTTTTTATCTCTCACTTTGCCGGCCTTGACTGACAGGTGCTGCGAAATTGAATGACGAGGTGCGAGGTTGAAACTTACCGGTGACTTTGTTGCCACTGCTCTGCCAGACTTTGAACATCGCCGTTGCTTGCTGAGCCGTTTTGTCCGGGTACTCCTCTTTGATCTGCGAGATCTCGTTGGGCGTTACGTTCAACTCATGAGCCAATTTCTCCCAGTCGCTGCCCAGCAGATTGGCGATGTCCGTCATACGAATCGTCGCGCGATGTATCGCGTCTGGCCTGCCTGCATTTTCATTTCATTTTGACATTTCACTTGGATTTGCTTTTAACACCGGATTCACTGGTCGAGGTATGCTATGTTTATCGAGCCTCACAACTCATTCTTATACCTAACGACATTAATTTCCGAAAGACTAATGCATTTATCTCTACAAAAACATTAGTGTTCCACGATAAGAGAAAGCTGGAAGTGATAAAACGTTCATCCATATTTGCTTCTTGCTGTAGCTAGACCAGATCAAAAAATTAAAAAAAACCTCTATTTTTTATTTAAAGAATACGCTTGTTACAAAAATAACAATTATTAATAACCAACAACTATCGACTTCTATGTGGCATTCTACTTATATTTACTGCCATCGAAAGATCACGTTTTTAACAATACTTTTTTCACAGTAGAAACATTTTACACGTTCGAAAAAAAAGCAAAATTCAAGCCGCTCCCAACGATCAACACCAATATTTCAATTATTTGAACAAGAAATCATTGCGTAACTCTATATATACTGAGTTAGTCATCTGTGTGAAAAAATTCAGCGGAAATGCAATTTAAAAAAGTTGCGCTTGACCATTCCGTTGTATAACTTCGAAGGAAGGAAACTAAAAATGACCGTAATTATGCGTGAAGTTTTCAACGCGTCGTTCCTCGAATTTATTGGCTTGTACGATCGATAATGTGAACGCGTCAAAACAGTGGAATCCATTCGAGTTTTCATCGAACAGCAAATTTCTCGTCGGGCACGATCTATATTTATTCATGGAAAAATTATCTTGTTTGCTCGCCATAAAATGTAACGAGGAGCACCTTCGTGATTCAAGTAATTAAACCGAAAAATCGGAAAAGGCGAGCATAGCAACCGTCATCGGTTACGCAAGAACCACAATTAAAGCAAATATGTGACTTACTTAATCCACCGTCCCGTAAGAAGCTGTAATTCTTTGAGAGCTCGAGTAAATCGAGTTCCGAGCTACCACCGTCGGGCGAAATTTTATCGGGTAGAAGTATGTTCAACGTGCAAATGGGTGTCTGCGAAGGTTCGCCTTTGGCTACTTTGGGCTCGCACATGAACATGATACGACCCAAATTGTCAGCCGCGTCTGGATCCTTCACCCTGACCGTAAATGGTACGCGATTCTCCTTGAACGCGCGGAAAGGTAACTGCAGTTGTTCGCCGCTCTTCAGTACTGGCACCAGATTGCCAGCAAACTCCATGTATTGCGTTTTACCTTCGAGTACCTAAAGCAATGCGACATTGCGATGTTAGTGCTGAACGTTCGGTAGTAAAGGATTCAAATGTAAGATAAAGCGTACGTACCTCGACGTCGCGGCTCTTGGCGACCTCGGTGAAGTGTTCCTGATGCTCCAAGGTCTTGTCTTCCTTGTCGTCAGTCATGCAGAAGACGCGCAATCGCGCCTCGAGGGGATCGACGCGCTTGGCGAACACAACGAATCTACAAGTGAATTTATTGAGCGTGAGTCAGCGTCACTTTTATACACTCGCGTACTTCTCAATTAACAATATGCACGTGAATTCGTCCACTTGAAACAGAATCCGTGACATTCCGATGCACCGATTACTTATTAATCAGATGCGAGCAAGTTATTTATAAAGAGGTTTGCATGTTTACATTGAAAGACTGTTTCTTTTGCATGCAAAGAATTATTTGCATTCATTAGGAATTCTCGATACAGACACTTGGCCCCTCTAATGACGTTTCAGTTATAAATAATTCACTTTGTAACAGCATTAGCATACACGCGGTAATGTTCATTTTGAAATCCCGAAGAATTAATACGACTTCTTTGACCGGTAAGCATGTGTAATATGACGTTTCAACGCTGAAATTGTCCTCAAAAGAGTTACTCGATCGTAAAGAACAATCAAAGTTACTAATTTTTGCTTTATTACACATACAATCAAGTGAAAAATAAAAATTGCCGTATACGTACTTGGCCATGAAAGGTACATGAGTGGCATGGGTATAGAGTTCGGTAGCCATTTTGGTAGCTTCGGAGATGTTTCTGCAATCCATGAGCCAAAATCTTGCGGATACAGTCGTGGTAAACGAGACGCAATCCTTGACGAAGTTCAAGGGCGTGGAGCCGGTGACATCCTCCCAGACCGCCCGCGACTGACCCCCTGAACGACATACACGCCAGGTACGACAACATTATTAGAATATGCGAGTGCTGCTGCGAGTCGCGTGTCACGATGGGGAAACAGACGGAGATGACATGATGATAATGGCATTGGACTGATAATGCTTGCGAGAGGCAATACGTGATTTGAAAACATTTTCAATACAGATGAAAGCGGCGAGACGCTGTAGTGTATTGATAATTGAAATATAATAAATATGCGTGTGAAGCGTGTATGTTGCGTTATGCACTTTATCTTGGTTGAAGCTGCGCTCGACCGGTGGAGGCAATACGGAAGGAAATAGATAGGCATTCGACGTTCCGTTAGCCAATTCGTTCGCCTCTTCAGAATTTTTATTATTTTTATTTCGAAAAAACAGAATGAAACGGAATGAAAAACAAGTGTGACAAACAACTAGAACGCATCAACGCGAATCAAGAAAACAATTTACAAAATAAGAGCCCGGAAATGCGGTGGTCAGAACAAATGCATGTAGTCAATTGATGTTATGCATTTTGTCATATTGTTATTGTATATTCATTTGCTTCTAATTCACTACGTCTGGAGAATCATTAAAGTTTCTAAAGCTGATGGAAATCGATTCTCTCTTTTGTTTTTCTAGATGAAAAGCACTGAAAAAAACTCTAGCGGTCTAATAATCGAACGATGATAATTGAATGGCGGTGCCAAATGAAGAGAAATATATGCGATACCATATTGAGATTGAAAAAAAAACAAGTGGGGTGATAAAGAAAAAACAATTTCGTAAAAAGTCTACGGTTAAGTAATGATCCATACCTAAATGACTCAATCCTAAACAATATGCAAGCATTAACAATGAATCATAACAAGATATATATGTATAACAACAATGATAATCAAGAGATGTCTTTAATAAGACTAGTCATAGATTCTTTTTTCTTTTCGTGTTTCCTTTAGTCAAACCTTCGCTAACGTCTCCCTTGGATGTATCTTAAAGGGAGTTTTTGTTTAGTTCAGCAAAAAGGCTATTCTTCATCGATCTAATCCGTCTGTTACGCGCAAGCATATATTACCTGTTATGCTGCAGAGGAGCCTTAGAGTCGGTGCATCGCCCGAGTACTGATTGATCATGCCCTTGTTGGCCGCTTGCGGCACTGGTATTGTCAAGATTATTGGCTTGTGGAATTTTCGACGTCGTGGCTCGACTGTCACTATTGGTGACACCGCTACTCTGTTGCCGAGTAGTTTGGCTACAAGCTCCGCTGGAATCGGATGCGCCTAAAAGATTACAAATTATTTAGTTGGTACGTTTTCAAAGTAGCGCCGGCGATCGCGCTTAAAATAAATCCTCATATTAATGTCTAATGCGCTATTAAGACTTTTGGCAGGCTGCCCTTCCATCGAATCCAATCAAGTTCACATTCGTCGTCGTTTCCTTCGAAGGATAACATTGAAAAGCAATATATCAAATAACTCGAGTATGAAAAGGCACGCAACCTATTTGGACATTCAATCCGCGTAACTCGCAACAGTTCGGAACTTAAGGCGGCATGAAACTATTAAAGTTAAGATATACACGCAGGATAAACTAGGAATATCTCGTGACTCGTGCTGCATCTTCGTTGAAAGAGTTCTGCTGAGTGACTGTTCTGTTACCTGTAAGCCGACACGTATTTTCTTGGTGAGGGCGGATTGCGGGAAGATAGCTTGAACTTGTGGCACTGCCGATGAGGAAACGGTGCCGCCTTCGGGCCCGACTGCGTGCACTTCCTGCCGGATGCGTGACACAACCGCGAAGTAATGCGGAAAGTCGACTGTCAATACCCTTACGATACGCGATGTCTGGAGATCCTCTAGCTGGCTTAATTCTGTGGACAGATACGCCAAGTTAGACAAAGCCGCAAACGTCGAAAGCGAAAATACCGACCCTCTCCTTCAAAGCTCTCGTTAAGAACATCCTGTACGGCCTCCTCGCTGGCTTCCAGGGTGTGCTCGCGCCAAGTTTCTCCATTGTCCGATCGCAAAATCACGATCTCCCTCTCTTTTCCACGCAGCGAGGCGAAGTGCGGCACCTCAATTATAACAGGTCTGCAATAAAACAAGTAAATTAACATTGGAGTCGAGTGAGCAATCTTTTTATTATTTTCGAATGACGATGACTTAATGCACTTTATCGAGGAGAACCAAGCAGAGAAATAAGGAGGTACGATTCCAAAAATAGAACGAGGAAGGAAGAAAAAGATATTTTATGGGCCTCCGAAAATAAAAACGATCGTATATTTTTAATATCTGCGGCTCGACACGAATTCACAAGGATGTTTTGTGCAAGCCACTGTAAGAATTAAGCGTCTATTGTGATGTCATGCTGACATCAATTTTAATACGGTGTAAGCGGTGCGCAACCGACGCCATTTTCTTGGTTTGCATGAAACCGCGCAAACATTGGTTTTTTTCCGACGATTGTTCTTGCTCTTAATTTTTTTCTTCGCTGGCAAAACATATATGTTTACCGAGAGATCGATGCGATCTATCCGTTTATATGTTTAATTGTCTGACGAACGACGCGTTATAATGATTTTCTAAGGCGATTCAGTGAGACCTCACTTGATTTTATTTAAACGAGAGAGCAAACTTAGTCTATTATATACGGAATAGACAATCTACAGTCCAAGTATAATTAATTTAACGAGAGCTATAATTGCGACGAAATGATTCAATGGCTTTCGACATTGAAGCAAACAATGGTTTTTTGCTCTAATGGAGTAGAATGATGCGATATTCACGAGCTTAAATTAGAATTGGGAAGGCGAGAGATCGATGAGACTTTTATTACTAACATCCAGTGAATAAAAGATTCGATCTTCGGCGTGAAAACGCCGTAAATCGTACGAGAGTCGTATCGTATGAGGCGCTTATAACAGCTGGAAGTGTTTGTGCGACTCACCCCAAAAACTTGGCACCAACAGGCCCAAGTTCCAAGATGCGGCTGGCCAAAGCCTCGCCTTCCATGAGCGGTGGTGGATTCGATAATTTGTCTCTCTTGAGATACCTGCACGTGACTCTCATAGGCATCGTAGCTTTGCGCGGCGGCACGATAACCCTGACGCCGCTATGTCGGCAGCCTCTCATCGCGCCGCCTCTTGCGTCCACCAGGAACGACACCAGGAAGCTGCGTGATCGGGGAAAAACAGTCGAATCGTTAGACATGCTTGCGAGTTGATCGACACCGTTGAAATGGTGTTCAATCGTCGTAGAGAAAATTTATTCTTTTTTAAAGCGTGTGCTTTAGCTAATGTATATGTATATATCAGTTGCTCAATGATATCATATATGGTGCAGTTTTTGTCGTATATATATGTTTGGTAATACGTGTTTACATAATAATATTATATTTATATGTGATATATATACAGGTGGGATATACGGTTACTCAAGACTTTTGTAAGAGGCAACTTTACAGGTAAATCATGTCATGTAAGAGCAGTTTTTTACGCTAGATTTAATTACTTCACTTGTTTTGACCTTTCAGATCATAAAATTTTCAGATTCAGATACATCTCAGGTGTATTGCGATTGATTGACAGGGTGAACGTGAAATAAATATGAAAACAGTTATTGCTGTCAATTATTCAATAAGCTGAGTGAGGAAATTTGTGAAATGCCTGTCGGAAAGTTTTGTTAAAGTTTTTCAGTAAGCAGCGAACAAAAATGACGTTTATTATTTGCATAAACGATGGAAGTGACAATAAAAGCTATTGAAAACTTCATGTTCTGATAGGTCGGATCTATTATACTCAATAATGGGCAACTCCGACGTATTTGTATTTACAAAACCTATACTATGTGTATATTGTGTAATTATCGAAAAAATAAGGATGTATATAATTGTTTTAGAGCTCCAGCAATGATGCTTCTGGTAATCGCAAGTTATGCGATGGAAATATCATTCCTCTGTACTTCCAGATCATCAATCATTCATTCGTTGAAAGACAGTCTTAAAATTAGCATGATATATTATATAATACATGGTATTTGTATGCTTCATTTCGCGCAATTTGAAAATCGAAGGAGCTTTGTTTATTCTAATAAAAAACATGTCGAATTCGAGATTATACATCACATAAATAATTCAAGGTAACGTCTTGAGCTGCATTTTTAGGCAGCTCAGCCATTGTTATATTTATACAGCATGACGTGAAATTCGTGAGAGAAATCGTGATCGTGACAACCATGATGCTTGCGCCAATGCCAATGATTTGATGATATGAGATGACATGAGAACACTGAGAGCAACATATACGCAGATGTGAGAAAAGAAGCAACTGAAATGGCTGTGCTCTTGTGGCTGGCGAATGTTTGCTTGTTCTCAATTATTGTGCCCCGCCGGGTGTCCGTGTGCGCGTGTGGCTGACGTCAGCGACTTTTCCCGCCTCTGCGAGCAGCAAAATCAGTCTATCATGTGTGACGCGATATTTTGGCAAGAAAACATAACTAAAGAATCGTGGCAATAATACCGAGGGTAATGCTGGTCGTTAAACTAAAAACGGATACCCGGGCGAAAGCACATTCTCCGCATAACGCTCGTCGCCGACGGGCGCAGCCTCTTTTCTGCGCGCGTGTGTAAAAGAGAAAAAGAGTGAGAGCAAGAGAGAGAGAGAGAGAGAGAGAGAGAAAGAAAGAGAGAGAGAGAGAGCTTTTGCTACATAGGCACTAAATATAACCTTCAATGGCATTGCACTAAATCTCAACAATCTACACCAATAACATGATTCTACCGTAAGCAGCAAATTTAGATGTTACGCAGCTGATTCCCGCTCACGACGATGATTTGTGTGCTAACGCGCAACAGCGGGAATCGACTGCATAAATTTCGCTGACTGACCTTGTCCATGGTTTATACAAATGCGAAGCCGGTGATACGATTACAGAAAGGATAGATACATTACAAGAAGGGCATACATGGATGTAAATCAGCATCTAACGTGTTTCTTTTTCTTAGTTTTACTGTGTGTTCCTGTGTGTATGAGTGTCAGATTAAATAGAAAGGAGAGAAAGAGAGAGAGAGAGAGAGAATCGTCTAAAAAATGAAAATAAGCGCAAAAAAATATGTTTTCTTGAAACATTCGTTGAAAGCAAAACAGTGTAAAACAACTAAATGTAGATTTTTTGGCAAAAGAAAAAGTCAAAAGCTAAACTTGTTGAAGAAGAGAGCTTCACTTACTTTCTCCATGATGGGATTCGGCTAGTAGCGCAAATAAAATAACGAAAGGATCGGGAACAAAATAAAACACAGCCATTAGTACATACGCTTATAAAACATTCAAGTAATGAGATGATGAATGATGAGATTTTTTTTCTTTTATTCGGTATTATGTCTCTCTTTTTTTACGTTCTTTCCGCGAATAGCTTTCATTGTTGAAATGAAAATCGCTACAGTCAAGCGCATTTTCTTTATTTTAGTTTCTTGTCGTAGATCATTCATTGTCGTAATAACTTTGAAGTCTCGGGCGGCTTAATAATAATTATGTATTATAGTATATCGGCCGGAGACTTGTACACCTTGTTCACTCTCACAACAGATTGGACGTAATAAGTTGACGATAACCGCAGGTAAAGCACTGCGAAAGTATGATTCGTCGACTTGATTAGAGTCCTTGCAACTTAGAAACAACTAAAAAAAATAATAATCTAACGATGAGTAATGTTGATAGACAACGGTGAGCTAGAAGCAGATGTAATATGACGACGACTTTATACGAGGGAATCGGGTAAAACAATACTTGAAGGAAATTTAACGAGAGAGACAGTGAGAATATTGAACCAGACAAGATTCACACTCAATTGTACACAAATCTCGCTCTAATTTTACCTGCTAGTTATAGCCAACTCGCCGACTATTCTTCCAAATCGAACGATAAACAACATTTATGGCAGTATAACACACTGAACCCACGTAAAAGATTAACACTGAACACACTAAAAAACAGTGGAAATATAGTAAGAGGATCTCATTTGTTTTTGTACAAAAATGTCAACGTAGATCAATTTTTAACACAAAATAATAAATTAGAATTCAATAGTCAGCGTAAGCATAGTTTATAATATATTTAAAAAAATAAGTATAACAGTTAGATCACTTTTGAATTAATATTTCGTTATTCGTTAAAGTAAAAAAATAACAATAACCCTGGTTTAATTGAATACTATCAGAATATTAATTAAAAGTAATTTTGTAAAAAAAGGAAGAGAGAGAGAGAGAGAGAGAGAGAGAGAGAGAGAGAGAGATGAGAGATTGGAAAAAAAGAATATATAAAACGGATAATAAGGTGTACCTGTCCCTCCACATTCCTTGTCCTTTTGGCACGTTACCGAAGGCAGCCAGCGACGTGTTTAGGGATTCTATCGAGGCACTAATTTCAGAACAGAACACCTGCGTGTGATTATCAATGGCATCTAAACCGTACTCATGCACTCTTTTTTTGACAAAATAAACACTTCTTGTCGAACAACCTCGTGCAGAACGACTCTTTTTTTGCTTGGATCATGTTATTATTTTTTTTATATCTCTTTGAGGGTTATTTTTGTTTCATACAAAAAAAAATCAACTATGTATGAGTGAGCATTCAAACTCAACTATGTGCTACTAAAAAACAATGGTGGTGAGACAAAGATATTGATTTATATGTAGGTGAAATTATGTCGATGAGGCCAAACACAATAATTCTACCCGATGGTGCGAATGAGGAGTATATAAAAATAAGACTTTATTTTGATTTTCAAGGGACTTCCGGTACTACTATGCCGAATACGTGTTAGGTGCTCGTTATGTGGATCAGATAGCAGCACCAGAAGGTGAAAGTTAAGACCTCTGTTAAGGTCGATACTGACGTATACATCATTCGTCATTTGCATCAGCTAATTGTGTTTCTCCCGGTACATATTTTTCGTATTAAAACGAATAGCTATAAAGTTTGTAAGGCAAAGGTAGAAACAGAAAGAGAGAGAGAGAGAGATAGAGAGAGAGAAAGAGAGAAAGATTACCATGCTAAAACAGAAAGGAATCACTCGATATAATCTCAAAAAAATTTCTACAAGATTACTATACATATATAAATTTAAGTTTGTTTAGTCGTTGAGGTACTCTACAAAAGTTTCAACTTATGAAAGATATCATATACTCGAAGTATACGTTATACGTGCGTTAGGACTACGCTTTGTGAGAACTACTTTTTTCTGGACAAATGTTAGATGGTTTAGCAAGCAATCTTTCACCAATATACACCAACGCCATACGTACTATAATACATAACATTATTGTTTTAATTGAAGCCAATTAATCAATTATTTACAATTAGGTAGAAACTCGTTGTTATAATTATTATTACTTATTATGCGCTTGGTACACTTTATGTATCGAATTCTTTATTAGCTTGATACTTCGGTAATTTAGGTGTTTGATGTCAAATTCGAAGTCAAGACTTCTCATTATAAAAAGTTACTGATGTATGCATGAAAAAATTATTGTGGCACTCACAAAAATTAGTTTTTCTTCTATCTACGCTGAGAAAAAACAAAGTAAAGTAAAGCATGACATGTAACAAGTTTAATATTTGCTTTACAAGTTAATCAATTTAACCTCGTATCTCAAGTTTGTCATTCTCAAAACGTTGAAAATATTATTCAAGTTTGTGATTATACTTGTATCGAATTATATGAATCGAACGAGAATTAATTATTTTTTCAAGCATTATACAACAGTTAATTCGGCGCTTTGAAAAGTTTAAAAAAACATTTGCAGCTGGCTCATTGCATGCCAACTGCAATTTGATCGTGAATTAAAATCCCAGCTAGATTCTACACGGCATAATAAAGATCTCGTCGTATGATAAATCGTCAAGGTAACATACCCAACGTGCACTGGATGTCTGTGAATGTTAACGTTGTCGGGCTTGTGATTCGCCGCGTTTTGCCGATTATAGCTCTCTTTGGTTATCATTTCGGTGATTGTCGGTGCTGCAACATGAATTATTTGCAATAAAATCTAACGAACGATAGGGATGTGTAGGCAATTGGATTAGGTGGGGAGAAAAGAATTTCTGAAATTCATGAAAATCATAGAAAGATTGTTGCTGTATATCGCCGCATTTTTAACGACGAGTCTTACCTCCCGAATGTCGATTATCACGCTCGTCGTCTGTAACATTGACTCTCATCGAGTCATCTCCCATGGATTTCATGTCGTCTCCAGTCATGTATCTGTACTGCTGCTGATCGCTGAGCATTGGATCTTCGCCTGCGAATGCAGAAAAATTCATGTTAACGATGTTTACTTTTCACGCTATGCACGTACTCGTTTCTTTGATTGATGCTTGTTTGAGTTAAATATACTTCTATTCGTGGATTGCTGTCTTAGCATAATGGAGGAACCTTTTTACTTCATCCTTTTAAATGACTTTCAAATAAATTTGTCGTATCGCATTAAGAAAAGTAGACACGAGAATCTTCATTCAAGAGTCTCGGCAGCATTTTATCAAGATCTTATCAAATGCGATAACAGTAAAAGACGTTTTAAAAATTATCATCGATCTTTCCATAAGAAAACTAAATCGGAGCTAATCGCTGCGAAAACAAAGTTACATCAGTCCGCGGAGTCGCATGGCAATCGGTTGTATCAAAAAAATGTGCAATTATAGTCGAGTCAACTGCACAAGTCTCAACATCAAAGACAAGTTGAAAAAGATTCCACCGCGTAAACATCTATTGCTCGAAGTCAGCGAAATAATATATCTGGCGATGAGCGTACTTACAAAAGAAGCAAGAGTGAAAAACAAATGACCATCTATCTAGCAAGTAAGAATAATGGACGTGAGCGGCGTGACGATGAAGATGATTGAACAAAGAATACAGTGGTGCGAGCAGAAATCCGTTTATTCGGTGTCTGTGCACATGTAAACAATCATTCAGCCGCGACAACGATAAAAACACTTTGTACAGCAGAAAGCGCAGCAGTATAGTAGCAGTAGCAGTAGCAGCGGCGGCGGCGGCGGCGGCGGTGGCGTCGGTGGCGTCGGTGGCAGCAGGTGCCGAGGAGAACGCACGGAGTCGACTGCGCTCGCAATAATCTGCCGAGAGCGAGCGACCGAGTCGACCGAGCGAGAGAGCGGCTATTTTCGGGATGGGTTTGATAAGACGCTTGACCGTTTGGCGTTTCGGACGATTGTCCAATTGACTCCCTTCTCGCCCACGCTGCGATTCTAGAGCGGCTACGTGATGGATTTCGCGCCGGGTTGCATTATACGCCTTGGGCGAGGCCTCGCGGTCATTCGATTCATCTACCACCGACCTTTATTGAGCCACGGCTTCCGTTTTTTTCTTTGTTATTAATGCTCGATGCGGGACGGCGAATAGCTATTAATACACTTTGGTCAAGTAACGCAACGCTCTTATCGTGTTATGCAAAACTATGTTAAAGGCGATAGTGCCAATTATGCGGAAAAAGCTAACAATCTTTGATGAGTTAACTAAGCAAATATATCTCGAAGAAAAAAAAAACAGCGACTAATCGTTATCCGTTGACCTTCGCTGCGAAAGAGAGAGAGAGAGAGAGAGAGAGAGAGAGAGAGAGAGAGAGAGAGAGAGAGAGAGGAGTGTGTTCGCGATTTCTGAAAATGACGCACTTTCTCGCGTCTATTAAAATTCGTTAAATTCGGAGCGTATACATTTCGATCGATGTAGCCATGACCTTCGCGCGTTTACCTGTTTCCTCCGCGCGCAAGCCTATAAAAAAAGAAGAGAGTAAGACGGAAATAAATTTAACAGCGGTGTGTGTATTGATGAAAACGGGCGGGACGGGCAAAAAAGAAATCTCGGTCGATAGTCGCCGTCCTGTAGTATTGACATCCGGTAACGATTATTTTTACCGCGGCCTTTTTGTTTTTTTTAGTTTCTTTGGTTTACCCCGACACTTGTCTATTTCGCACGGGTTTTGAATTTGTTATCTCGCTCATGGACAATACAAGCCGATAAGGCGTTACCGATGCTGAGTGAAAAAGAGAAGCCGTCCTTCTGATTTTTCGGTGGGAGCGCGAGGCGCGCGCGCGCGCGTCAACGAAACGCAGTCAACGAAACGGGCGTTGTTGTTCCACAGAGTCGACCTATATTAGCTTCGCGAGGCGATTAATCGGATCGCCGCGCGTCACCGCTCGAAAATAGTTCACGGAGCGCGACGCGCGAAAATCGCGCTTCTTTGCCCGCGACCCACTTGTCCGCCCGATCGGCGATTCCCCGTGGGCTTATCGCGCCATTTCGCGAGCTTTCGCGGTGCAAGCGCGAAAACGCCCGATCGAAATGAACCCAAGGCAGAAGCTGGACGTCCAAGCGAGTGCAGCGTTACAAGCAGTTGGCTCTTCTCTCGCTGCAAGCTCCGTGCTTTACTCATGATATCGCTGTTCCTGTTGCGCGTGGTGCACCCGCAGCAGGCGACCCCCTCGTTCCCCTTCTTGGGCTTCTTCTTCTTGCGCATCTTCACGGCTTGCGCTTGCTCCTGAGCGCTCGCGGCCCTTGTGCCGTTTCTCGTCGGCATCGTCGCGACGTTCGAGATGCGCCTTGCAGGCGGATCGATCGTCCGTCCGCGGAATCACGCGCGCACACACACGCACACCTGTCGCTGCTCTCCTCAGAAGCGACACTCGCGCATCGAAACTACTCGCTCCTCTGACACCTCGTCGTCGTCGTCGTCGTCGTCGTCGTCGTCGTCGTCGTCGCGTGCGCTTGCTGCGGGTGACGGAACATCGGTTTAATATCGCGCGATCGGCGCGGCGTTCGTCGTCAAACTGCTGGCGCAAGCGCGGCGCGTCACCGGTTTTATAATAGAAGCGCACGGGCGAGCTTGCGGGGACGCTCGGCTTCTTTCCTCGTTATCGCGGAGCCGCGATCTTTTCCTTGGCGCGCGGCCAGCCGAAGATTCGCGCGCGTGCTCGCGGCGCGGCGCTCCAACTTCCTATGGGTTTGGTGGCGAGCGGCCGAGCGAACTCGCGCTACAGCGCGCGCGCCTCATTGCGTAACTAGAGTGGAATAGAAGAGGGGAGGGCCAGCGGCGAAGTTGCTGCTCACGTGTGCCACCACCGACACGACCGATCGTCGTCCGCCGACGCTGGTCGACAACGAGCCCGCGACTTCGCTTTCGCGATCGCGGCGGTGTTCCGCGTGCTTCGACCAGCCCCTCGATCATCGCGATCCCTCGCTCGTCCGGTCGACTCCTCTCGCGGCCGCTCGAGAGCTACCGCCCGGTGTCGATCGCGAGGCAGTCCGACGAGGTGAGAGAGAGAGAGAGAGAGAGAGAGAGAGAGAGAGACGACGACGACGCGGGTTTTTCGGGCGCGACATTCCGGAAAAGAGCCAAGGCCGGCGAACCTCCTACTCGCGTACTCGCGACGTCACGTGAAAAGCCACACGGAGCTCGATGGCAGGCGACGCCACGCAACACGCCCCGCGCTGGCTGCCAATGCCAATCAAGGCTCAGAGCTTGCGACGCCACGCGGATCGGCACTGTAAGCTCGAAAAGCGAAAAAAAAAAGAAAAAAATAGACGGATCGCGGCTTGACCAATGCCGTGCGCTCTCTCGCGCGAGGAGAGAGCCATATTTTTAGAAGTTATACGCGAGAGGAGTCACTGATACTGAGCGCGAAACTCGGAGTATTCTATAATTATGCGCCGCCACCGCCGCCACCGCCGAGCCGCGTAGCTGTCGATCGTCCTCGACGAGAGATCGCGTTTTATCGGATTTGCCGAACGCGCCTCGGCGATTCTCATTGAGCCGTTGATCTCGAGGCAAGAGGAACATTTCCCCGTACCGATATTTTTAGTCCACTTGAACGTTTCCCCTTGAGAGTCGCTCGCTCCCGTGCTCGAGAAGCAACGTCCACCACGGGCCACTCGGGCCGTGTGCGTTGGCGATTTCGCGCTCTCGGCCACCGTTAGCGGCACGAGCGTCTTCGTCGCGGACACAACGGGTTGCACGTCGCTGCAGAGCTGAGCTTCCGCCGGAAAGTCGATGCTCAGCGGGGAGAAAAAAGCAGCAGAAAAGAAGGCGCGAGGGAGCCTTGCGCAACGCTCTCCCGCGGAGGCTTTCAGGCGTCGACCGAGTCTATTTTTCCGCCCATGCAAAATACACAAGCGCGTCTTATAACAAACAGCAGCGGGCTCGCGCGCGCGCGCGCGCTCTTTATAAACATGGGTGTTGGCCGCGAGAGCCGGCGGCTGCCGTTCCATTTCGCGCGCGCTTCCAAGCTTCAATTGACGGCGACGCGCTCTCTCTTCCGCGAGCGGCGGCTCGCGAAGGATGCGCCGGCTGACGTCAGCTCCTCGGAATACACCTATTACTTTTCGTGTCTGCGTGCCTGCCTGACTGCCTGCCTGCCTTCGACGAGACGACGTTAGATGTCCGTTTGTCACCGCTCGACAAACTCGCTTACCTATCGCGCCGCCGTCCGCTGCGACTCGTGAGGTCGACTATCTCTCTCTCTCTCTCTCTCTCTCTCTCTCTCTCTCTCTCTCTCTCTCTCTCTCTCTCTCTCTCTCGCTCGCTCACTCACTCGCTCGCGCCTGATTCGCTGCCTATTGACCGGTGGCATGTTTTCGCTAATGCACGACGAGTTATTGTTTTATTATGGACAGGCTCGTATCGTACTCGCAGCCTTCGCGACCACTTGTGACTGCTCTCGTATCGCTCGAACCAAGTGCCGTTGCGACTGCCTTTGCCGCCTGCCGAAGACACGCGCATACGACGAAGAATGAAAAGACGAGCCAGCAGAATTACATAATAAATGCACGCGCGCGGACTCACACACACACGCGCGCGTGCACAATCGATGTGAAAAGTTTGGTCTGAGCGATGATGACTGAAAATGATACTCTACGTGCGGTCGTTACAATGAAGGAGAACCAATCGAAAATAAAAGCGATACTATCTACTATTAATGACAAGGAGCTGATGTGTGGAGCGTGTTGAGGCGCCTTGTGTGTCTGTGTGTCGTATTTGAGCTTGGCGACATGTATACTTAAGGTATCGGTAATTACAGTATCGATTCGTGATGATGCGTCTAATGCTTGGACACATCAGATGCGACATCAATTACAATGCGTTACGTGAGGCTCCGAAAAAATCAGTCGTATTTTTGGATCGTGATGCCACGTTTCTCACTTCGCTGAGAGAGGAATTGATTTGTAGACCTCTGGGCGCGCCGGAAAGGAGAACGTTGGACTAATTACCGTGAAACTTGCCATTTTTACGCGGAGCGATTTTTTTTATGGCTTATTAGAAGACTCGTTACTCAAATGGAATTCCACAGCTACCGTGCGTCTAGCTCTTTAATCAATTTTATACACAGCGAATTACTCGCCATCGCGGCAATGGCAGGCTTGTCCGTTGAAATACCAATTGAATTTGGATTTTCACTTTCCGACCGACAATTCCTCTCCGCGGGGAACTGATGCGAGCAGAGCCTCACTTGTAACGTCACAGGATGAGAAAATAAAGTATGCGATACAGGTTGAAAGGAAAACGAAATAACTGATACTAAAGAAAGGCGGTAACGAAGGCGACGAACCAAAGGATGGGGTGCGATAATTATACGAAAAAAAATCGGAAGACGGGACGAAAGGAGTCTTTACAACAAAAGAAAAGAACAACAGAAGAAGAAAGAACGTGAGAGAGTGAGAGACACAACTTACGAGTGTAGGTCATTTGGCCCTGGTAGTAGGAGGGGAGATACACGTGTTGCGCGTGAGCCGGTTGCCCGTACACGTTCATCGCCGCAACGCCGATTTCGTCGCCACCTGAGAGATCCCTCAGCGCGCATTCATTTTCATTCAATTCATTGCTTTTATTTGTTCTTATTTGCATGCAACATTTACTGAGAAGCCCACGTTGTGAATTTTGACACGACGACGCGTCGTCGACTCTCGTCATTAATTTTTCTATGCTATTTCACTGATCGTGAGACGAAACATGTTTCTTTTCGGAGCGTGAGTCGGTTTCTTGAGGGCATGCACAGAAAAAAGCATGCACTCTCGATCCAAGACTTTCGTGTTTCGTTCGTTAACCTCGAGTTAGCAATTTTCTGGTTTGACGAAGAGAAGGAAACCGATGCCAATTATGTATGTCGCGTGCTTTTTTTGCTTTTTTTTTGCGTATTCTTTGCTAGTTCAGAGACGGGCGCGTCAGATTTGTACTCACCGCCTTCATCCTCGCTGTCACTCATGAAGGTTTCCTGCATCGATTCAGGCGCCTGCACTTTGTACTTCTCCTCGATGGTGATGGTGTGGCTGGTGGTTATGGTGGTCTCGGTGACTACTTTCAATGTCTCGACGACGCTTATGTAGCCGAGTTTTTGCGCAATGTCCAGAGCCGTCTGGCCGTTCTATTAATGAAAGGTAAATGCGATCGGCTTGTAATCACCGAAATAACAGAAAAACGAATACGATATTGTATTCATTTTGTATAACCATGTCAGAATACAGATGAGTCAAGAAGTGCCGAATGTCGAAAACGACATTATGATTTATATATTCCTATGGTTCCGTAAATAAGCTACGTTTAAATAAAGCTGTTAACCTAATTTTTGTCACGGGTTTTTCGATAAAGCTCCGACCAAAGAAAAAGAGTATCAATGGACATCTCGAAGCGTTGTAAAAAAATTAAAATATCGACACTTTTTTTGCAATACAACGGCTTATTTATTTGTAACAGTTTCAAGGTTTAGTTATGCTAATAACAAGCAAACTCTCAGCGATTTACATAGGCTTGCTAATAATTTTGCGAGCTGTGAGCAAACTGTCGTGAAATTGCCTAACGTTCCATTGAACCTTGCATTCTGCGAGAGGTCACACGTCTATTAAGTTTATGCTTCATTTCCTTCAGCTTAAATATTAGTGTTATTTATTTTTGCCACGTTAATTTTCCTATTAAAAATTATAGTAATAATTCCTATTAAAAAAGAAACAGGGTCAATGTTTCAATATGGAGATTCCTATGCATTGTCGACTTAAAAAAACTACAGCGATATTACTCGTGATGAATGGCAAGTAATATCAATAGAAAAGATCTACTTCTAAGATTTTATACAATTTTAAAACTTCATTTTAAAAAATGTACTCTATCATTAGAAAATCAGTTGGCAAAATTGTAAATTTGTTGTGATACTGTCTTACTAAGTTTTTGAAAATGCTTCCTCCACCTATTCCAAAATATGACTGTCAGATGCATGTATATAAAAAAAGATTTGCGATTGGGCAATGTTTAGAAATTTTTTATATTTGTTTTTTTTGTGATCAATTTAAAAAAACAAACATTTTGATTCAAGTTTATAAGAAAGACCCACACGTAACCGCGAAAATACTCTGTTAAATAAAAATTCTCACGAACGTCTCGATTAAAACGTTAAACGCGATGAATGTGCATTTGCAAACTAAACTTAGCTTTCAAAAGAAAACACAGAGCAGTGTGAACTCACATGTGTGACAGCATTAGGTTGGGCCTTGCTTTCGAGGAGTAAATTGATGACAAGGGTATGTCCTTGCTGCGCCGCCTGATGAAGCGGCGTGTAGCCGGCACTGGTACTACTGTCGACGGAGGCACCGTTGCTGAGCAGGAACCGGACCATCGCCGCTTGACCAAAATGAGCCGCCACGTGAAGCGGCGTGTAACCGGCCTTAATTGGAAACAGAGAATCGCACGCACTCCAGTTCTATACTCGTATACATAAGATTTCGCGGAATGTGCAAACACGAGCAGATGTGACGACACAACAACGTACAGCTCTATTGCATACGAATGTGAACGACCCTTTCAAGGGCGATATTTAATTAACTAATAATTAAATCGCTCGTTAAAATCGACCATTGATCAAAAACCACGCGAGCATTGGCGAAAGTGTTGGCCGGTTGCCTGCACATTCTTTCGGTGCTTTTTGCTCTCTCAAGCGCACGCACACTACGCTGTTGTGCAAAAAATAAGCTTGTCTACCTTTGTTTTTGCGTCGATTTGGGCGCCATTTTTGACGAGAATAGAAGCTACGTTAACTCTATCGGCTTGTGCGCACAAGTGAAGCGGCGTGAGGCCATTCTGTAACAGAAAACCGCGCCACGCAACACCACAAGATGATGAATTCTATACGAGACAAATAGACGCATAACTTTATATACCTTTGCCTTATGATTAGTATCAGCTTTGTGCTCGATAAGCAAGGTCGACATATCTGTGTGACCTTCTTCGGCGCTCAAATGAAGCGGTGTGAAGCCGGCCTTTGACTCTGCGTTTGCCTTCGCGCCGTACTCCAACAATGTGGTTGCAATGTCCATCTGAGAGAGAAAACACACACACACACACGCACACAATGTCAGATTTTCCTTCGAACTGTTTTGCGGCGCAATTCGCGCGCATTCCAATAGAAAACTCACCTGATTCTTGCGGGCAGCAATGTGTAGTGGCGTATGACCGTTTTTGGCCATGGCGTGCGGCGATGCGCCTTTATCGAGCAGTAGCAACGCCACGTTCTGATGGTCGTAGTGGGATGCCACGTGCAGTGGTGTTACTCCGTTCTAAACAGCAGCGAAAGGGTATTAGTTACAACTAGATACAAAGCGATCAAGATCCAACGACAACAACAAAATAAAGCACGATTTGTATTTTGTGATTGATTACGCTATCGAGTTACAAAAGTTATTAACAACTCTTTTACATTTGTCAAAGCTTATTTCGATCGCGCCCTTTAAAAATAGCTGATGACTTTATTTTTATGTATTTTCTAAATTTATTCGTACAGTTGAACATTGTTTCTGCAAGATCGGTTTCCGCTTCGGTGTATAGTACAAGCATTAGATAATACCTTTCCCTGAGCATCGACTGGTGCATTTTTCTGTAGCAAAAGCCTAGCTACGTTCATATTGCCATATTTGGCAGCTAAATGCAGTGGTGTGAACCCTTTCTTGGTGGCAGCGTTAAGCGAAGCGCCGTTCTCCAACAACACCGAAGCCACCTGCAAAATCAAAATAGACGTCGTTTAATCCTGAAGGAGTGCTGACAAAAAGTGTGAAGAGTGTGCAATAAAATGCTAATTACTTCTTCTTGCGCTTCCTTGGCAGCGATGTGAAGAGGAGTGTAGAGATCCTTGGTGGTGGCGTCGATGTCAGCTCCGTGTTGCAGTAGCAACATGACGATGTCGACGTTGCCAAGACGAGAAGCGACGTGCAGCGGCGTCTGTTCCTCCTACGCGTTCGGAAAATGATTCATCGTGATTTGCTTTTTGACGTGCAATCACAATTTAATGAAAGGGAATGTGATCATATGGTATGGAACCTACCCTAGCACGAGCATCGACTTGCGCCCCATTTCTCAGGAGTATCCTGATAATATCAGTTTGATTGGCTCTAGCAGCTAAGTGAAGGGGCGTCTCACCCCTGACTGTCGGTATGTCTGGACTAGCTTCGTGTTGTAATAGGTAAATGACGATGTTCATGCAGCCCATGAAACTGGCAACGTGCAGAGGTGTCAAGCCGGACTACCCGGAAACAATAATACATCGCACAATAAGCTATTGTCTCAGTTCTATACAAGCCATGATAATGTATTCCCGTACTGCCCTCTAGGAGATTGAGATTCACTACAGAAAAATCGCCTAGCTTGATACAAATGAAATAAAAGTATCGAATCACCTTCACTAAGTCTTTGCACGTTTGAAGTTTTCGTTTTACCATGCTACAAATCGAATGTATAATGCACAATTTGTCTTCCATCATTCTCATATACCTATTGCACACAAGCTGTTTTATAGTCTTCATTAGCATGATACTACATATATGAAAAATTGCAAACAGGACGTGTGGATTGATAAATCTACAATGATGAAGCAAATCGAATGTATAAGCAGATATTACAAAGAGGTTCATTAGAACATTTGTACTTCGATATTTCATCATCGAAGTCAAATCGGGCATTCATAAAGACCATTATTTGATAAAAAAACAAATCGACTATATGATATTATTCATATATAAAAATCTTTAAATCAGAATCAACGGAATCGGACAGGTGTTGAAGGCACCTGTTGCCCTATAACCCTCGTATTATATTCTAGTATAATCTCAATCTCCACCGGCCAGTGTCTTGGTGGAGGTGGTGTTTCTCACGCACCTCGGTGGTGGCCTCAATGCTGGCCTTGTGCTTGAGCAACAGCTCGACGACCTTGATCCTGTTTTTCTTGCAAGCGATGTGAAGTGGCGTGAATCCGTTTAACGCCCTGGCGTTTGGGTCGGCATTTCTGTCGAGCAACAGCTTGGCGACACGCACGTGACCACAGTGCGCTGCCACATGGAGTGCCGTCAGGTAGTCGACCGTCACGTCGTCCACTGGTGCACGATGATATAGTAAGATGCGTGCTGCGTCCACATGATCACCTTGCGATGCCATGTGTAATGGTGCTAAGCCGTTCTAAAATAGAAAGCATTCATTTTAGAAAATTTCTCATCAGACGCGAGCTAGAAACATTAACCGTATCGTTACCTTTGTTTTAGAGCCAATAGGAGCACCTTTCTCGATAAGAATATCGACGACTTCGTGGTGGCCCGAGCGAGCAGCACAATGTAACGGAGTGAGGCCATCTCGGGTTTTTGCTTCGATATTTGCGCCTTTACTGATTAAAAGATTGACCATCTTGATTTTACCCCATTTGGCTGCCACGTGCATTGGAGTTATGTTGTGCTATAAATATAAACGTAGGATTTTAATTACTCTGATCTGAGTTTTAAGTGATTGTTCAGTTACATACCTTAGCTGCGAAATTAACGTCTGCTCCTTTTTCGTAGAGCAAGGAAGCGATTCGATCGTTGCCATAGTGGGCGGCTATGTGAAGGGGCGTGAAACCACTTTTCGATATTACATCCGGATTGTGATCGTTCTGTGAGCAGCAAACAAGTTATTCGCTCGTTGGATTTGCTTATAAAACGAGTGTTTACAAAGAGCTGCGTATGTATACGTACTTCTAAAAGAAGAGCAGCCGCTTTGCAGTCGTCTTTTTTGGCGGCAATGTGTAAGGCAGGCAATCGTACTTTACCCCTCGTGTCGTTCTCCAAAAGAACAGCTACCACTTTATCGTGCCCTTGTTGCATTGCCACTGCCAACGGTGTAAAGCCATCCTGTATTTTAGAAATGAAGTTAATCTCATAATGAATATTAGAAAAATTGATTGTCACTTTTAAAAATAGGCCGTTTTTATGTTTTCAACAAACAAGCTTTTTCTGAATAACCGCCTTTATGTGCTGTATGGTTTACTTTTATACAGGATCGTAGCTGCGGCTTTAAGTTTTAGTAAAAGCATATCTAGGAGTTACTTTATTACAGCATTACTTTAACTCGAGTGCCTTTTCGATGTGCATACTCGATTATAACTTTTCAGTCTGAACCCTTAACTATTTCGAAATGTTACCTCAGTGGCAAGGGTTTGATTGGCACCCTTGCCAAGCAGAAACTTGACAACGGAGTCGTGATTCTCCTGCGCGGCCATGTACAAAGGTGTAAATCCATTCTGCGACTGAGCGTTCACCGAAGCTCCTTGCTGTACCAGCAGTTGCACCACCTCTTCTTGGCCCGCTGAAATAAAGCATGGGTTTAGTACGAATTCACAACTCCGCAGTGAAGCGCAAAGGGGAGCAAACTCACCAAGAGAGGCGATGTGCAACGCAGTATTTCCCTTTTTCGTCGCCGCATCGACGATAGCCCCTCGTTTCAGCAGCTCTTGAACGATCTCAAAGTGCCCATCTTTCGCCGCTAAGTGCAGGGCGTTCAGACCATTCTGTAGCAGAAAAAAATTTGATTATGCAGGATTTAGACAATACGGGCAAAGGGTACTCCACCGACGAGTAGGGGAGTCTCCAGTAGTACTTGAGTTTCTAAAGACTCTTTTATCTAAGAATTCCTCAAAATGCTTGCGTTTATTTTTCAAATGATTAGTTTAACGGGAGTGACTTTGAAGTGTGAACATTTAATTTATTGAAAGGTGTATGTGAAATGTGGTGCTTGAAAATGTTATACCGACGTTCGATGTAATTTCAAATATAATCAATCTCAACAGTAATTCAAAATAATCGTAGTTCTTGAAAGATTAACTTGCAATCGCAGACGTACACAATTTATCAGGAATAAACAACAAAATGACACGTAAAACCGATAGGTATGTAAATTTTCATTTACATTCAAGCTTTCTTGAAAAAGAAAACAAACGTAAAGCTCTTCCCGTCCTCTGCATCGCTAAGCAAACAAGTAAATTTTAACGCGTCCTTCGATCACTGAAAAGTGAATGACGAGGTGATCCCTAATAGTCATCGTTTAGCGACGATTACCGTAATTTCCCTTGCTAGTTTCAATCAGCCTCAAAGCCATTAACGGAAATTTTCATCTTCGTGATCACTTCCCCGCGCAAACAATCGATCAATCGAAAATTACAAAGAAGCAAGGTAGTTCATATCCCCCCTGAGCTCAATTACGAAAATTCACTTTCACGAAAAGCACATCGATTTTTCACGTGCTACCCTTCGAGGGAAGTCTTGCACTAAACGAGGCTTGCCAAACTTACTGCGTTGGAGCTGTTGATGTCGACTCCGGAATCCAGGTACTCGAGGACCTTTTCCAATTGGCCTGCTCGTGCTGCTCGTAGAAACACCGTGCTCGGATCTCCCTATCAAACAAAAATGGTTCGGTTGAGTAAACGAAAAAAAAGTGTGCATTGCGAGAGACAGAAGTCGTGGCGCGCGTTTGACCTCTCCAACCATACGATTCCGTTTGGTAATCTCATCTCGTCGACAGAGTGTGAATAGCTAATTGTATTGCGCGAGTCGACTATTGTGCGAAAGTTTTGCCTTAGGGATATTGCTTGTTGATGATTAAGTGACTTGCGAGTATACTCACTGAGCGAGAGATTGCTTAATCGGTGGGCTTGAATTAATGAGTTTTTGCGTGATTCTAGTTTGTTATCAAGCTAAAGTGATATTAACATTTTCATTAATTTTTTTCAACTGTTTCGACCGGACCATTCATTTTCGTCTTTTTTATTTTCGATTACTTATTTTTCGAGAGAGTTTATTTGATATTGTGTGACCTTTTGCACGAAGAAAAGTTTCATAGGTGTCGTGCCAATATCACGGGAATAATCGATCTTACTTATGTGCATAAATTTGCATACAACTTCAGCACGTCAAATCCAATCGACGAATTTAAAATGTTTAATAATACTTTTAATATTGCTTTTTGCCTTAATTGGTAAAACGGAATCTTATAAACTAGCGCTTGACAAATACAAAATTCAAATATTTCTTTTCCAAAGTGCAAAAAATTATGTTTATTATTGCTTGACTGACAATTTGCAGCATTTATAATGAAGTCACGCTTTGCTTTTTTTATCAAATCTATGAAAAGCTTTGTTCGGCAAAATCATATGTTGGCGAATATTGGTAATAAATTAATCCTCAAGACTACATTCAACTAAAAGAATTCGATCAATAACGTTTCAAGAAATGCTAGCCGGCCATCAGCTTATACAATTCATAACGGCGATAAGATTCAAAATTGAGTATACGGACAAAGCAGTAAAAAAAGGAAAGAGAGAGAGAGAGAGAGAGAGAGAATGAAAAAAACGAGCTACACTTCCCTAATTACTTGTCAAGCCTCTCAAATGCATTATCGTAACGTCACAAGCAATGCAGATAAGAGGCATCAACGTATTTTTTCTCACGTGTACGCTTATATATACACACGTTATCCGCAGCGCTCATGTGGTGTGAAACGTGCTGCGGCAGCAGCGCGCTGGCTTGACGCTTACGTCACCTAGTCGCTCGTAGGGGTGAGGGAACTTCTCGCATCGTCCCCTTTTCGGGTGGGTGTTGCTGTATGGGTGAGTCTTTCTTCTTCCGCTCGCTACTCGCGTAGCCAGATCGATTTTTTTTTACTTCCCTTTGAAGGTGAGCTAACTCTCGAGCGGCAGGAGAGGCGGTGAGGAGGGGGAGGGGCGACTAACACTTAACGCACCCACTCGCACGGATCGGGGTGAATGTGAAGAGGACGGCGAGGAGTTTGTTTGTGTCGCTGATTTTGCTTTTGTCGTTTGCCAGGTGCTCTTGTGCATTTCTGTTGAGCCATTTGTTTGATGAACGTAGGCTTGAAGACGAAATGACGAATATGAGAATCAAATCGTATATTATTTATTATTCCTGTTTTTGTTGTTATCGAGTCTTAGCTTCGCAAGCCAAAGTCTGCATAACGTAATTGGAATTTCATATTCACTAAGTAGTGAGATGTGACTTTGAATAGTGCACCCGTAATACGACTCAGCGTTATCAAATGTATTAAAACGTATACAGTAACGCAGAGCAGGAAAGATATTTAAATGCAAGTCCGTTTGAGATTCAACAATTCATTTATTCGAGAGATACAAATACAGAAATAACTTGTAATACAGTACAGATAATTAAACAAACTATAAACACAATTACATGATGGAATAGACTACCCATAGATATATAGATTTTGTTGTGGGCCAATTATTTTGATTTCTTCGATGAAAAAGTCAAAATTTGAATATTTCAATTGAAGCGCTGCAATGATTTCTTGAAATATGTCTTTCCAAAAACTCCAAATTTTCAGCGAATCTTATGTGCATTTATTCTGATAATGCATAGCTTCGTTTTCAAATATATCTCCTGATACCATTAATAGGATTCTTGCAAATTAGAATAGTCTTTTGTGCGTGAATCTCTTGACATTGCACGCGAAACACAACCTCACTTGATTTACATTAATTGAATAATTTTTTGAAAAACTCGAACGCTTTTGGGCTTGATGTCGATAGATCTTGATTTCTTAGCTCGGTTTGAATTGCTGGCATGGTTGTTAGTGCTTACAGTACACAGTTTACTGTCGTGAATATACTTTAGCGATACATCGCTTTGTTTGAACAGTTGGCTTAGTAAGTCAGATTCTGCCGTTCTAGTGGATAGTTGAAATTTTTACTCCGACTGTCATTTAATAAAGAGATTTGTACTTGAGGATGAGATGCTTGCGAATAAGATTAGCTTCAAAATTAACTCTAATACGCGTGCAGTTTTTTGTCTCAAGTTTATAATCCATTAGTTGTTATGAGATATAAATTTTGGTGACGACTTATTTTTGAGAAAAATCTGCATTTTCAGTAGTCCATACAAATATTGTTTTGGGCGAGTGCAATTCTGATATTCCTGTTTCGTTACTACTTCATCCAGATATTCTTTTCAGAAGGCATGTCACACGTATTGTACGTGTGAATTTTGCCAGTGACAAATTAACTGACAGCGGGTTTTATGATTGTAGTAGAGTAGCAGAGTTATTCTACGAGCAACAACTGTAACGAGAGTTCACCATGTGTACATACGTATAATATACGCAGTCGTTTGAGTAACAGTTGTTTTGTTGTTTAACGCCGGGCTGCCTCTGGTTACTACCCGATCTCTGACTATGCTCAACCAAGCTCGACAGTACAGCTAAAAATCTAGTGGTGCTGCGCAAGTGCAACATAGGGAGGGCTTCTGCGCAGCGCATGTCCAGCACCATAATAAGCCCCGAGGCGAGGTTTTCAGTAAGATCTCGCTCGTATTTCAATACCCTGCGGCTAACATATAGATATAGCACCATTCAGATAAGATTTGCGCAAGGGATTTTAACGTATTATGTCGACAATACGCAACTAGTCCTGGCCGTACATAGACTGTACAAAGCATTTATCAGTACATAGATGTAGAATATCTGGCTTTATTATAGTTATTAAATAGTCACCCAAACATTTGTCGCTATTGGCTCATAATTTTATAAAGATTTAAAATTTTTTTAATAAAAGATTCACACAATAATTACGATTTCTTTGATACAATAGCATGAATAACTTCACACGAGAGATCAAGATACGACTTGATCAACTCCTTAAAGCTTACAATGTTTTCGATGTCGAGAGCTATAGACTGAAAAGCTCCCTGTTTGAGACAAGTCGCATTGTTAGAATCGGCAACGACGAGACTCTCGAACACGTCGTCGTCGTCGTCCAGACAATCAGCAAAAACTTTCAAACTCGTAAAGTTATACTCCTTGGCAGCGATCAAAACTCTCAGACATCTCATAAGCAAAATAAAATGGTGACTACGATATCGTTGATCTCAATCAGACAAGTCTATTGTTATCGTCTGAAATGATAGTTATCAACTTTTATCGGCAAAAGTAACTTATCTGAAAATCATCTTGAAACTCCGTCGTACCTACATTTTAGTACATCGGACGCTTTTACCAATACCTTGAAAATTGCCGAAAGAAAATCATTACTATGTTTTAGAAGTGATTTATTTATTTATCTGATGAAAAATACAAAAATTGGTTTGTTTCGAATCGCTACTTATAACAATTCAGCTTACAATGATCAGAGGAGCGTCAACAATTATAAGTTATAATCATAAATGCACATACACGTAGATAGCACGCTTAAAGATGTCTTTATATATTTAGGATTATCAACTACAACATAGATCAATGCCGATCATCTGAATATTTTGTTAATTATTGCAGCAATATCACTTATTGTCTAAAAAAGACGGCAATTTATTATAAGTATTACATTTACAACACGATCAATCACTTTTTCTTTTCGTACGTAGCATCAATGAAATATGCTATTCTAAGGCACTTAACGCATTGTCATTTGTGAGCTTTTAGCAAACAACATCTTGGAACTAAGTTTTTTCAGCATTTGACATTGTTATTACGCGTAGTAAGTGGGACTTTTAAACAATCTGTAACATTCGAAGCGTTAAATATCTCGTATAAAAGGTTAACTTGATTTTTCAAAAAAGCCAAAAATGAGGCCAACTCAGTGATAACACGGATATTTAAAATGATCTGCGCAATAGATTTTTCTTAAAAGTACATAGCACTACATGAACCTGCTTCAACAGGCTCTTCTAAAACATTGCCATCTGTTAGCTTTTCACAAATAATTACTTAAAGACACTGAACGCTTTCGATCTTGATCTTCGACACATCTCTTGTGGTTAAAGAAACTCGGTTTTTATCGATTATAGCGCATAATAATAAAAAGTTTGCAGCGGATAATGTGTCGTTCTGTTTAAAGAGTACATTCGCTGTATGACGCGAATTTTCTTCAACTAGTGTACTATTAAATATTAAAATCTTCGTCTGCTCTTCTATTCAGCAAAGACATTTTCAGCCAAATCTCATCTGATCAAGTTTTCGTCGCTACTTTTAATCTTTGCTTCTAAAGTTATTATCCGGTCGACATTATTTATGAGAAAATTGTTCGATTGAATGCGATAATGAGAAACAATTGCAGCTAAAAATAAAATTTTATAAAATTTTCAATAGGCCATAATAATTTTACTCCGACCCCCTTCGCTTGTCAAATTCCATTTCATTTACGTTTTCTACCGTAGTTCACCTTAAAGCTAGTTGATATTATACTGAACGTAAAATCAATGTAAAACGTCGCGCACTGGTATACTTTACTGTAACATGAGCTTTGTTATCATTTGCTATTATTCGTCTACTGGTTGCCCATTCGTAGCGTAAGTATACGTAGATTTTAGGCTTATTAGCACTATTATTCAACTATCGATGCATATCGAGTGCGCCGATTATTCCAATAAAGTG